GTAGTATGTGGAATAGTGTGTTAATCAACAAAAAATGATTTTTTTCCAACCGGAAAACAACAAGACACTTTCACTTGATTAAACAAATTTTTTTTTTTTTTTGACTGATTTTGTGTTTGTTTTTGGTTTTTTTTGGACAACAAAAACAAGCTTTTTTATTATTTGGTCCAGTTTTTTTCGTTGTTGTTGTAGGATGCTTTTTTTTACTGCTGCTGCTGCTGGTGGTGGTGGTGGTGGTGATGGTGTTCATTGTGTTTTTTTGTGTGTGTGTTGTGTTCCAGTTTTTATTTCACAGTTTCCGTTTTTTTGTGGTAAAAGTGTTAATTATGATTGGCTATCATAAACACTTTTACCATATATATGTGTGTATATGTATTGGATATAAAAAGTCCAATTTTTTTCAATGAAATTTTCATTTTTTTTCATCACAGTAAAAGTGTTAAATTCATTTCATGTTTAACACTTTGCATTCAAACACCTTACCTTTTGTTATAAATATTCCACATTCTGATATGTGACATTATATATAAACTTGTGATGAATCATATAAAATAATAATCAAATGACGATGGTAAACACAACATCAGAATTTCTTTTTTTTTCCATTTTCATCACGAAACATCATCATCAATTTTTTTTTGTTCCAAATAGAAAAGGTATGTCAACAAAAAATATACTTGGACCACAAATATACTTTTGTTGTTGTGGTGAATCAGATGTAAATATTAGCATAATATTGTGTGTGTGTGTTTATAGGATGTTTTTCAATCAATGAATGTATTCTCACTCACAGATATATGGTATTGATAAAAAAAATTGATTTTTTTAGATAATTTTTTTTCAACAAAAATAATTTAACACTTTTATTACAAAAATAAATTATTTTTTTTTTGTCTAACTGTTATATATAAATGCTGATGATTGTAGCATATTTTTTTGTTTGGACAAATACAGGCCACTTTAAAAGCCATTAGGTCATCAAATTTCATTTTCTTACTGCTTGCTTCTTGTACAGATAAATTGTCACCATATTTATTCATTTATTTATTTATATGTCATGAATATAATCATTCATTGTTTTCTTGGAAAACTTTTCTTAATTCATCATCTCTATCATATATGGGTTGCGTTATCTAATCTGTGTCTGTTTTTTTTGTTTTTTTTTTTTTTTGATTAGATTTGGTTTGTCCGCATTTTGTTTGTTATGGTTCTGGTTCATATTAATTAGACATTCGGGTTTGTTTGTTTTCTGGATCCAATTTGGATCTCTTTTATATTATTATTCACACTATATGGCTATGTCTATTCTATTTCATTAAATTTTCGGTGGTGGTTGGTTGGTTGGTTACCAACATTGTTGTTGTTATGATATGGATTGAGATTTAATAAAAAGATTATGATGATGATAATGGATGCGTTTCATTGTTTGTTTGTTTTTAAACAACAAAAATAAATTATGATGTATATGAAAATAACGATGATGATGGATATGATGATTGTTTTTTTTTTTTTCAACACTTTGATTACATTCTAAAGTAAAAAAGAATTTTGTTTCAACCTAAATATTATATAATCCATGATGATCATATGAAAGAGTTAATAGTTTGTGTGCATGTGTGTTTTGTCTTGTCTTGTGATGTCTGATTATGAACATTTTTCTTTTTCACCATTTTTAATCATCATCATCATCATGATGATGTTTAATGAAAAAAAAACTGGCCAAGATTGATGTTTGTGTGTGTGTGTGTGTGTATGTGTGATGCTGATGAATTTCGACTATCATCATCAGATGATGATGATAATGATGTTCATTTTCTGGTTTTTTCCAAAAAAAAAAAAAAAAATTTCTTCATTGTGTTATTTTTGTTGTTGTTCAAGGCCATTTTCATGATTCATTTATATGTGTGTTTTTGTCCATTTGCCATTCTATATTGCCAATTTTTGTTTTCATTGATTATTTCTGGTTTTCATTTAGAAAATTATTATTTTTCAGGAAATAATAATAATAATACTATTATTATTACTACTATAGAAAAATAGAATGATTGTTAGTAAATATAAATAAAATGAATTTATGGATGTGAAAAGGGTTATTGAATGATTTGAATGATTCAACCACTCTCGGTTGTCCACTCCGGTTGCTAGCCAGAATTATTAAACAAATGGAAAAAAATTTCATTTCAAGATTCAATTTAATTGCTTGCAAGGATATTATTTGTTTTTGTAATTGAGAATTTGCAAAAAAAAAAAAAGAATTTTGTTTGTTATTGCAATTAAAAGATTAAATTCCATTCTTTAAATGATAATAATGATTATTATTTAAAAACTTTTTCAAATTCATTCATTCATTTTTTTTTTTGTTCAATAAGAATTTATTGCTTTGCTCTCGAATATGATAATTTCAATCGATGATGGTAATCACAATAAACACACTTATACACACACACACACACACACACACACACATACATTAATTGATCAAATGATGATGACCACCATTCATGATGATCATTATAATGATAATGAAACCTGTTTTTATTAATTTTTTTTTGTTCAAAGAATGGGAAATTCCTGGAAAAGTTTTTTTTTCTAGTTTTTCATCATCAAATATTGATGATCATGGGTTTATATAATGGACAAGAGTCACGAATCGAATGAAAATCTTGATTTTTGTCCATTCTTTTTCTCTATTGTTGTTTTTTGGGTGATTTATGAAAAGTTTTTCTAGCTTTTCTGGCGTGTTGTGTAGACATTTTAAGATTCATGATTCTCATTTGTAATAATTTTTTTTTGTTGACCATTCATTTCGAATCGGATATTTAAATTTGAATGTCATTTGTCATGTGATGCCATTCTTTTTATGTTTGTTTTTTTTTTTGTTTTTTTTTTTTTTTTTCGATGAAAAAAATGAAACTGAATGAAAACGAAAATTGTCACAACAACCATAACGACAACGGATGATGTCAAGTTTCTTTTTTTTTGGCTGACATTTGAATTCTCTGCAATAATAATGATGATGATGATGATGATGGAAATTCATTATGGAATATGGAAATGATGATGTGAATGGAGACGGGTTTTTTTTTATTTATTTGTATCCAATGTTGACTGTTTGTGTGGTTGATACTATAAATTCCATCGAGAATTTGGTTCATTGAATGAATGATGGACAAAAAAGTTGTTGTTGTGGAGATTAATTTTGTTCAAATTTTTTTTCAATAAAAAAAACTTATTATTTTAATGGACATGGTTGTTATATTCTTGATGGTCACTTGTGGTGCTCAGAAAGAATTAATTTATCATTGAATGAATTCTGTTAAAATGCAGCAGCAGCAGCTTGGTGAATTTTTTTTTTTTTTAATAATTAACACCGAATGAAAAATTGTGAATTCAAAAAAAAAGTACATCAATTTCCATCGGTCTAAACGAATCATCATAATCATTATTTTTTTTTTACTTTTCTCAGTTCATTAACACTTTTTTGTGTATACACACTGTTGTTTGATGCACAACAACAACCACCAACGCTTAAAATTTTTGTTTATTCTGTCGGCTTATATTTGTGTGTGTGTGTGTGTGTGTGTACAAAGTTTTGATTGGTACACCAATTTATTATTTAGAATTTTCGAGAATTCAAATATTTTGATCGATCCATTTGTTTAATAATTGATGCCATTAATGAGCGTGCCCATTATTTGGAGCTTATTTTTTCTCCATACTGAGCCTTTTTTCTCACTATACTAATTGATTTTTTTTTTTTTTTTTGGTTTTTCAAATTGTTTTTTCACTCTTTTGTTTTTTTTTTTTTTTTTGTTTTCGACATGTCACAACATGATAAATGTTTTTTTTTTTCTTCTTTTTTTCTCGATATTTACAAGGAAAATTTATTTTTTATTTTTCTGAGAAAGTTTCGGAAGAAAAGTTTGAAAATTTTCGTTTTTCTTTTTGTTTTGTTTCATCCATTATCTAGTTTTTTCTGGTTTTCGTTTTTTGTTCATTTTTTTTGGTATATGTCCGATAATTATTCAATAGACCAAGTGTTTTTTTTTTCTATTTTGCATTTCGTTCCGGGAACACTTGAACTCTTCCTTTTTTCACTGTTTCGAAAATCAATTCAGTTGCATTTCATTTGAATATAAACAATTCTTTTGTTTTAACACTTGAATTACAATCCAAGGACATTGAAACTGATAAATGACTTTGTGTGTGTGTGTTCTGTTACCAGTCAATAAATTGATTGATTGACTGATGTTGAATCGTATCGAATTTCAGATTTTTTTTTTCGTTGCCAAATGACAATGCCCTTTGTCTCTTGCCAAAAAATTTTTTCTATTTCTGGTTCTCTCTTTCTCTTGTTATCAAATAAGGATATATTGTGAATAAGGATATTTCGTAACCCTTTTTATACAGTAAGTAATCATTTTTTTTTTTCATTCGTATATAAATACTTTTGTTTTCAATTTGAATTTAAATGATGGATTGATTTTTATTTTTCTTTAATTATAATTGATGATTGACTTGCTGGTGGTTGTGGTTGATTAGTCAGTTATATTATGTGGTTGGTTTGTTGATCTCAATGTTAATGTCTGTGTGTCTGTGTGTTTTCATCAGCTGTATTTGTTGTTGTTGTTGTTTGAATCATCAAGTAAATTTATTTCATTCACACGAAGGTTTTTTTTTCATCATTATCATGATAATAACTAGATTATAATTAATAAGTAATTAATTTAATCGATGAATAATTATTATTATAATTTGATCAATTTTTTCTTTCATATCCATTATTTTTGTCTGTTTGTTTGTTTGTTTGTTTGTTTCTGTCATATTGGATCATTAACACTTTTAATGTTTTTCTCTTTTTTTTTTTTTCTCTCTTGCCCTCACAAATCTAGGATTTTAGTTTGTGACAACATTCATTCAAGATTATCGGCTATATACATCCATCCATTCCATTCCATTTCATCATCATCATCATTGTCAGGAACATTCAAGTGGTTAAATGAAAATTTTCTGGTTATTTAACACTGGTTGTTGGTTTCCTGATACTCATAAATAAACAAAACAAAACAAAACAAAAATCATGACAACAGAATCATCTACCACATATTCAATTGTGGTTCCTTCTTCTTCTTCTTCTATGACAACATTGACAACTACATCAACATCATCATCAACAACAACACCTTCCACTAATATTTCAATGAATTCTAATGGTAGTAATAATAATGTTATTCATAGTAAAAGTTTATCGATAAATCGTCATTTTAATCAATCATCGCCATCACCATCAAATAATGAATCAACGATAATGAATAAAAGTGGTAATAATAATAATCAAGGAGCTTGGATCACATCCATATCGGCTTCAATGGCAAATCAATATAATAATCAACAACAGCCATCAAATAATCATAATCATAAAAATAATAATAATCAACAACAACAACAACAACAATTAGCCAATCATTTACGTTCACATTTATCATCGACGACGGCTACGACAAATTCTGGTCCACCACCATCATCAACATTATCACAAGCTGGTCCATGTCCAGAAAAAGATAATAATCATGGATATTTATCAAATAGTCTAGCATTTAGTGAATTAATGGCGCAAACATTAACATCATCATTTTGGAATTTTCGTTCACGTTTTGAACGGTTATTATTGTTGATTGTATTCATTGTTTGTATACTATGTATTGTACTTCTAGTCTTAATGGTACTATTATTGATTAATCAACCTTATTTTCGTGGTGGTAAGTTTATTCATTTTGTGATGTGATGGCAATCTGTGGTATTCTAAGTGTTAATTATTTTTTTTTTAATAGGAAATTCTTTACCAAACCATAATATCCCAGCTCGTTTTGATATCCATGGTATCAATAGTAATGATATGATTACAACTGGATGGAATCAATTATCATCATCATTACCATCATCATATCCAAATCCACAAATAATACCCGGTTATCATTATTATTATGCCGCTAATAATGGCCTAAATAATCCATTGTCATATAGTAATCTATCAGCAGCAACAACTACTGAACAACAACATCTCAATAATCAATTTCCAACAAAATTCTATCAGAATTTCATTCCAACACCAATGGGACCAATCTTTTCGGCATTACAACATGTACGAAGCCAACAACATCAACAACAACAACAATCAAATCATTATCAAACAGCAACTCAAACGACAAATCATCATCAATCATTTCAGGATCCAAAATCAGTTTGTCTTCGTCCTGGTTGTGTCAAAGCAGGTTAGTGTCAAAAAAAAAATTTTTCTTTCCAGCTACACACACACATTAATATTTCTAATAGTATAGTAAATTGGATTGAATTTTCCTAGGAAAAATATAGACTTTTTGCTTCTGTGTGTGTGTGTGGGTGAATGTAAAATTTGAGAGTGAGTGGTAAATGCATTTTTCTGATAAAAAGTTCCAAAAATGGAACAATAATCATCATCATCATTCCATTGATGATAATGATAATGATCCTAATGAAATTCATTCGATTTACTTGTTTTCATTTTGTGTGTTGTTGTTGATGATGATGATGTCTCATTATTTATGATCTCAAAATTTGTAAACAGATGTGAAAAAGCAAGAACAACAAAAAAAAATTCAATTAATCCTTTCACTACACACTACTGATGGCAAACACATTTGATTGAACATTTTTTTTCATCATAATTTAACAAAATGAAATGAGAATTTCTTTCTCGTTTTGTTTTGTTTTGTTTTTGTTGTTGTTGTTGTTGTTGTCGTTGAAAATTTGATTCTTGAGCCAAATTGAATTTGAATTCCATGAGTTTATTTTATTCATAGAGTTGTTTTTGTTTATTGTGTTTTTTTTTTTGATTCAATTTTGAATTTTTTTTTTCATTTTTCAAATTTTTTTCTTCTGTTGTTGGCTTCATTTTTTTTTTTTAATATTGTGACGATGAAAATGATGAGATTTGAAATGAATTTTTTTCTGTTTTTGAGAATTTTGCCCATAAATATTTGGACACTTGATTTTTTTTGGCACTCATATAGCCTTTTTTTGTTGTTGTTTCAGTGTTTCAAAATTTTTTTCTTTTCCAGATTGTTTCTCTCTTTGCGTGTTTGTTGTCATATAATAAAATTCGATGCGCTTTTGCTTTTGTCTTTTTGTTTTTCGTTGCTTTTAATGGAATTGAAAAGATTCATTTAAGCGTAAATACACAACAGCAGCGGAAAAAGTAAAGTTTTTCTTTCTTTTCCTTTTACACACTAGTAAAGTTTAACCCCATAACTACCCATTAAACAACACTACACCAACAACAAAATATATCACTACAGGCCTATGTTTTTGTTTGTTTGTTTTTTTTATGATTATTCTGATTATTTATATATATATTTATATTATTAGTATTATTTGCGGACAATTTACTTTCGGGTTCATCCATCCATCCATCCATTCATACATCCGTCCATTTATTCATTCATTTTCATTCTCCATTTGCTTTTTGTTTGAAAGTTTTCCATCTCATCATATTATTTGTGTTGTATGTATGTGGAGGTCAACTGAAGATAAATCTTTACTTATGTAATTAATGGTGGTCTTTTATATTTTTATTCGTTTTCATTGTCTACGATAATGGAAATGATGATGAATTTGTTGATAATGGAAGAAAAACTTTTTTTCGATATGGATTTGTTTTCCGGGTGTATCTCTATTTCTGTCTGGTCATTTGGGAACTTTTGGTTTTTTTTTTTTTTTTTTTTGATTACGAAATCTCAAAAGAAAAAAAACTTTTAAACAAAACAAATACATTATAATGATGATTAAAAGATTTTGATTGGAATTGGGATTGATAAATTTACAGACAGAAAAAAAAGTTGGCTTCACTACTACTATTTTTCATTACATACATTACATGATTAACTGAATGAATGAATGAAAAAATAAAATAAACTTGAACCTTTTTGAATAATATCAAATTATCATTTCCAAGGTAGAAATAGTTTTATCAATAGAGTTTTTTTTTTTCGTATTCTAGAAATGAAATTTGATATATTCAACGAGAATTATCAATGTTTATGTATGTTGTGCGTCATATTATTTTCATCATTTATTTTTTTTTCTCTCTCTCTCTCTCTCTCTCTGTGTGTGTGACCCAAAAAAGGGCTTCAAATTTTCCAACATCATCGCTACCGTCGTAGATGATGATAAACTTTCCCTAAATAATGCTTGTAATATGTTTAATTTTGGTTTTTTTTCTCGCCGAGAATTTCTTTTTATCGAGACTGAGAATGAATTGATTATTATTATATATTGTCCCGTTGGTGTCGGGTAAATGTGTATTATAATAATTACGATTCTTTACGGAATTTTTTTTTATTATTCAAACAAAATTTTCGAGATCGTTTGTCACCGAAAATTGATGGCCATAATAATAATAATAATAATAATTTCAACACAATTCAGCAGCAGCAGCTTGTTTCAGATTACTTATTTGACTTTTACTTTCATTTTTTTTTCGTTTTGATTTGTTTTCTCGATTAAGAAAGAGGAAAAATTCTTTTATTTCATTTCTCTGTTCACTGTCACATCATTGTATGGCCCATTTTTTTTATTGTCAATAAAAAAATGAATTTTATTCTCTGGAACGACAATTTAAAATGCTTCCCAAGTGTATTGAAAAAAAACTCGTTTTCTTTTTCTCAATTTATCTTTATTATCAAGGTGTTTTTGTTGTTGTTCATTCATTCAATAATTAATTTTTGTTTCCAAAAAACATTTGTTTTCCATTTTTCTTGGCTCATACGGATTGCTTTTATGTGTGTGTGTGTGTGGGGTCGACATACTTTTGAATATTCGATAAAATAATGATTCTTTGGAATTGAATTTTCTAGTTTAAGGAATTTTATATTTTAGACAGAAAAAAACAAAAAAATTTTAAATTGCATTCCTTGAAGCTTTTTGTTTGTCGTTGAAAAATTGTTTCAGCTTTTTTTCCAAATTCTTTTTCTTTTCTGGTTACATATAACAGAGAGAGAGAGAGAGAGAGAGAGAGAGAGAGAGAGAGAGAGACCTAAGGTGAATTTTTCCATATTTATAGATTTAAAAATATTTACGGCCATCCAAACAGTTTGTTCCGTTACATTTTTTTTCTCCCAAGAAAATTCTTTCATTCGAAAAAAAATCAGGCTGCGTGGTACATGAAACATGGATGCATCATCCAATTGAATAACTTTTTTCTGCTTCTTTTTGTTTTGCTTTTTCCTTTTGTATTTTGTTGGAAACAATTTTTCGTTTGAATAAATCTTTCATTTTTTTTCATTTACATCGTTTTTTTTTGCTTGCTAGCTGATAATCCAGAATTTGAAAATGTCGACATTTTTTTAGACAATCAAATTATTGATTAATTGATTGAATTCTCGTATTGATTGGATTTTTTTTCTGTTGCTATTGTATTGATTGATTTTCTTGTTTTTTGCCATTTGAATTGAGCACATGTTTTCATTTGTTAACCCGTTAATTTTACAGTGTTTTTTTTTCACCAATCCCACTTTGAAAATCAGTGTATGTGGTCCATTTTGGATTCTTTATTAAATTTGTGAGAACAAAAGAAAACTTTTTTTTCACATTTTTTGACATTCAAATAGAAGAAAAAAGCAAAAAAAAATTATTATCAATTTCTATTGGATACCCTAGAACTAGAAAAAAAACACTAGAGAATTTGATTCGTTTATCGTTTTTTGTTTGTTACATTTACTGTTAGTCTGAATCTCCCATGAGATATTGAATGAAAGAAACGCATAGATTGAGTGATTTGAATAACTAATTTCTTTGATGAAATTTTATACATGCATACATTATATGCAAATGAAAAAAAAAGATGAAGAAAAACAACAAGAAAATGAAAATGGATTTGAGTGTTATGATGATGACTATCTATTTTTCTACACACACACACACACACAGAATATGTTGAGATGTAACATCCGATTTGGCCCATCAATTTCATTTCATTTGTGTGTGTGTGTGTGTGTTTTGGTAAAGGAAACAACTATAATGAGAGAAAAGGATCGAGAAAAAAAAATTCTTATCTTTTTTTCTCCAAACAAAGAAAAAAAACATTCTCATTTTGGAACATTTGTTTGGATATTTTGAATTTGAGATTTCCACATTAAATGTGAATGATGATTGATCGATATAGATCGATAAATGTTAATGGTATTTGTGTAATTTTCAGTTTTCATCCAAAATATTGCTAGTTTTTTTCAACTTTTGTTTCATTGTACAATTTCTATTGTTGTTTTATATCGGAAATTGGTATATATGATAAGTTTGAGACGTTTCACACATACGGTCACACATGATTTATTCAATTTTCAAAACCAATAATGATAATTATGACTGTGATTGATGGACAATGTATGTGTGTGTGTGTGTGTGATTACCGTAATTTCCTTATGACATAACATTAACAGCAAACAAAAACAAAACAAAACAAAAACGGATTCAAATAAAGTAAAAGATTGATTATGAAAGACAATGATGATCATGATGATGGAAAAATTCATATTAATCATCATCAGTGTTACGAAATATAAGCCAATTTCTTCATGTGTTCTTTCTGAATCAAATTAGTTTGATCGGCGGTAGCAGCAAAAAAAAAGAGAATGTGATTTTTTTTGTAAATCATCATCATTATCTTTAAATTGTGTGTGTCTCTGTGTGTGTGTGGTGGGAAAAAGTGTTGTAGAAAGAATTGAATAATCGAAAAGTCAAACAAACAAAACAAAAAAACACCTTGTTGAATTGCTTTAATTTTCTTTACGTTTCCCGGAAATGATAATGATGATGATCATTTTTATTTTCACTTTTATTATCAAATTGAAAATAAAAATCATATTTTCTCCCATGAATGATATGTGTGTGTGTGTGTATGTTGGATTTGATTTGATAATAAATGCCATTGGTCATCTTGTGAAAAGAAAAAATATTTCTAATCAAATTCACACTATATTTGTGTGATTGTGATATTTAAGAATCATTCAGAATGATTCTAGGAAGCCGCATACTTTATTCTGGTATTGTATAATAGTAGCAGCAGCTTGTGTGTGTGTGTGTGTGAAATCTTTTTATCATTTAGATTGAAATTGTCCAGTTTTTTTTTCTTGATAAATGTATCCAATGAATGAATGAATGAATGAATGAATGATGATCATCTTCATATTTTTATCATGCGAAGAACAAAATTGAATTGAAATAAATTTCTATTCAATGATGATGATGATGATGATAGAAGAAAAAAGATCGACATGCATACACACACTCAAACACAATGACATCCATTTTGGTTTATTTGTGTGTGAAATGTGAACAATGAATGAATGAATGAATTTAGCCTTTTTCTCGCTTCTTTTGGCTTTGATTTGTTGATCAGTCAGATGATGATGATAATAAAAATAACAACTAGATTTCAATTTAGATTTTGAATGAATAAAACAGACAAAAAAGATTGTGATTAAAGTTTTTTTTTCTTCAAACAACAATATAACAGACTGACTGACTGACTAACTGATTTTATTGACTGATTGAATGAATGAAAAAGTCAATTGTCTGACGTGATGATGATGATGATGAAAGTGTTGAAAAATTGATTTTTTTTGAATTTAATTTTCATTTTTTTTTTTTGTTGAAAAGATTTCTGTTCTAGTGTTCGTTTTTTATACTTAAAATTTCTCTTTTTGACTTGATATAGCATCAGAAATATTGAATCTAATCGATGAAACAATTAATCCATGTGATGATTTTTATCGTTTTGCTTGTGGTGGCTGGATACATCGTACTGCGATACCGGATGAAGCAGGTCATATATCGATTTTTGAACAATCAAGAGAACGGTTAGATATACAATTAAAAGGTGAGCCCGCTTGTGTTTCATTATAAATCGCTAATTTTAACCATTTTTTAATGTAGATTTAATTGAAACATCCAATAATACAACACCAGCAATTGAAACAATGAAAAATATGTATCGATCATGTATGAATCTGTCGGCAATTGAAAAATTAGGCATAACATCATTACGTAATGCATTGGATGAATTAGGTGGTTGGCCTGTAGTGGAAGGTGCCAATTGGAATGAAACATCATTTGATTGGATTAATGTAACAAAGAAAATACGACAAATTGGTTTTAAACCTGAAATGTTTGTCACATTTAAAGTGATTGCCGATGTTATGAATAATACAAGGAATATGATTTTTGTATGTATCAAACATATCGATCAATTTTTGATAGATGATTGTTTCGATTGATCGATCAATCAATCATATATCGATCTGATTGATTGTTTCGATTATCAGACAATTTTATTCCATTGATTTATATTAATTGAATTGATTTATTTATTCTATTCTTATATGATGTGTTTTTCTTTCTTTTTCTCGCACAAATTTTTTATTCAATTATTGATCGATCGATCGATCATTCAATGGATCTATTGATTAGGTTGATGAAGCTACACTTGGTCTACGTAGACAATTGATCACGCAAGGACCAAATCATACAACTGTACGTGTTTATCATCAATTGATGGTCGATACAGCAATGTTATTTGGTGCAGAAAATCGTACACAAGTTGAATTAGAAATGTGGGATACAATTGCATTGGAATCACAGATTGCACATGCTACACATGACCCAATGCAAGGTGAAAAGAAACAATCATGGTATCTATATCTGAAAGCATTTGCTGATGTTGCCAATCAGGTAAAATAAACATTCACATTTTTTTTTCGTTGTCACTCTAAGTGTGTTAATTCTACAGTATTAACAACTTGATAGAAAATATGAAATTTTTCAAATTTTTTTCTTCAAATTGAAAATTCCGATATTTAGTCTCAAGTTTCAATTCAAGTTAAAACTTGAACAAACTTGTTGACAGCAACAGAAAAACAAAGTAAATTTTTTCCAATATTTTCTTTGAACCGTTATGCTCTATTTATCCAAATGGGTTACATCATCATCAATTTAGTCTTAGTGCAGTTATAGATGATGATGATGATCATCATCATCATGGCAGTAGCAGACACACTCAAGTTAATTGCCAGGTATTTTTTTTTACTAAAATCACAACTATGAATAAAACAGGTAAATCTCGAAGAAATAAAGAAAAAAAAATGCCAGACATCTGTCATTGTCAACAACAGACAGAAGCTTTTATTTTCAATCCAGATCAAATGTATATTTTTTTTGTTACTGTTTCTCTGTATGTTTTTGGTTTTTGTCACCATTTTGACAATTTTTATCCATCTTGATCAATTGATTTAGAGCGAAGTACTTGCCACAAATCAATCACGATTGGGACATGATTGGATACGTTTTGTAAATGCTGCAATCGATTTACCAAACAATGATGGTGGTAGTGATTTGAAATTCACTGAAAAAGAATTAGTTATGGTGGATAATATTCGTTATATGGGACAGATTGATTATCTAATTTCATTTGTAAATAAACATGATAAAAGGTAAGTAATGGTGTGATTTTTTTTTTGATTTCGCTTATTAATTAACGTGAAAACATCTTCATATTGTCGGTGTGTAGATTACTTGCTAATTATATGTTATGGCGTGTTGTATTACAAAATTTGGGTACCGGCAGTAAAGTAATGCGTGATATGAGAGATAACCTGAATAAACATCTTTACGGTATAACGGAAAAAATGGCACGTTGGAAGTTATGTCTTTCACAATTGACTGGTAGTCTAGCAATGGCTCTTTCGTCACATTATATTAAACATCATTTTAATGAAACATCACGTGACAAAGCAAAAGAAATGGTTCGTTTTATACAGCAAGAATTTGAAGATATTCTTCATCATACTGAATGGATGGATGGTGAAACCAAAAAGAATGCATATAAAAAATCACATGCAATGAAAGCCATTGTAGGATATCCGGCTGAATTGGCTAATGATACATTGGTTGAGCAACATTATAAAGATGTAAGTTTTTTCTGTTTTTTTTTCGTGTTTTCTTTTCTTTCTCGTGTTTGTTTGTCTCGTGTCTAATGACGTGTGATGGTAAATGACCCCATATGTGTGAGAAATCTGATGCCCATAAATTTAATTTGATCGTTTCCAGAACCGGAAAAACAAACAAAGTAAAACAAATGATCCTGAATGAATGTGGTTTATTTATTTTTTTGTGAATTTCCTGTATTTTTATATCCGGTTCTTATTTTTTCATTCATTTATCATCATTCACTGAATACCATTCACGAATGATGATGTGAAATTTTTTTGTTCCATTGAAAAAAATCGTTAAATTTGTTCCTCTTTATTGTTTCAAGATTCAAGTAATAATAATTGTTCTTTTCCATTTTATTTTTTCCGACCATCACCACCACACCATTAACGACTAAAATAATGAATCAGCTGCAATTAACACCGGATAATTTTGAGCTAAACATCCGTCGTGTACGTATTTGGGCACATCGTAATGAATTTAAAAAATTACGACAACGTAATGATCCACACAAGTAAGTGTAAAATTGACCATATTGGTTTTGACACTCACAAGCACACACTTATAGATTTTTTTTTTGCTTTTCGAGTTTTTTCCGTTATAATTGATCATGTCTAACTGAGTTGTTGCGGTTGTCGGTGTAAAGAATTGTTCCAGGAACACGAAAATAATTTGTAAAAATTGAATTAATTCACAAACATCTTCATGTTTGTACTAGATTTTTTGCACAAATAGCAAAAAAACGAAACAACGATGTTTCATGTTTAGAATTTTCATCTAAATCATAGAAAGCTAAAACAACAACATTTTTTCTTGTTTTTTTGTTCTGTTCTTAATTTACGATTCTTGTCCACATTCTTTGCTCTGAGTTTTTTTTCTGTTTGTTTTGTATTCTTACCACAACAAATGACTAATTGATTAGCTATTTTTTTGTTTTTCATTATTTGCAATTGCTTTTATTGATTCATTCTATCATTAATTCTCATTTATTATTCCATCGTCATTATTATTTAGCTGGAAATATTTTTCCAATGCAGCCAATGTAAATGCATTTTATTGGTCACAAGCGAATTCTATTGTAATACCTGCCGGCATATTAAGAGATATATTCTATGATCATGATCGTCCACAATATCTGAATTTCGGAACAATCGGCTATGTTATTGGCCACGAGATTACACATGGATTCGATAATATTGGTGCACAATTTGATGAAATTGGTAATGCACGTAATTGGTGGAAGAATGAAACAAAAAAACATTATAATGAAAAGGCACAATGTATGGTGAAACAATATCGTGAATATTCGTTGCCAAGAAAATTGCAAATAAATGGTGATCTTACATTGAAAGAAAATATTGCCGATAATGGTGCCATTAAAGAAGCATATCAAGCATATGAAAAATATGTTTCGAAATTTGGTGAAGAATTATTATTACCCGGTCTTCGCTATACATCACGGCAATTATTCTGGATTGCTGCTGCTATGGTAAATGATAATATTCTAAATATTTCATTTAAACTCATTCAATTTTATTTCAATAGAATTGGTGTAGTAAATCTTCACCGGAAATGTTCAAAACACGTTTAGATACCGATAGTCATAGTCCATCGGAAGCCAGGTTTGTCAATTATTATTTTATCACAAAATTTCTTCAAATTTCCGAATTTTTTTCAAACCTTCATTAGGGTAAATGTTGCATTTAGCAATTATCAACCATTTGCAGATACATTCGGATGCCGTATTGGTACGAAATCAAATGCAAATCATAAATGTTTGGTTTGGTAGAGATGATAAACGATCAATTAACAACAGCCAATTTTAAAAACAATCAACCATTGCTTGTGTTTGAAGACGACCATTTATCGTTTCTTCGACAAAACAATGAACAACAATGACGACGAAAAATTAGAGATTTTTTTCGCTTACAATTGTGATAAAACTATTATTTAATCAAATATTGATTATTTGGACACACCACACACACACACACAATGACACCTTTAGCTCCAAAATTTCATCAATATTATTATCAACAACAACTACTCAGCTCTCATTATCAGTGTTATTTTAGTTTAGTTTAGGAATTTTTTTTCAATTTTTTTTCCAATCACCAAACTGTATATGGGGTTCAAATTTTCTTTTGTTCCAAATTTTTTAAATATCTGTTCTATTTAAATTCATTCCACCATGCAACACACACACACCCAAAAAGGTTCAAATGTGTATCGATTTCTTTCTTTGTTCACATTTTTTTTCCAATTTTTATTTTTACTAAAACACAAAATTCAATTATTTTAATAACACAGCCCTTTATTCATCATCCAAAAATGAAAATACAACACAGACAGAAGATTTTTTGAATACTTTTTTTTAGTTCATTTTATTTTCAAATTTTTAATTTCCAACACACACAATGACCAGTAATTTTATATTGTTCTCAAGAAGAAATCTTTTTGTTCAAAAAAAAAAATCCGATTTCAATTTATCGACGATGACGATGCAAAATGTACGGATTTCATATAGACTGAGATTAAGTGAGAAGAAAAATTCAAATTAAACAACCAAAAGAAAAAAAAGAATTCATTCTTTTCATGATTTGATTGATTTTAATTTACGATTCTTGTTTCCCCTTGTTGTTGTTGTTGTTGTTGTTGTTTACACACTCACACACCCACTTGTTTGTTTTTTTTTGAGAAAAATCTATATATAAGTACATGTTCCGTTTATTTATTTGGGAAATCATTAATCGTTTCGCTACATTCACTATATATTTATTATTGTTATACACCACCCACCCACACATACACATTGACAAATTCTGGTTTCTGAAAAAAAACCTTGTTGTTGTTGATGATGATCCTTTGTGAATTGAATTTTGTTTTTGTTTTGAATTCGATTTTTTTGACAATTGATCGAAAAAAAAACAGATGAAAAGTTGTCAATTTGGGAATTGAACGAGAGAATTTTATTGATCATCATCAAATCATATGATAAGACTGAAAAAAACAAAAACAAACGAACTATCACACTAAATTTTGTTAAATAAATTTTTGTTTTATTTTATTTTCCATTGAAAAATTATCATTTTTCGAATTCATTTAAGACATTTAACAAATTCATTGGGCAAAAAATATGATATTCAAATGGTTGATCGGACAACAACCACCTCGAGCTATATGAAGGTTCACTTCTTTTTTCCATTTCTAATATATCGGTTTCATGGGGAATTCGAATCGGAATTTAATTGGCCTAGATGATTAAATTGATGTACATGAGTCTCATTACTCCCTCTCTTTGGTGGTCTCTCCTTTTTTTTGGTTTCTTCAACAAATTCTCGGGAGTGAATCAAATGAAACAATAATGAATGTTCACCATGTGTTTGTGTTAATCAACATCGGCACCAAAAAATGCTTCGATTAATCGTGGCCAATAGAAACTCATAACATAGATTTTTGATCCAATCTGTATGGAATAGGAAATGGTTTTGGAATTTTTTCTAAGACCACGTCGTTCCGATGATGATGACCGTTTTGATTTATCATTCTTTATTGACGATTGTTGTTGTTTATATAATGAAAGTAATTTACGAAATTCGTTATTAATTTTGGTTGCTGCATTAATGGCATCATAAAAATCTGGTAATAATCGTGAACAATCCGTATGACGTGCCGATGTTTCTTTGCCTTTCAATTGTAGATGACGGAGATTATGATCAAATTTTGACATTGCATCCAATATTTTCTTATCTATGATTGCCATTGGATTAGCGGTTGATGTTGATGTAACGAAATAATCATCATCATTTGTATCAAGAGTTTCGAAACGAAATGCCGATAAAATTAATGCAATGGTCGATATGACACCGATAGCAAATTTTATATCTAAAAAGGATAGAAATAGAAAAAATTTAGTTAATAAAAACATCAAAATAGATACATACTTTTCAAAAATTTAATCATATCTAATCAACACAAAAGCGGCAAGATCAATGAATGCTTATAACTCAACAATGCACAACAACAATGTCCTTGATGATGATAATGATGATGATGGTTGATTATTTTCTCTCAGCTGTTGCTATGAAGCATATATGTCAAAATTTTTATTTTAGAATATTTCGTCTGTTTTGTTTTTTTTCGATTCTGTATGAAATGAATAAATGAATGAAATATCGACATTCTAATTATAACTTTTTTTCGTATTGGCTTGGCTTGATAATGGATTTTTTTTTCGTCATCATTTTTCGTTCTTTTGGTTGACAAGAATGCTTTTCATTCAATGATAAATATCAGAATTTAATAATATAAAATTCACATTGTGAATTATTCATCATTCATGAATTCATCAATATGATTTTGTATTGGCTAAAGAAATTCTCGATGGACATTGGAAATTAACTCTCGATGGACATTCGATTTGTTTGTTTTATACATTTCGTGTATTGGGCCATCCACCACCAACATAATTTCGGATATTTTAATATTGCCAAACAAACAAATACACACACTCAAATAGTAATTCATCGAAACATTTCAATTAAAAATAGATGATTCATTCATTAGAAATTATTCATCATATAAATAATATAGACATTTACAGAATTCTCTTTTTATATATTTGTTTTCCGATTGTAATTAATTGTTGATATTTTTTTTTGAAAATGAGACACTGTTGAAATGATAATGAGTCTGTTGTGTTTGTGTTTGATTTTGAATCATGAAAAAAGTATACAAATTGATTTGAAACAATAAAATTTGTACAAAATTGTTTTTTTTTTTTCATTAAGATAACATAATAATGGAGTATATGAGAAACTATACATAAGATTAAAATTAGGGAAAAAATTTGAGAATGTGAAAATAGACAGATCATAGAATCAGCTGTTTTAGCTGCTTGTTGTATCGGCTTTTTTCGTATCGTTTGATTTTTTACGACTTTTGGTTGCTTTACTTGCAGTTTGTTTAGCAACACTGGAAGCTGGTATGATGGCTGAATCAAGTTTGGCCGAATCAACTGAAACAACCGTTAAAGATTTTTTTGTTTTGGGAGTAGACTTTGTAGCTTTTGGTGCCGATTTAACCGCACATACTGGCTTTGTAGCAGAAGCAGTTGTACTAGTCAGTGCCATCGTTGTTGTTGCTGCAAGAGCTGCTGGTGATGGATTATTATGCAAAAGATTTTGTATCATGAAACCACCATTTGATACTGTTACCGGATATGGTGGATAAGATGCTGAATGATATCCATGAGGTGGTGGTGGTGGTGGCCCAGGCTGATGAGGATATGAATAATGACCAGATGGAGAATATGGCGGCCTAATAGCGGTCGGTGACGGAGGCAAGCTATTTGAAACCGGCGGTGGCGCAGGATAAGATGATGGTGGTAATGTTTGATGTCGAGGCGATACATTTCTTGGAGACATATAATGAACAGGTGGTGGTGGTGGTGCTTGTGATGGGTATGTGGGAGAAACATGTGGCGGCATACGTTGTAATGGAGAACCGTGTGGATGAATCGAACCAGGAGGAGGAGGTGGACCACCATAATAACCGGGTGGTGGTGGTCCAACTTGTGGAGAATGATGATGTGACTGGTTGTAATAATCAGGATGTGAGTGTGGTGGAACCAGATTATGATCATAAGCATGATGGCCAGGTGGACAAAAATGATGTGATGGTGGTGGTGCCGGATGTCCTGCTGGATGTTTATTTGTAGGGTAGGAATTTCTCGGTGCATCAAGATTGAGTATTTTTGGTGGTGGTGATCGATTGAGTGTTTGCGGCTGTCCACCATAATTTGGTGGAGGTCGTGATGAATAATTTGATGTTGACGGATAGCTCTGCGGTTTGGAGGTAGTTGAACCGCTGTATGAATCCAAATTAGTCAGTGTATAATTTGGATCATCTTTTCCATCACTAACTCGAACTGGAGAAGCAGATGGTGTCGATACAACCGTAAGCGGACCAGGATATCGGACAGGAGATTGTGGATAATATTGATGCGGATGAGGCGGTGGTGGTAAATTTGATCGTATCGATGATTGCGGATGTGGTGGATATTGATGTTGATATGAGTGTGATGGTGGTGGTGGCAGACGTGTCAAATACTGTTGTGGTGGTGGATATTCATGTGGTGGTGGTTGGGCATGTACTTGGGACGGATATCCAGGTGGTGGAGCATAATGTCCAGGCGCAACAGCAGTATTAACAGTTGTAACAGGCGGATGATATGGAGATCGTATTGGTGGTTGTTGATAATGTGGATGTGGATAAGAAATTTGAACCGTTGTTGATACAGGTGGTGGTGGTGGTGGTGGTGATAACTGCTGTGTCACAGGTGGGCCAACTGATAATGATGGTGGTGGAAGTGGTGGTTGTGGTTGTATCGATGGATGATTTATATCGGCAGCGAATTTTGAATTCATTTTTTGTATTGAATTTAGGGGGTCTGTTTTTATCGTGGCTGTTGTCGTTGTTGGAACAGATGGAACTACTACTTGTGCTGGTGGTGTTTGAGTTGTAACAGGAAGTTTCGATTCTTTTTCAATTATTGTAGTTATATCTTTATCATTTGATTTATTATTTCCACCATTATCACCCTCAACATTTGGCGGTTGTGGAAGAGAAACTGTATCATCATCATTCGTTTTACTTTTTTTCGTCGCTAATTTATCAAATGCATCTTGTTCATGTCGCTGATGTTTATTATCACCTTTGTTGTTTACATCATTATCATCACAATCATCATCATCATCATCATCGGAAATGATTGACTGTTTTTTTCGTTTATTACTCATAACAACATTTTCATCGCGACGATCACGGCTATAAGTTAGAATGTTTGGTGTAAGTTTAGGATTTGGTTCGGCAGCTGTTATTGTTGTTGCTGCTGTTTGTTTCGAATGAATCGATTTTCTATTCGTTTCATCATCATCACCATCATCATCTTCTTTATAATCTTCATCCTCTTGATATTTATCTTTTTTCTTTGTTGCCGGTGGTGGATAATCATCAATGGCTCCATAACCATCATCATCATCAGCTGTACTACTATCTTCACGATAACTAAAACGTTTAGTTTTCTGTGCAGCACGACGTACACGTGGTGCATAATCAGAACTTTGATCCGAATATGAACCATCACCATCACTAAGTTCATCCTCATCTTCTTCTTCTTCTTCGGATGTAATATCATCATCATCGTCTTCATCATCTGAATCAACTAAAAATCGTCGTCTTCCACCTGATGATTTTTTCTTAATTTTTTGCTTTTTAATATGACTATTTTTCTTTTTTCGATCCGATTTAAATGAATAATTCCGTTGTATACGTGATGATCGACGACGACGACCTGATGGTTCAGAATCTGATTCTGATATTTCAGTTTCCTGATTATCATCATCATCTACTTCGGTTAATTCTTCATCCATTTCAAATTCATCATCATCAGCCATGCGAAAATCTTCATCCGATGCATGATCTTCGTCATCATCATCATCAGAAAAATCTAGATTTGTTAGACTTTTCTTTTTTTTCTGTTTTTGTTGCTTTCGGTTATTCGTCGTCAATTTTTTCCGTTGGCCAGTTACTTCATCCTCATCATCTTGTTGATCATAAGATTCGTCATCATTAGCTTTATCTAATACCGGTTTAACAATGGCCGAATCTGTTGTGTCATTATTACTTTCAGATTTAATAACATCATCATGATGTTCAACAACATCTGTTGTTTTTGTTTCAAATGGATTAATACTGAAATCTGGCATTTCTGTATCTGCTTGTTCGAGAATATTGCTGATATCTTTTCCTTTACTACGTGGATGTGATGCTGTTCCATCGTCATCACCACAACCGCCACCACCACCCTCATCATCATAAACATAGCCTTCAGCTTCATCTTCTTCTTGCAGTATGGCTGATTTGATAAGATCATCATATTCTTTAAATATATAACTTATTGGCTTTCGTTTACGCGCTGATCGTAATTTCAGTCCAGAACGTGAAAAATCATTTATATCAATATGTTTATCCCGATGATGTTTCTTTTTCTTTCGTCTACGATATTCATCTTCATCATCATTATCATTATTAATACATTTGGCAACTTCATCTTCAGAATCACTAATTTCGGAATTTTCAACTGATTCTTCTTCATCCAAAGAATCATCATCATCACTATATTCTTCACGATATTTTCTTTTACGATTTTTCGATTCTGTTCGTCTTCTTTCTCTTTCATCATCATTATCATGATCATCGACGATAAAACCACGTGAATCTTCATCATTCGAATAGAGTAGATCAGCAATCTCATCTGTTTGTCGTATCCATCCATTTGGTCGTCGTCTACGAACACCTTTACGATGTTGTGTCTTTTTCTTTCTCTCTTCCACTTCATCATCATCACCATCATTGTGTTGTTGTTGTTCTTGATCAACAATTAATTCACCATTTTCATCCACATTAATTTGTTCTTCTCCTTCAAGAATATTATCGGCACTAATTTCACAATGACCATAACGCCAACGTTTTCGCAATTTTTGTTTTTCAATAGCACGTTGTTCAAGTTCTTCAGTTAGACGTTGATATTCGGTTTGAAGTTTTCCAATTAATAATTTCTAAAAATTAAGAGTTGAAAAATTTTTTTTAAATAACAAAAAAATCATAAAAACATTTCTAACGTACATGTTCACAAGGTGGACAAAACCAATCACCCGTTGGTATAAGAAATAATGGTGGTCGAAGACAAGAAGTATGATATCCATCATCACATTTATCACAAAGAAGAATCTTTCGAAAACAAGAAAAATTAGTTCCAAATTAAAAAACAAAAATTCATTTTTTTCTTTCAGCACTTACCCAATGTGGATTGTCATATTTACCACATTTACCGCATGGTTTATCATCATTTACATAATTTTCAAGAAAATCATCATTGCAATCATCTTTGGCTGAAAAAAAATCAAATCATTATATGCGCAATAATGGAAATAATAACGACTTACATTTTTTCACCGTTCGAGCACGTCGTATGATAACGGGTTCATCTTCTGGATCGATTTCTTCACAAGCAAATTCATCTTCATTATCACCATTATCATCAAATCGAAGCTGTTCGTCATCATCATGCATAAATTCATCATAATAATCTTCTTCATAAACATGTTCAGCATGTTCTTCAGAATCGTCGGAATCATCTTCCCATGGATTTGCACCTTTACGACCACCTTTTTTCCTTCGTTTACGTTTCTTTTTCGTTTTTTCATCTTCACCGGAATCGCGTTGATAATCATCATCACTCTACATCGAAAATAATTCATAAATTTAAAATCAAAATCAACATGAAAAACAAATTGACCACTTACCGTTGCTTTTTTCTTGCGTCTTCTTTGTTTTTTCGATTTTTGGCTTCGATCTTCACTATCATCACTATTATCATCGCTATCATTATCATCATCATCATTATCATTATCATTATCATTATCATTATCATTATCATCATCACCAACATCATCATCAAGATCATTTGATTTATCACAAGCTAATTGTGCGGCTAATGCAGCCGCTGCTTTTGCTGCCATTGCTGCTTCTTTTTTTCGACGTTTTTCTTGCATTTCTTTTTCCAAACGCTTTTGTTCTTCTTGCATTTCAATTATTTTCTTTTCCTGTAATGCTTGTATTCGTCGTGAATAACGTTTAGCTTGTAATCCTTCGGCAAAATCTTCTTTGAGTTTATCTAATTCACTACGACGTTTTCGAGCAGACGGTTTCTTTAATGCCGATTTCGATTCTTCATCATTATCATGATTGTTATTTTCTGCCATTTGTTTTTCAGTAGATTCGGCAGCATTTTCTTCACTCACTATCTCTAAGTTAATTTTGCTTGTGGATGTATCATCTTCCTCTTTAATGGCCGAAAGGGTTGATGTTGTTTTTCGCCGATTATTTGACCATCGGCCACCACGACGTCTACCACGACGACGACCGCCACCACGATAATTGCCTCTATTCGATTTGGTTGTTTCATGTTGTTTTTCATTATCATCGCCATCATCATCATAATCATTATTTTCTTGATGTTCTTTTACAATTTCATCGACAATCGATTCATAAATTGATTTAATTTCAGGATCATATGATGTGAATTCTGTTGATTGCACATCCTTGTCATTTTTTGCTTCATCATCATGGACATCGTTTAATTCATTCATCATCATCATTATGATCCATGTATTCCGTTTTAATTTCCATTTTAACCGGTGATGATGGCAATTGCTGTTTTTCTTCTGATTGTTCTTCGATTTTAAGGACTTGGTGAAGTAGCTGTTTTTTCCGGTTCTTCATTCATTTCATCGTCTTGATTAAGTTGTTGTTGTTGTTGTTGCTCTATTTTTTCGTCTTTTTCACCATCATCATCATCATCATCATCTTGATCGTTTATAATTTTAGCTGGAATCTGGCTAGCTGGATTACTAACACTTTCTTCGGTGGTCGGTGTAGACATTTGTTTAAAATCATCAATACTTTGTTTTTCTAAATCCTGTATACATTCATTTAGTTCAGGAAGATTTCGTGAAACTAACGACCACGAATTCTCTTCATCAGGTTCATCTTTATAAAGGCGAAAATTGAGATCCGAATCCAATTGATACCAATACGTATAACCGATAAGATCACGACCAATAGGCGGTATGCGTAATGATGATGTTTCGACAGTGGAATTTAATTCACTTTTAAATTTTTGATTAAAATCAAACATTGCCTCCAATAACCGTAGAAAAATTCGTAATCGTAGAGAAAGTTTTGCATTCCTATAACCAAAATGTTCCAATTCCCAGGCATCAATATTTGAATATTCAGCACAGAAACGCATCAATGCTTTTTCCCATTTTTCTTTATTGATATATTTTCGACGTTTACGCAATAGTTTTATATGTAAATCGATTAAATCGGGACGAACTAGAGAAAAAAAACGAGAAAACAATTAAATAATGGAAACAACGAATACCACCAGAATACCTTTATTATAATCTTCAAACATTGTCTTTAAATGCTTAATTGAATAATTTAAGCTCTAAAGAATGACCAAATTTTTCTAAAAATGAACAAATTATGGCAAAATTCGGATCATTTTCAACTTCTTCTTTAGGTAGTTCATTTTCTTCTTCATCATCATTTTCAATTATTTCATCACCCATTTGATTGGAATTTTCTTCAACATCATCATCATCATTGTTTTGATGATCCATTTGTTTGGTTGTTTCATCCTCGTCGTTGTCAACATCATCACAGGATTTTGTTGTTGATACAATCGATATTGGTTGCGATTTTGATTCTTCACCATTTACATTAATATCAACATTCGATAATGGTACTGTCGATGATAATGGTGGTGGCGATGTTGGTGATGATCTGGCTACTACTAATGTCTCATTCATATCATTCGTAGCCATTATTGTTATTGCCGGTTTATCAATTTCATTCTCTTTATCCAATAATTTTGTAGCGTTTGAAGAATTTGATTTCGATGATGATGAATCGGATATTGATTTTTTCTCACTAACTTCATCAGTCATAGCTAATTGTTGATGATGTCGGCAATATTTACAAACATGAAATTGATTTCATTTTTTATTCAGCAGAAAATTATTTCCGATCAAGTTGTCATATTCAGATTTGAAATATCTGAGAATGATGATGAAAGCCGGAATTTAACAACGACAACAACAATAAAAAAATGGCCACGAAGCCAAATTTTTTTCAAGTAATAATAAAAAGAATCTATAAATTCTATATTGTTGAAAATGACATACGTTCAAAATGAAATTGATATTTTTGAATGTGTAGAATTTATAAATTTTTAAAATTTGTTATACTTTCAACAAAACAAAAAAAAAGATTAAATAGATGTGGCCGACGATATGATTAACAAACACACACACACACACACACACACAAACACACATTATACACAGCAAAGAATCGCTTTATTTTTCTATGGCTCGTTTTTGTTCAACCATCAATTCAGACATTCGAAACAATATATCCACATAACCAGCCGCTATTATCGATGCAGCAGCCAGCCAGCCAGCCAGCCAACCAACCAACCAAAATGGATGAATTAATTGACAGAAAAATCCTCCTCCTCCTCTTCGTCATTATCTGTCTGTTTGTTTTTTTTTGCCACTACCATTCGAATACATGTGCTATTTTAAATCATACAAAAAAAGGGCGGGACTAGCTATCCTGACACATTTCGTTTTGTAGTAGCAGTATATAAATTATTAGTTATTGTGTATACGATTATATACGTTTTTTATGAACGTTATGAGTTTTTATTTTGCAAAAAAAAAAATAATTTTGTCAACCGTCACGAAATTTCTTTTTCAACATAAATTCATTTTTTTCGCAAATAAAAATTATATATGATGAATTCCGAACAGCAAAATTCACATCCAGATGAAGAATATCAATCATCAGTGCAGCCAAGTACATCGAAAAATAATGAACAAAATAATGATGATGATGATAAAAAGTATCAAGAAGAACAATCATCATCATCATCATCATCATCATCATCGTTATTGAAAAGAAAAATCGATGATATTAAAGGAGATGATGATGAACAATCCGATACGGAAGTTGATTTTGAAACTTTTTGTTGTTCATGGAATGAACAAATTGAACAAGTGAAAGCTGTCAATGGAATACTTGGAAATTCGGATGAAAATAATTGTACATATCTTGATGTATGTGAAAAATTTGCTGTTTTTTTGTGGAAATTTTTCAATTTCAATTCTATTTTTTTTTATTTTGTTGACTAACCTAGGATGATTTAATTCGTCAACCATTGTATGCATGTAGTACATGTGAAATGAATGTAGATCCTTTATCATCAGATGGTGAAAAATATATGGCTGGTATATGTTTAGCTTGTACAGAAAATTGCCACAAAGGTCATGATCTATTTGAACTTTATACTAAAAGAAATTTTCGTTGTGATTGTGGTAATGAAAAATTTGCCAATCTTAAATGTAAACTTTTTGAGGTAACTTTTTTTCCATCCATCTATTCTATTGAATAATTTCATTCATTTGATTTGTTTTGTTTTGTTTTGTTTTGTTTCGTTTTCAGAAAATTGGCCACAATGAAACAAATCAATATAATCATAATTTTAAAGGTCTTTATTGTACATGTGAATTACCATATCCTAGCGAAGATTTTGACGATACAATGATTCAATGTGGCATCTGTGAAGATTGGTTCCATCAGTCGGTATGTTTTTTTTTTTCTCAAAAAATTTGGTTTTCGTTTTCATTCCGAGATAATTTTAAATTGACAGCATCTAGATGTTCAACCAATCAAAGGATATGCTGATATGATTTGTATGACATGTGTACGACGATTAGATTTTCTTGTCTATTATCAAATGGATGGCCAATTTGTTTTCAATGAATGTGATGATGAAGAAACATTGGATAAAGAATTGGATCAATTTTGCGATACACTAACTGATCGATTGTCAAAATTGTTAAAATCAAATAATGACCAAGAATGTCTGTTGGCTATGATAAAATCCAAACATCTATGCGAAGATGATAAAATATCGTTGGATAAATGTCATACAATGTATCTACCATTAGATTGGCGTTTACGTATTTGCCGTTGCAGTAAATGTCTACAGATGTATAATGATAATGGTGTTGAATATATAACAAATCCACGTGATATGTTTGCTGTTTATTTTCACCAAAATCAACGAAAAGTATCCGGACCTAAATGGAATCGTATTCAAGAGATAGCATTGGCAGAAGGTATTGAACATTTTAAACAAGAATTGAAAAAATTTCTAGATCGATGTCAAGAAAATTGCAAAACAATCAGCGCAGAAGATGTTGCTGAATTTAAACGGAATTTATATGCCAAAAAACGAAAAACAATTGAACGTGTTCAATATTTTTGTCGTTGAATTTTTTGGCGCCCAAAACTGATTTTTTATAATCATTTTTTTTTTCTTTTGGTTCCAAATTGTATTGAAAATTTGCCATTTTTTTTGAAAGAATATAAAAAAACATCATTTATGAACGGACACATTGAATTTTGATGATGAGGAGGAGGAGTTAGTGGTCGTGTGGGCGGTGCTAATCATAAATTCTTCATTGGTTGATTGTTTTTTTTGATTTAAGTTTTAAAAACTTGATGCCAGGCGGCGTTACTTTCTTTGTTGTTAATATGTACAGTAATAACCCGCTTAATAAGCCAAAAATCGAAACAGCCATCTTATATTGAAACCGACAGCGTTAAGCGAGTTTTTTTTTCTATTCATATATACAATGTATGTAATAAGGCAAAAAAAAACAGCTCCAATCGAAATCCAGCGTTAAGCGGGGTATTACTGTATTAAAATTTGGCATCATTTTTTTTTTTTTTTTTTTTGGTTCGTGGGTTTGTTTCATTCACATGTATTCTTCGATTCTCTCCATCTTCACTTTATTGAGATTGTGTGTTAAGGAATTTCATCAATTTTTTTTTGTTTCTTACATGATGTTTCCGAAAATTCATTGTGCATCATTAATGTCCAGATGTGAATCTTATAGGTGAAGATCAAACAAATTTTTCGAATTTTTGTGTTTTGTTTTCGTTTTTTGTTTCTGGTGGATATATCATCCATTCAAAATACCGTACAAATGAAGATGGTAAGCTAACAATTTTTCGCGTGAATTTAATCTAATGATTTTTTTATATTTTTTTCCGATGTTTCGAACAACAAAAATGAATATTCAGTCAAACGATGAGCCAAATGTTTTATCCATTGGCACTGAAGTTAGTGCCAAATATAAAGGTGCATTCTGTGAAGCACGAATAAAAAAAGTAAATCGTATTTTAAAATTAAAAGTAACAATAAAACCATTAACATCAGCGATAACAATATCGGACAATGAAGTTGAAAGTGGCTCGATCAGATCCGGTGGTCAAGTCATTGTGAAACGTTCGAATAGTTCACATTCAATACCAGCCACTATACAGAAGATTTTAGATCAAAGCCTCTATACTGTTGTATTCGATGATGGTGATGAAGCAACATTGAAACGGTCATCACTTTGTCTGAAATCGGGAAAACATTATTCCGAAAGTGAATCATTAGATCAATTACCATTGACGAACCCTGAACATTTTGTCAATCCAGTACGACGTTGTCGTCGTGCACGGCAATCCACATCATTTAGTTCACCCTATCATCAAAACATCATTCACGAAGAAAGCAACAACAACAATCTATAGATAATAATTCTGATGATTCAACAGCAACAACAACAAGTAATCGAAATGAAACACCAAAAGTAACATCATCATCAACAACATCAACGATTAAAAAATCACAACGAAAATCAAAAATATCGGCAGCTTCGACAACATCATTGAATCAACAACAACAACAACAACGTTCATCGGATGTTGGAAAAGTTGTTTGCGTCGAATATGGTGATAAACGTGGTTTCAAGAATAAAGACATCTGGTTTCCAGCATATGTTGTTTCAGTTTCTATTTCAACCGAAAGTTGTGGTGGTGGCGGTGGTGGTGGTAGTAATTGTAGTAGCGGAAGTAATAGCCGATCATCGATGAAAGATAATAATAATCAAATGACAATGATTGAATATAAAGTAAGATCATTTCGTGATGACCGTTATTATGATGTATGTAAAAAAGATGCACGAGAATTTGATCGTGATACAATACGGTCTTCATATCGAAATAACGAATATTCTATCGAATTACAACAAGCAATTGAAAAAGCATTAACGTATTTAGAATCATCAAAATTTCCATCAAATTGGGACGATATGGATATTGTTATTCAACAACAATCAAATTCATCAGCATCATCATCATCATCAATGATGATGAATGTTGAAAATGATGGTGGTGACGATGATGATGATGATGATACATTGACAAAAGATTCAAATTTTGGCCAAAATGATGATGATGAAGATGATGATGACGATGAAGATGATGACGATGATGATGATGATAGTCAACAACAAAGTATCGATGATGATGATGATGATTCAAATAATAATGATTCAGATAATTCAAATAGTTCAGAATCTGATGATTCTGATATAGATGATAATGATGATGACGATGATGAAGATCCACATGAACGACAACGACGGCAGCAAAAACAATCAGAAGAACGTGATGTATTTGTAGCGAAATTGTATAAATTTTGGGATGATCGTGGTACACCTATCAATGAATGTCCATCTGTTCTGGGTGAACAATTGAATCTTTATCGATTATATCAAATCGTCCATAAACTTGGTGGTTTAAATCGTGTTAATAGCCGTAATCGTTGGAAGCATATTATTAATAAACTTGGTGTTGGCAGTAATCAACAACATACACAATCGGAACGTGAATCGGCTATTGTAAAATTGAAATCCATTTATAAAAATTATCTCCATCCATTTCTTCAATTACATAGTAAATTAGGACCGGCAACCGTATTGATCGATACTGTACGTACAACAAATGCAAGGCCATCTAGAGGTGAACGTAAACGTGAAAAAGAACGTTCACGTTTGAATTCTGTTAGTTCATGCACAAGTAATCCACCACCTCCTCCACCACCACCACCACCATCGTTATCATCGACAATAACAACGACTGTTTTTGTAACAACAACATCGACAATTGTAACATCAACAGCTATAGCATCGGTAATTCCTACACCGATCACTATGGCAACAATGACCGGTAATAGTGGTGGTCGAAAAGGTTCGATTTCATCATCATCTTCTTCATCGTCATCATCGATATCGAATAAACAGATAGATAATCAATCTTTAGCTTCTTCAGGTCAAGCAAATCAGCAATATAATAGTAGCGGTGTTGGTGGTGATGTTGCAATAAGTGGTAATACTATAACTATTACATCATCAACAACTAGTGGTGGTCGAAATAAATCTTCGGATAAAAATATGGTTTCAACTTCAAGTGTTGTAGAAAGTGGAGGAGATGATGAACAGCCAATTGGATCGTCGTCAACTACGAATGTCACTGAGACCACCACGACGACGACAACAACAACATTAGCAGTACAACAGCCGTCAGAACAATCATCTCAATCCTCTGGTTCTGGTGGATCATCATCGAATAATCCAGAATACTCTACCGCCAAACAAATTACACAATCATCATCATCATCAGCTTTGAAAGAGAAAATGGAAGAAAGAAGTAAGTGAAGTAATTGCCTGATAAACATCTGTGGTAATGATTTTTTTCTATTTACCGTTGCTTCCTGTTTGGGGGCAATACCAATTTTTTTTTACATAGAACGAAGACGAAAATTTGTGACGACTGAAAGACCTGGATTAGATTTTTCATCATTTGCCGGAAAAATGGTATCGATAAAAGAAGGTGATAAGAAATTATTATTGCCATATGAAGAATTTATGCGTAAAAATGGTAAACCAGATACGAAAAATATTAAAATCAATGATTCCCTGGAAGTATTGTATGGAAAAGGACGTGAAATGGAAATATTTCGTGCAAAAGTATTGAAAATTGATCAAAAATTTTCACATCCAATTTTTTATGTTCATTATCATGGTTGGAGTACCCGATATGATGAATGGATAAATACATTAAAAATTACAAAAGTATTACAAGGAGAATATCCACCAAAACGTGCAAGAAATAAACGTAATAGTAAAACAACGGTCAATTCATCACAAACAACAACATCAGCAGCAGCAACAGCGACAAACGTAATAAATAAACGTTCGACATCGGATACAGAAGATCTACCAGCTGGTAGATCGTCGACCACAACTGGACAGCAACGAAAATCTTGGACCGCTAATAATAGTGGTGATAAAGTAACTACATTCGATGGTAAAGGTTGTAAATCTGATCAGCCGAAAAATTCATCTACTGTTGGTGGTCGATCATCGACCTCGACAGAATCATCATCAATTTCTGAAACAAAACGAACCAGAATTAAAGAGGAGAATAAAGATTCTGTTATTGTGGCAACTACAACAACAACAACAACACCGAGTAGAATGAAAACCGAAGATCAACAACAGCAGCCAACATTAACAAGTGGTCGTCGACGTACATCATCATTATCAATGAAAAATGATTATCAACAACAAAAAACGCATGAACGACAAACACCATCGACATCAAAACGAACATCATCCATATCATCCAAATCAACAGAATCATCATCCCGAACATCGAATAAATCAAAACGAAATGAACATGAATATGAACCAGATCATGATGATTCATCATCACAACGATCAAATCGAAAAGATTCTATTGGTGGTGGAAATAATAAAAATCAAGATTCGAAAATTATTTCAACTGATGAAACTACCGTTACGACAACGACGACGACAACTACAACCAAAAGTAGTCGACGAAAATTAATACAATCATTAGATACAGTAGCTAATGAAGCGTCCACTACAACAACAACAATGGAAACGGAACAAATAAAATCATCAAAAGTGAAACAGACCATTGGAGATAATAAAAGTGATGCTTATGATTTCATCGATGATGATGACAATAAGAATCACATAACAACCACTGAAGATCGGAAATCTCCAATGAAAATGTATAAAAGTTTTATAATATCCGATTTGGCTCGAAATGATGATAAAATGGATAAAGAGGCAAAATCACCATCATCGCTTTCTATATCATCATCATCATCATCATCAAATGTTATTACTACTGCCGCTACAATCAACACAATAGCATCAGCATTGGTTGCTACAATAACTTCGTCGTCGACCACTAAAATAGAAGATGAAAAAATTCATATTAAACACGAAGAAAATGATAATGTAGTTGTAGATAATGAAATGTCAAACTCAAAACAATGTTCCAATAGTGGTGATGAGAAAATTATGGAAATTATCGATGAAGATGATTCACAACAACGACAAATGTCTTCATCATTAAATGAAGATCAAGAAGTAGTTGATATACTTTCAGCTACTATAACATCATCAACATCATATGGAACTTGTGCCACTGGATCAGGTGATGTTGAACAACAACAACAACAACAATTGGATGAAAGTGATGGAGATCGTGATTCACCTGGACAATTAATTGTTGCTGAAGATGATGATGATAATGGTGCTAGTGGTGGTCAAGCTGCTGATAATCATGACGATGAAACAGAAAATGGTAATAAAAATGATACAAAATTCAGTCCTGATGATCCTAAACAATCCACACCAATCAAAGTCGAAATAGCAAAACAACAACTGGAATTATCAACACAAATTATTGAATCATCATCATCATCATCGATACCCGTAGAAACGAATCCATTATTGTGTTCGGAAACATTACCAGCAAGTCCACCACCACCTTCAACATCTAGAAGTCCATTCGCTACGGCAACCATACCACTGTCGGCCATTAGTAATGATGATAATGATAATAAAGAATTTGGTTCAAGACGTTCAGCATTTGAACCACCACCACCACCACCACAACAACAACAATCATCTTCAAGTAATAGATTTTCATTAGTATTAGGAACTAATCAGCAAAAATCAACTAATGAAATTAATGATGATGAAGATGATGATGATGATTTGGATATTGATGAATTGGATGATGAATTAGATATAACAGCTGGTAATGAAGCTGATGTTGATGAATTTGAAGATGATTTCAATGATGATGATGATGATGATCGCAATGATGGTGATCATCATCAACAACTTCGTAAACGTCATCGAACATTGGAACGTTCAAATGTTTCTGGAACCGTACCTGGTGTGGGTGCTGGTGGTTCAACACAACAACAAACATCAAGACGTCGTGCAACAATGGAACAACGTAAACAACGTCGTAATCGTCAATCATCAAAATTATCAGGTCACCATCATTATCATCATCGTCATCATAATAATTTATCATCACAAGAATCATCGCAAGATGGTGATGATCATAGTATGGATGATGGTGAAAATCAAAATAAAAATAATACACCATCAAGATGTGTTTTAATGTCCGGTAATAATAGTGGCGTTGTTGGCAATCAACAACAACAACAATCAACATCTACTATTAAATCATCATCAGATCGTAATAAAGGATCAATCTCAGTTACTGGTGGTGATGGTACATCAATTTCAAGTGGAACAACACGTAAACGTCTCCTATCGACATCGAATGATCATCTGAAAAATGATGATGATTCATCATCCGGTAGTCCAAATAATAATAATAATCGTAATGATAAAGAAAATCAGAAAACATTTGTTTCACCTATACATCATCATCATCAATCACCATCTTCATCAGTGAAGAAAAGACGTCGTGGCCGTATGCGTACTGTATCACAATCAGAAATACCAACAACACCAACAAGATCAGAATCATCATCGGCGATAGGTCATCATAATCAATCAACGAGTGGTGGTAGCCAAAAATCTGGTTGTAAAACAAGAGGTATTTTTATTTTTTTCGAAATTTCATTTCATTGATTCCTAATTTCTATTGTTTTGATTATAGGTCGACATCGTAGTGGTGGTAATCAATATTCTACATCGAACAATAATAATTATCAATATGATCCATTTTTGTTACGGTCGTCGAATAATAATAACAATTCCTCATCATTTGATCCATTATCATCATCATATGATCATCATGTTGGTGTTAGTGGATCATCATCATCATTAGCAAATATAATTACCAGTAAACCACAACCAGTTGATTATGAACTATTGAATAGTTATAAACCAATAAGTCGTTTTAATTTTCTTACACCTATTGATCTATCACTATCGTCGGAAGATAAATGTAAAGAAATGATGAATCGTATGCGTGAAATGAAAAAAATTTTCAATGAATATAAAAGAAAATTGGCTGCATATGAAAGAAAAAAGAAGAAAATTTCAAAAAAATCTAAAGATAATGAACGACGCCAGCAACAACAACAGCAAAAAGAATCGACAAATGCAAAAAATTCAAACATGGAAACGAAATCTGGTAATCATTCTGGATCTGAAGAAAACAACAACAACAACGACGACGACGACCAAGTAAAAGAAGAAGAAGAAAGGGAAGAAGAATCACCATCAAATTCATCATCAACAAAGACTGAACAAGGTGTTAGTAATGGTGGTGTTGGTCGTACATCACGTATAAAAAGAGATTCGTTTACGACATTATCATCTATCAACAGCAACACTACCACTGATACACAATCATCATTAACAGCCGTTGTTCCACAACAACAACAACAACAAACTACAAGAATTGATGATGATTCATCATCACCACCACCACCACCTTCATCATCATCGTCAACAACAACAAGAAAATCATGTATAGAATCATAATCAATTTTATTCAATCATTTCATACATACCAATTCATTCCATATTATAAATATCTTGTCGTGTTTTTTTTTTTTTGTTTCTTGTTCATGTAATTTTGCTTTATTTTTTTTTTTTTTTGATTACATCAATATATTGTATTTTTTCATCCTTTTTAGATAAAAAAGATATATTTCTTTGCATCTCTAATATATATTTTATGTCATGCTTTCTTTTCCTTTCCTTTCAATTTTTTTGATGTGAATAAATGATTTTTTTAAGCCATCATCATCATCGATTGTGATGATGATGATGATGGTCGTATTGAACGTAAACAAGAAATATAAAGATTTGCATTACGATGCATTGATTGTTGATTTGCGTCATCTTTTTCAGCTAAACATTTCCAGATCTATTTGTATTGTGAAAATCAATTATTAGAAAAAAAAACAAACAAAAAAAAAATGACTATTTTTACCTTTCGTGAATATTGAAATGATAGACATGCAGCTGGTCTATATCGATCACGATTCATTTTATTACCATTACGATTTTGTGATGTATTCTGCTGCTGATGATGTAGATTTGGTTGTACTTGATGACGATAACAATCACGAATCGGTGTTGTGATCTATTAATTTTTGAAATTTTTAGAAAAGAAAATTTTCTACTCGACTATACAACCAACCTCAATGAAACGATGTTCACAATTCTGTATTGCTTGTTGTTTGGCCATTATGAATGTAATATCCGTTGGATGATCCGAACATAAACGTTCCCAACCGAGGGGTTGAGCAATTTTCATTAAACACCATGTATGATCTTGTTCACGATCAACTAATTCTGGTAATGTAATACCTTCGGATTGATAACGTGCCATTTTACATTGATCTAATTGCATTCCTTGTTTCAGATAATAACAAAGTTTAGGACGACCAAGTTTTTCCGTTTTTATCTGCGGATTTACTTGTCGAACACAATCATCGAATATTGTTGAAAGCTTTTGTGTTGAAAGAAGAAAAAATTGACAAATTTTTTTCAAATGAAAAAAATTGGCCACTACATACCTGTTGATCCATTAATTTATCACAGGCAAACAATGCCTGTGTTATGTTTTTGGATACATTCGATGAACAAACTTTAGAAAGTATCGGGGTCCAATAAGCAGAAATTGATTCAATTTTCGGAATCATCAAATGAATAATGATCAAGCCAATAAGAATGAATGGAATTGTCGAACGTTTCGAAGTATTCATCATCATCATCATCATTAATTAATCAATCAAGTGATTTTTGGTTCAATCGGACGGAAGATAAAAAACAAATTCTTTAACGAAAAGAAAACAGACACACACGAATTGATATTCGATGAATGAATGAATGAAAGTGAAAAGTGCATGTGTGCGTTACGATGCGATTACCATTTGCTGTATTTTGATATAAATTCCGATAATTACAACTGAAAAACAACAGCAACAACAACAACAACATTAACATATGGATAGAGAATGTGGAAAAAATAGGTTAATCATCACACACACAGGTGTGACAGGTGGTGTGTGAATTCTCCATACTATGGAATGTTAAAAATAGTGACGACAAAAGAATGTTTCATTTTTTTAAATTTCTCCTTGTTTGTCGATCATTTTTTTTTGATGATGATTTCCATTAATTTAAAATACATTTATGGTTATTATTTTGTTGTGACGGTGGTGGTGGTGGTGGTGGACATCAAAATATTTAGGTGATAAAACAAATATTGTCATGTCATCGACATTATTTATTTATTTATTTATTTTTTTTTTGGTGACATAATTTTCTACATTTTATTCGATATATATAATTGATTTCGAATATGAAAACAATTCACTCTTTACATTGTTGAATGTTTTTCATTTTCAATTTTATTTTCAAAAAAAATCAATTTTTTTTGTCATTTAATAATTCAAATTTCATTTTAGTCACTCTGTTAATAGATGGAAGCACATGTTTCAAAAAAAATCAATGACAATTTCAATCAAAATAGTATGGATCGTATAATTGAATCAATAAATAAAAAAACAAACATAATAATTGATATATATCACAAAAACAACGTGTGTTTATCGATTGTTTATTCATTTTTTTTTTTTTGGTTTGTGTGTTTACAACTTATTTCTGATGATGATGATGATGATTGGCAACAATCTTTCTCAGCTGTTCATTTTCTTTTCTTAATAAATCAATCTCAGTCATTAGTAATTCTTTTTGATTTAGAATTTGTTTCAATATTTCCTGTGTATCATCATTGTCGTTGGATAATGTTAATGATGATGGCAATAGACGATCTTGTTCACGTACCAATTCAACTATATCGACAATTAGATTACGTTCAAATATTTTTCTATGTTGTATCAATAATTGATTTGTGATTGGAATTCCTAAATTTTAAATCAAAACACAATTTATAGATTAATGATTAAATTTTTGCATCATTCATCGATTCATACCTTTAGATAAATGATCATTCAAAGTTTCAATGATCCATTTATTGTCTCGATTACGATTGATGGCCAATTGTGGTATGGTGAAAAGAATAGGCGGTACACGTACCGAATGATCAATAATACGAAATTTTACATTCGCCACCAATATGGCTAATGGTGCAACATGTTCAGTAATTTTATCGTTGAAAAAATCAACAATCATATCGATAGTTTCTTTATTCAATGATTCACATAAATTATTGACATAAACACTGATTAATTCATCTTTGATTGTTCCTTTGCTATATGAATCGATACGCAGTGTAATCTGATTATTTGATTTTTGTTGCTCATCATCATCGTCATTGTCATTGTTATTAATCGTGACACTTGGTTTAGTTATATTTTTAAATCGATCAATAAAAGCATCTTTGGGCATTGCACGTAATTCTTCTAAATGTTTCAAATGACAATTAATAAACACTTGTGATAAAAAACCTTTGGATGATTGTTGTATTAGATTAACATTCGCCACCTGTATATGAAGTGCATCAATTATTGTTCGATGTTTAATCAATTTTTCAGGGTTATTCTTCTTCATTCGATGATTTGATTGTGAATCATCCAAATCGTTTGATGATTCGATTGAAAGATCATTGAGATTTTCCAAAATATCAACAGCTTCTTCCACAGGTGCCGAATCAAGAATATCATCCAACAAATCACATTCACCATTAATCATTGCAATCATTGATTGTTGATCACTATCATCGGCTGAAAAATCACTTATAGTTGAAAGGGCATCTTCATTGTCGGCTGCTGTATAATGTATCCGTATACTTGCACCATCAAAAGATGGAAAACTATTCTTTTTTGGTGGCATTAAATTTGAAATTTTTGAATCGATCGCCGATTTAATGATCGTACCATTCAGATCGGATGAATGAGATTTCGGAATAGTCATCATAACAAATGGCTGTTCAATGGATGGATTTGTTGCCACAGTATTCGGTTTATTATCAACATCATTTAAATGTTGTTGACAATCAATCAATGTGCGACGATCTTCGTGACCATCATCATCGGATACTGATGACAACAATTCAACATTCGAAACTATTTCAGCATTCATTGGTCTACTACTTGGGTGTTTTTCTCTGTCATTATCATCACCATCACCATCACCATCATCATCATCGCTGTTGATCATTGTCGTTTCTTCTTCTTCATCCGTTTGTTTTAAACGGAGAAAAATATTCACTTCTGGTAAATGTGTTACAATCGATGTATTTTTAAATATCGTACGTATAATTTTTTCTTCCAAATCAAATTTGGAATATTTTTGTTGCTTTTGATTCGTTTTCTCGTCATCATTATTCATGATCAATGTTTTCTGCTGTTGTGATCGCTGTATCATATAGGTATCATAATTGAGTGTCGAAGTAAAATCACCAATCATTTCAATTAAACGTATCAGAAACATGAATTGATCATGCGTCAATTGTAAACGAATCGGATCAGCAATACGTGCTAAAATATTTACATCCACTTTATTGTTCATTGTCGTCCGATTGTCATCATTGTTTTCGTTTTCTGTAGCCAAATTCAACCACAATGATACATTAACAGGTTCTAAAAGTGTTTCACATTCACCCATTGATTTTGTTGATTTAATTTCAATCCAAATTGGTTCAATATTGATGACAAAAAAATCAACATCTAAATTTAGTGCACGATCGCTGGTAGTTAAAAATAATCGATCAATTTTCTGGCGAAATTCCGCCGAAATTGGCCGTAAATCACAACCAAGCCATGGATAGCGACAATGTTCATAATAGAAATCAATATTGCCACTAAATTGTTTCATTAAATCATCTAGATTACGAAAATATTCACGATTAATGAATGAATCACAATTGTAAAGGATTATTTTCGATATTTTCACTTCCATACAATCATAGCCACTACCACCAACATTCGATTGATCATCATCATTATTCATCGGTAGTCGTATGATTATTGTTGGCATTAAACATTCTAAACGGATATTTGGCCGATCAGAATTTCGATTATCGGCCACAGGAAATGCTTCTTGCAATTTGATTAGAGCATTATGTAAATTGGCAAAAAATGAATTTATCCACAATATGGTTAATGGATCGAAACAAAGTTTCACTGGTGCTATCATTGCAAAAATATTCGTTTCAGGCATCGGTAAATTAAGCCTATCAAATGGTTCACAGAAGAAATAATTATTCAATTCTAAATAAATGGCAGGCACATTTCCGGGTAATGGTGATGAATTATCAAAGTAAAGTAATTTTGATGCATCAACAGTATTATTTTGATTATTTCTTGACGATGTATTTGTCGATACATGACCAATAGAATAATCATGAAGACGTACGATTAAAACTTGTGAAATTAAATGTGATTTTAGTGATTCAATATCAAAACGTGAACCTTCTCGTTGTAATGAGACTTGTTGACGACGAAAAAATGCATTCAATTTATGTGTAATAAATGCAACACGTTGTGGTGATGGATCCGAATAACGAAACCAATGTGAACGATCATCCAGCAATAATGATGAAGCAGTGGATGATGTTTGTTGCCTCACAGAACATCGATGATATGGATAAAGATCGATGAATAAACGATGAAATGACATTTGTAATGCACCACCATCTTTCAATTCTGGACACTGTGAACGTTCACTATGTGGACCAAGATCATCCATTAGATGAACTTCAATCCGACGAATAATAATATGATGCGATGTTTCATGAATATCATATTGACTAAACAAGAGACTAATAGAATTTGATAGATTCGTTGATGTTGTTGTTGTCGTCATTTTCGATCCATTGGTCATTAAATTCATCATTTTACTTTGTGTGATGGTTCCGTTTTGATTTTCCATCAGGTTGGTTGATGAATTATCAAATTTCTTTGTTCTTGGTGCCTGTTTGATTAACTCACCAAGATAATCGGCAAAATGCAATGCTGACAATAGTTGAGAATCCGTTAGAACCCATAAAAGATCATCAAATATCAACATTATACGTGCAGAGACGACCGAACAATCTGCTAGACGTTTTTTCAATGTTATTCTACATGATGCTTGATTCGCTATTAATCGTAATGGTGCTTGACCAATTGCAGTTTTTGATTCGGATTTCGCCACAAAACGTAATGTTTGCCATTCAATATGTTTGAATATCAACACTTGGCCACGATTTGGATCACGAATACGTGTTTTAGAAAGATCGTCCACTTTTTTCCACAAACAATTTCTACTTTCAATATTGATTCTTGTGAGCTATTTGAAATTTAAAATTTTAAATTACCAATTATCATCGATTATATATTACACTAACCTCAAATGATGCACTAAAAATTTTCGATGTCAATTGTATCATGACCGAATTAATGGATAACGTGATACCGTCGATTACTTTTTGTGTGAAACCATAGCTACCCATATCTTGATTGAATTGATTCGCTGTTGGAAATTTCGTCGATCCATCCGCTGCCGTACGATAATCATCACATGTACAAACTTCAATGATTACTTCATCCAGTAATATAAATATCGGAATTGTTTTCAATTTCATCCATTGAATCTATGTACAAAAATGGTTTAATTTCGAATCTTAATCATTCAAAATTCACAAACCTTAATTGATGCATAATTACAATAGGCACGTGTCAATGACATCCATACCGGTAATTCTAGCAATTGCATTAAAACATTTTCATCCAATTCAATATTTGTCACTTCACATGAACCTTTGATTGCACTTAATTGTAGTTTATCGGGTGATAAATTTTTGGTAAATCTAAAAAAGAGAGGAATAATCAACTTTAACCCAGGAAAAAACAAAATGAAACTTACTTTGATAAATGCTTAAGAATCTGATTTTTGATTAATGATGCCATGATTTTTTTATTTGGTTACGGCCAAGATTTAAAAAATTGAATAAATTCAAGATAGATTCAGACACATCATCTAATATATAAAACAGTTGTGGGAGTATCGATCAGATTGACAACAACAACGCAAAACAGATACACGATGATGATGATGGTGACGATGGATGAATATCCAGAAAAATGTAAACAAATATATGAAACAATCAACAACGGTTGCTATAGTAGGATCAAATAAGCCAATAAAAAAAATCCAGATAAAAAATCTCAGATCATCAAAAACAAACAAACAAACAAAAGGAACAAACGATTATCTTTACTTTGTTTTTATTTCTCTTTAAAAATCCTCCCAGGTTTTTTTGTTTGTTTGTTTGTTTGTTTGCTAAAATAAAAATATGAATTTCTTTGGCCATATGATGAGCAAAAATGAACACTTTATTTATGAATAGATCGAACATTGGTTTTTTTTGTTTGTTTTGTTCATTTGTGGATCTATTTGTTTTCAAATCAAATCAAAAATCCAATCCAATCAAATTATAATCAATCAATCAGCGTAATCTAATCGCGATCCAAATTTTATTTTTCTTGATGACTTTGAAATCCCAGAGTGGGGACAGCCACAACACAATCTAATTCGATTATTCGCGCGTGTTTATATTCATCATTTTAAAACTTGTTGATGATGATTAAGAAGAAATTTCGCATTTCCATCAAAAGTTAAAAATAAATACACGGTGGACGCTCACTCACATTCACACACAAACCATTCGCATGGTCGTCGATTTTCTTCAACAAGCAAAAAAAAAGCTTGATCGACCACTTTCATTATTGAACGACGACCTACTTTGTTGCCGTTTATTGTTGTTGATTTTCATTTTTCTTTTTTCGATTCAATCAAAAAAAGAAAAGAGAACGTTTGCTCACTTTTTTTCTTTATTAAATGTTTCGTTTTACTTATTATTGTTGAAGTGGAAAGTTTCGCTTGATCCAATTGGTGTGCATGCATGAAAGTGAAAATCGAAACAAAAAAAAAACAACGTCGTCATTTTCTCGATAAACTACAAATTCATTGGTTTTTTTTGTGTGTACCAAGAAGAAGAAGAAGATAATAATCGTCCAACAAAACAAAAGAATGATGTCAAGAAATTCATCAAGAAATTGTTTGGATAATCAATGTCAGGTATGATGTTATGATGTTTTTTTTTGTTTGAAAATTTAGAATTTTAAATTTTTTTTTCATTTTACAAGGAATGTGGTTGCCATTGTGATAGCTGTGTGAATAATAATAGTATACATTTACATCAAGAAATTGAATCATTAAAAGAACGTTTGAAAGAACGTGAAAAACAAATTGTAACAATGGAATGTCAAATATTGAGTCATGCAAAACAATATCCAAATGGTGAAATGCAAGCATTACGTGATAATATCTATCATTGGAATGATAAATATAATCGTTTGTTGGAGAATTATCGTCGTTTACAAAAAGTAAATCAAGGATTAGAGGATAAATTACTTCGTGTGGCCGATTGTTTTGAAACGGAACGTATCCATATGAATCAAAATAATGAACAATTAACACAACGATTGGATGAAGCGAATGCCAGTCTGATGTTGGTGAAACAACAAAATCAACAATATCTTAATGATTATGATCTAATAATACGAATGATCCAACAGCAACCATCGACAATGATCAATATTGAATCGGTAATTTATTTTTTTTGTTTAGAAATGTTAAATTAACCTTTTTTTCCCTGAATAGTTTCCCAATGATTTTCAATCACGTTATCAAAAACATTTGAATAATCATAACCAAAATGGTAACGTGAAAACTGTGAATCATCGTCATGTTCAAATAATACCAACATTTCCACCAACCGCTATTTATTCATTTAATGATGATGATGATGAACAACAACAAATTAATGGTAGTGGTGATGATACAAATAATCAGCCACCAGACTCTTCAAATATACTATCGCCAGCACAAGCAATACGATTATCACAAATATTGGCAAAACAACAGCAGAATATTTGTTCCAATTGTAAAACAAACATGGATAATCAACCAGAATTGATTAGGCCGCCGCCAGAGCAAAATATGACAATTGGCAATTATAATTCATTCATAATGGAAATGTCCAATTCTGGTTCCAAAACATCATCGTTTATAGATGATAATAATCGTACGATTATCATCTAGGTAGATATATATATAGAATTATGAATTCCACACACTCGAGCACACCCCGAAACATTCGAATTCATTTATTTGACGAAAAAACAAAACAAAAATTTCTTTTGTAAAATGACTTTATTTTTCTGTTGTTATTTTGCACTTTGACTGTGATTGGTATATATGTTTATTATATCAAATTATATTAATAAAATCGCCATGTTTGTTTGGTATACCATGAATAATTTTTATATTGATTGAAACTAAAAAAACAAATTAGTGAAAAGAAAAAAAAAATTCAGATCAACGCGCGGGACAAGCGAGAAAAATTGATCATTTGATCATTTGTCTGCATATGTCGTATTCATTTTGATGATATTTCTTGTCTATCTATATTTTGGATGTATAAATCACCACCACCATCATCATTCACACACACACATACAAGGTGTGTTTTGTACCATTTAATAAGGTTTAATGATGATGATCATTTTCTAAATAAAATTGCCATATCAATATTTATGTTTCATTAGTTTTTCTGGTGGATAAACTTTGAATGAAGAACGAAAACAACATTCTTCTTCAGCCATCATTAAAACACATTAATTTTCCTTTCTTTCTTTTTTCTGTTTCTAATCTCTTCACTGTTTAGTCTTGTTTTTTTTTGTTGATCTTTGATGTATGTATCTTTCCAATGGAAGATTTAAAGAAAATATTAATCTTCTTTACAATTTAGACCAATAAAAAAAACAAGACGACGTCAACTAAAAAAAAAACAAAATGGACAAAATTTAAGAAAATTAAACCAAAACGAAGTTGATTATTATTATTATTTCATACCTTGAATTATTTCATTGGAAACAAATAAAGAATTTGGGAATGATGGTTGTTGTTGTTGTTGTTGTTTGGCTTTGTTCATCTCTCCAAGTCTTTATAAAAATTGACCAAAATAAATTTTGTCTTTTTTTCTAAGAGTTTTATAAACGATGATGATGATGGAAATGCCTTTGTGATTAATTGATCCATTCACAAGTCATTCATTCATTCATTGCATTCGATTCAATTGTGTAATGTAGAAAAAAAAAAATCTTCGGTTCTTTTTTTCATATATATTCAAAAAGAATGATATATATCTAGACAGACAAAAAAAAAAGAATGAGATAATAAAGAAAATCTTTTGATTAATTACTGCTATTTAACAACAACAACAACAAAAAAAAACATACATGACACCTTTGTAATGTGATTGGTTGGTAATTGTTGATAATGATGATGATGATGATGATCGGTATCATTTGAAAATGTGTTCGATCTATTTATATCTCATATATACACACACACACACACCGTGTGGCCTACACAACAAAGAAACAGCCGGTGGTTTTTTTTTTGCCAAACACACACACACACAAGATTGTTCGAATTAAATTTCAATCATTTGATGTAAGCAGCAAATCATCATCATCAGGTGGTGGTGGTGGTGGTGGCCATGGCCTTAGATTCATCGAATCTATGATCAATTGAGTGGTGTGTTTGTTATTAAAAAAAAAAATTAAATTTTTTCTATCCGAATAGATTCAACCACAACATTGATATTCATCCATCATCCATTCATAGTGATATTCATCCATTGAAAATGGATGTTAGGTTGATTTGTGATTTGCGGCATCCATTTCTTTTGTGTGTGTGTGTGTGTGTATAAGTGAAACATGGTTGACATCTCACTTATTTCTTTTTAGAACTAAAAAAAAAAAAAACCTCAATCAAACACATTGATATAAATAAAATATTTATAAATACCTAAATGGTCAGCAGCAGCAGCAGGAGGACCAAAAAAAAATTCATTACAATTCCAAATGAGGATAAAATCATTTCCCATTATTCATTCTGCTGCTGCTGTTGTTGTTGTTGTTTTCTTTCTTGTCCTTTGACCCATCTCTCTGTGTTGAATGTGTGAATGTTTTTTTTTATTTCATTTAAAAGAATCAAATGAAAAGAACTTGTCACACACACACATACAAACACACCGGGTTCACTTTATAATTAATGATCATCATCCAATGACCATCATCATCATCATCATAATAATCATTTTTTGGTGGTTCATCCCTGATGGTTTATGTATGCGAATGTGTGTGTGTGTAAATAAATAAATAAAAAACAATTTGTTCGGCTGAAAAAAAACAAATTTGCTAAAAATGAGAAAAAAAACGGAATTATCATCATCATCATCATCATTAAATGAATGTAGTACCTACCTATCTATCGTTTTTTTTATCTACATACCGCCATCGTAATTATAATCATCATCATCATCATTTGGGCTGCTAATTTCTTTTTTTTTCCTTAACGACGAGAGAAAAAAAAACGAATGAATTGATTTCAATTCAATTCATTCATTTTTTGAAAACGACAAAGGTCAATAAATTTGGATGAATTATAATGATAATTTTTGTTGTTGTTGTTAAAGAGGAAATGTTGTTGTTGTTGTCGTCGTTGCTGTCGTCGTAGTCATTGACAAAAAAAAACTGATGATTCTCACTAGAAAAATTCATTTTCGAATGATCAACACCACCACCAGGTTTTGATTGATTCAAGTAACGGGTTCGTTGACTTGATTTTTTAGTTTCGTTTCATCGGTACATGATGAATCTGTAGGGAAAAAATCATTATCAAAACACGGGTATATAATTATATTGAAAGGATTACTTTTGAACCAATTTTTCTTCAATTGAATGAATTGTGAATGGATTATATGATTGACGATGATGATGGTGCTATTTGAAAACATGAAAATAATCGGCATCACCATTATCATCATCATCATCATAACTTTATAGTGCTGAAAAAAACAACAAAAAACTATATTTGATGCGAGTGGGCTTGTGTTGTCTAATATTTGCTCACACATCATCATCGATAATAATGATCAAAAGTTTTTTCTTTCTTTCTTGACTTGTTGTTGTATTGATGATGATGATGATGAGCAATAGAAACACATCTTGTCATCATTCGAATGTCGGTGTGTGTTGACGAAATGAGTGATGAAACAACAACAACAATAAGCATCGACGATAAGTAAAAAAATGGACCAATTGTTCACTGGTAAATAGAAACAAAAAAAAACTATTATTAACACCATGATAGTCATCATCATCATCGTCATTATTTAGTTTTGATTGGTTTTAGGCCACCACCATCATCATCATCATCATCGTCATCGTCGTTTTTTCATTCATCGATCATGATGATGATGATGTACGAATGTTGGTCCTCTACGTTATTATTATGTATGAAACTGTAAAGTGAAAAAAAATATCGATTTTTATTCCAGGAATGAAAGGCTTATGAATCCAAATTACTTGCATAATTTACATTATTATATTGGAAACTTTTTCGGTCTTTTTGTCTTGTTGTATATCGATGACAAATTTCATGTTCACATTTCAAATTCAAGGTCTATAATTTTAGGTTTCATAAATAATCCTATCGTCACTTGAAATGAATGCTGTTGATTGATGATCATGATGATGATGATGATAATAACAATCACGATTATCAAGTTCCGCTCATTTTTGTTACATTCTATATGAACGGTTCAAATTTTTTGTGTGTGTGTGTTTTTTGGAGGGAGTTTGAATTCGAAAAATTATTTTGGTTTTGAAATTTTTCAAATTCTTTTTTTTCTTTTGTTTTCAACAAAAAGAATCCAAAATATTCAATTTAAACATCATTCTTCTTCGTCATCTAAACATAAATACCGCGAACGGTACTGTTTTTCATCTCATCGTTTTTTTTTTGTTGTTGTTGTTGTTGTAGATTTCTGGTTGTTGTTGTTGTTGTTTGCATTCTTTTTCATTCTTTCAAGTTACTCGATCATCATCATCATTGATCAATTGATTGATTGATTGATAAAATTCATCAACAGCTTTTAAATAATAATAATAACAACAACAACAAATTGAATGATTCTGTTTTTGTGTGTTTGGAAAATATATACTTGAACCAGCTTAATGTACAAACAAATTCATCATCACACAATAAAATTTTCTAAGCTTTTCTAACAACAACAACGACGACGATAACGAAAACGATAATAACAAAACAACGAAAATTTGTGTTTTTTTTCACAATTCCCGCAAAATTTCATCATCAATTTTCGGTTTCAATTTGCCAAACAATGATGATGAACGCAACAAAAAATTCTGTTTAAATTATGATGATGGCTAGATGGCTATATATGTTTGTTGTTTGGATAAATACCGCAAATACCGAAAAGCGAATTGAAAAGAAAAAAAAACAAACGAAAACCAAACACAGACCATAATCATCAACAAAATTTTGTAATTCAAATTGAATGATGATGATGATGATGACAACAGCATCAACAACAAAGATGATGATGATTTGAAGCAGATCTCCATCAAGCCAAAAGAAAAAAATACAACAATCCGAATCAATCACATCTCTCTCTCTCATTCACTGACTGTCATCATTTCACTAACTAACTAACTAACTTGTCTATCGAATTGATCAAATCAAGATCATCACCATCATTTGAATATATCTGAAGAATAAACATCATCATCATCATCTATATACAATTGAAAGAAAACAAACGATGATGATGATGATGATGATAACAATAACAACTGATGATGATGACAAACGTGATCTCTGTATCTGGATCATACTAACAATAACAACGACAACAACAACAACAAGTGTGTGTTTGTAAAGATAAAAACAAATTTGACCAACAAAAAATCTGGATTTTGAATTTTGATTTTTTATCCCAAGTGTAATCACACATTGAACACCTGTTTATTTATTCAATTTTTTTTCTTCATATATTCAAACCTTGATGACATTAAGGATGGTGGTGGTGGTGGTGGTAGAAAAGAAATTCTTTCAAACATCAACTGAATTTTTGCATTCGGCCTCATTTTTTAAACACTCAACCACAAACAGGCATCATAATCATCATCATCATCATGGCCACCTATAGAGCCATTAGTGGTTTAATAATGATAATGATGATGATGATACTATTATTGAATGGTGTGTGTTTTTTCTCATTTCTCATCTTTTTTTTTTTTTTTTTTGATTCATCGAATCGATGACAATGATTAATTGATTTATACGAAAAAACGACGATCATCTACCAAAGGTATGTGTAAGGATTCTTTTCATTTGATTTTTTTAGTTTTTTTTCTTTGACGACCATTAATGATTACAAGTTGTTCAATGATGATGATTTCTGATATATCTAACATAATTTTTAATCAATTCGTATTCAATGATAAATCGATATCGATCATTTTGCTATATTGACGATGATATGATTGCAACTAATAGAGGTCAGAGGTTGTTGTTGTTTTTTTCTGTATAAAGAATTTCACATTTATTTGTAGGTGAGATAAATCATTTTATTTGGCCATCAAAAAAATTTTTTTTGTTGTCCTCGACCTTTTTTTCGCTTGTGCTAACCATTGTATATATGATTATTGTGGTTGTGATGATGATAATCTTAATGGCAAACATTGTGTGTGTGTGTGTGATTGAAAAGTTGTCTAAAAAAATTTTTTTCGCATTTCAAATTGTGAAAAAGATGGGAGGTGGAAAATATTACATCCAATTGAAATTTTTTTTCTATTTATTTTCGTTGAAATTCCAAAATATTTAAAATCATTATCACTTTTGATTTGAAAATAACTGACAAACAAACAAATCAAGTCAATCAATGCTGTTGATGTTGTTGTTGTTGTCGAAAATCATTATCACCATCAAGTTTAAATGTATATAACATATGAAATGTGAAATCCAATACCACTTTTCTATACTTTGTATATTTATATGATAAATTTTCAATGTTTTTCGCTGTTTGTTTGTTTGTTTGTTGTTTGTTTCCAACAATTTGGCAATATCATCATCATCATCATCATGATGATCGTTAATGTTTTACATCTTTGTAGTATTCACTGAAATAGTAATTTATGAGATATACGATGTATTATTATTATTATTATAAAGAGTGTGAATTTATAAATGACAAATTTGTACACACACATAGACACACTACAGTTAGTTCCAAGGAAGAAACACACATAGTGATTTACATCCAAATCTAGACATATTTAAACTATAGAGAGAGAGAGAGAGAGAGAAACATAAGTAAGATGTGCAGGAGGAGTTATTTGTAGTGTGTGTGTGTGTGTGTGATGTTTGTTTAAAGTAAAAACAAAACAAAACAAAAAAAAATTCATCCATAACAACAACAACAACAACTAAAATGAATAGATCTGATTACCAAAATGTGAATGTATATTTATGCATGTAATTTACATAAATCTCTCTCTCTCTCATATGCTTTTTAGCATCTAAAATTGGTTTTTTTTTGTTTTGTTTGCTACATTTTCCTATACAACGTCCTCCTTTATTTATAAAAACATACACACACACACACACACATATGAAGTCAATTTTAAAGTTTGTTAGTGAATAAGAAATGTATGTTATATGTATTTATTGTTATTTATATATGTTTGTTTGTTTGTGTGTGTGTGTAATGGTGGTGTCTTAATTTATGAAAAAAATAACCATTGGCTTGAGAATGGATATAATGAAAAAATTTTGAATTTTGTAAAAAAAAGAACCAAATGTAGCAAACATGATGATTTTTTTTTCGTAGTTTATTTATTATCATGTTTGTTCATTTGGTTTTAGTATTTTAGTGTTTCAAATATTCACCAAACACAGTCATATTTATGTAAATTTTCTCAAATGTTTTTTTCATTTAACATCATACCGATCAAATTAAATCTAAATAAACAAGTAATCCAAAATGATTATTCGGATATATATTTTTTTGCTCATTTTTTTGTACTTGAATGATTTAAATAACACACACACACACACATGCAATAAATGCAACTCTTTACATTAGTTAAAATGAAGACATCATCAATTTGAAAAATCGATTTTTCTTTTCGATTCCAATTGATGATGATGATGATAACGAATAACAAGAAGCCGTCGACAATATTTTTTTTGCTTGTTTGTTTTTTTTTTTTGGTGTCGACACCCAAAATCAAACGATTATCACCATAAACATCGTGATTATTCAGAAACACAAATAATTTCCTTACCTTTTACACACACACACACACAAACACACTCAATTGCCTGTTTCTTGTTTATTTGTTTCTTTTCATTATAATGATGATAATTATCATAAACAACGATGATGTTTATAACCATCAACAACAAACGGATTCAATGACAATAATCATCATCATCATTATGATGATGATGACAAGCTTTATTAATACCTGTGTTGTTGTTGTTGTTGTTTGTTCATTGAAACTTGTTATTTTTGTTTCTCTATTTTTTTTTCTCGCTGCTAAAATTCATGATCTCGGTCATGTGATTATTATATTTTATTTATCTAAGAACAGCAAAAAAAAAATTTTTGCTGCTACAATGATAAAATACGAGCCTCATAAATTTTATTCGTAAACAAACAAATTTTCTTCCATCATCATCATCATCATCATGGTGATGTCTCAATTCATTTTTTTTTCAGTGATTGGAATTTTGATCATCTAATTCGGATTGAAGGAAAATTATTTTTTTTGCATGGAAAAGAAAAACAGATTTGTTCAAATTGGCAAACAATTGATCGGCAAAAATGAAATGATTTTTGTTGTTTTTTGTTGTTGTTGTTATTGTTTCTGGTTTTTTTTCTGGCTGGACACCTTTTTTTCCAGTCTTGTTTGTTTGTTTGTTGTTGTTGTTGTTGTTGTGGTCATGTTTTGTTTTGTTTTGTTTTGTTTCATTATTGAAAATGAAAAACAACAACAACAAAAACAAAATGTGACAATTGACAATTGAAATGTTTTTTTTTTGGCTATCCACAAATCATTGATTCATTCAAAGTTGTGTCGAATAAAAAACCAAAAGGAAAATTTATCGTTTTTGTATGGCTGGATTTCTTTTGATATTCATTGGAACCATTTGTTTGTTGTTTTTGGTTGTTCAAAAAAACTTGAAACTTAAAAGTCGATATTGCCGCTATATGGAACATAATTTTTCTTCCCTATTCAAATTTGGTCCAATATTTTTTTCTGTTGTTTCATTGGCCATTCGGTTTTGACCACTCGTCGTCGTCGTCGTCATCGAAAAGTTTTCTGATCAATCAATAATGGTGGTCAACCATTTTTTTGCAAAAAGTTCAATCCAGTAATGTTCCAGAAAGAAGAGTATAAGAAAAAAAACCGAAATTTGAATAGAAGAAAAAAAAACGTGCCATGGCAATCCAACAGCTCCTTTAGTGGCCATTTGTTTTTTTTTCGCTTGATTTTGATTCTTTTGAATAAAAAGGCTCATGTTTTTTTTCTTCTTTTTCAATCGATCGATTGTGTTGTTTGTTCTATTGTTTGTGTTGAATAAATCTTGTCAAAAATAAAAAAAAGTGAAGAAAAAACGAAGCCGACAAAATTTATTACAACAAGAAAATGTCAACCCGATGATCATTATCATCATCATCATAATGATTATGGTGATGATCATTGGTGATGATGATGATAATGATTACAAACATATAGGTCAGATACATGTAAATGTAAATTAAGACATAAATTTTCGATTGTCAGTGTGTTTGTCGATTGATTGAATTTCTTTTTTTTTCTCTGTCCATTTTTATATATTTGTATGTAATCCGATTATTCACACACACACAGGCTGATTGTATAATGAAGCAAAAAAATTTTTTGGATCGATCCGTTAGGATGATAATGATCACAATGATCGTTGACTCTGTTTCATCCATTTGAATCAAGGTTTTTTTTTACCACACAGGTAAAATAAACCTTGATTCGTTCCAATTCGATTGGATTTGGTGTTTTTTTCTTGTAATTCCTGTGTGTGTGTGTATGTGAGATAATTATTATGGTCCAAACATTTGTGCACACCATCTTTAAAATGTGAACCATTTGTGGTCAATCATTTTCTTCTTCATTTTGACGATTCTAATAAATGAACAAAAACAACCAACCACCACCAGCCGTGAGTAAACACAGTAAATGAAATGAAAAATGCACCGTTTCACATTGATAGTGTGCGTGCGTGTGTTAATTTTGTCATCTTAATTTTTTCTGAAAATTTCTGGTTTTCAGTTTTACACCTTTAGGCTAATGGAGAAAAAAATGTGTGTTCCAAATTTTTTTTTTGGTTTATTGTCATCATTGACAATAAATGTCATCATCATCATCATCATCATGTATCATCAATGATCATGTATCATGGTGATCATTGTTGATGAATTAAGCCGTTTATTCTGACATTTTTTAACATTGTTCTGATTCGATTTGGTCATTTGACCACCGCTAGTTGCCGTAAGGAAGAGAAAAAAAATTGTTGATTCTTCGAGGGTTGATTAGTGTTGTGGTGGTGGTGATAATCGAATATTTTTGACCTGCTGCTGAGTGTATTGTATGTTCATTTTCTGAATAAAAAAAAAGTTGGCAAAAAACAGTTTTTTTTCATTTGAAATCTTTGAAATAAAGTGTTTTTTTTTCTCGTAAAACTTTATTTTCTATTTTCATCAGGGTTAATTTGCGTTTTTTTTTGGTTTGGTTTAGTTTACCACGCAGTTGTTACTGTTGCATCTGAAATGACCATACCATGTACACCGAAATGCATAAAGCACTAGCCATTTTTTTCAAATCGAATCATTGGAACTAATTGCCAAACAAAATCACAAAATCACGAATAATAATAATGTGTCAATAAAGATATTTCTTTCCCTGATCCATCTGGTCCAAAAAGAAAAAAAAATTTCTGTTCGTTTGTTGTTGTTTTGGTTGTCGTTTCAATTTTTTTTGTTGTTATATACGACAACAACAACAACAAACAATCATCATTTGACATTTTTTTTGCATTGAATTTTGGTTTGTTTTTCTTTCATCATTTGGCAAGCTTGAATGAAAATTATGAATCATAAAATTGGACAAAACAAAATGAAAAATTTCGGTTTTCGAATGAATAGAATAAGAAGGATGTATGTAATCTGATATCTCTCGATAGCTGATCAATGACAATCAGTATGTTTAATGATTTATATCCGATCCGTTTTTCTGGTTCAAAGAAATCAATGGGTTATGTTCTCGTGTTTTTTGGATTTTTATTTTCTTTAGTGTGTGAAAGTGTAAAGTAATTTCTTCATCAATACATTCTCAAAATGAAATTCAATACTAATGTCCTTTTTTGTGACAAGTTTTTTTGTTGTTGAAGAAATGAGTTTTTTTTCCATTTTTTCAATTCATTATTATGGAAATGGGTTCTTATTGCATGTCATTATTCTATATATGCACACATACACACACACACTCAATGCAGGTAATCAAATACCGTATATCCGATATATATGATGATTATTTCCGATCTGTGTGTGTGTGTGTGTGATTGTGATTTATTGTAAAATGATTCCCGATAAAAAAAAGGATTATCACACATACACTTACAACAACTAACACCTTTCCCGGGTGTAATTTTTTTTCCTGTCCTGATGAAATAAGAAAAAACTCAGTTTTTTTTGAATTGACAAAATTCTTTTATTTTAATTCATTTGATTTGAAACTAACAAAAAGTTTTACAATTTGTATTCAATATCGAATTATTTGTTATTATTTACAAAATGATAATTGATTTATAGACAAACTATATTCCTTTGGATAATTATTGATCATGATCATGATGATGATTCTTTTGATGATTTATTTTTTTCCAATACAAATGAACCGGTAGCGGCAGCCGCAGCAGCAGCTGCTGCCGCTGCTGCAGCAGCCATTGCAAATGATGATGGTGTAAATGGTTGTTGTTGTTGTTGTTGTTGTGATGAATTACCGGTTAATGGAATGGGTGATATTGTTGATGATTGTGATGATGATGGATTTGTTGATGCAGCGGCCAATGTTTTCAATGCTTGTAATCCGTGTAATTCATACATTTCTTGTAATAAATGGTTATAATTATTAGCTGCTTGTTGATTGAATAAACTATATGGATTGTTGAATAATGTTGAACCTAATATGGGTGATGTTTGGCGATGATTTAGTGTTGAATTTGTTGGCGGCGGTGGTGGTGGTTGTTGAGCAGCAATCGTTGGTGTTCGTTCAATCAATGATAATGGTGATGATCTTGTTGAAGTTGACGTAGATAATGATGATGATGAGGTTGTTGAAGATGATGAGGTTGATAATCGATCAATATTGAATGATGCTGGAATAATTGGTTGATTCGAAGCATTAGCGGTTGGTGGTGGTAATAGATTTTTAAATAATGGATGATGTGTTGCATGATGTAGCGACGTGTTAGGAGGATGTGGATGAACAAAACCAGTTCGTAATGAATTCTGTTGATGATGATGAGCAGCAGCCGCAGCTGCAGCCATATTGTATGGATTACAGAACCAATTTGGTAATATTGTATTTGAATGTGTGGCAGAAGCAGCAGCAGCGGCGGCGGAAGCAGAATTATGAAACATGGATGCCGGATGATGATGATGTGAATGTGGATGATGATGATGAGGATGAAGAGGGTGATGTGGATGATGTCCATTGGCCGTAACAAATGGATATAAAGAATTAGCAGCGGCAGCTGCATTTGCTGCAACAACTGAACGACGAAATGCTGCCGCTAAACGATTACGTGATGTCGATGTATTACGACGGCGAAGTTTTCCGGTTGTACCGCCAATAAAAACATCATCACTAGATGGATCCAACATCCAATAATTTCCTTTACCAGGATCATCATAATGTCTTGGAACTTTTACGAAACATTTATTCAGGCTCAGATTATGACGTATAGAATTTTGCCATCCTTGTTTATTATCACGATAATATGGAAAATTTTTCATTATAAATTCATAAATACCATTCAATGTGAGACGTTTCTCTTTACTTTGTCTAATGGCCATCATGATCAATGCATTATAACTAAATGGTGGTTTTTCATATTTTTTCTTCTTTTTTGAACTATGTTTTTGTTGTTGTTGTTGTTGGCCATTATCACCGGATGATTTTTTATTTTCATTTTTTCCATCATTCTCTTTCGATTTTTCTTCCGTCTCATCATCATTGTTTATTTTCTTTACATTTTTCTCCGATTGATTAACATCATTTGAATTTTTAGATTTTCGATCATCGTCATCATCATCGACATTGTTATCGATTTGTTCATCATCATCACCATCACCGTGTTTACTTTGTTTTTCTTCATCTTCATTTTCTTTATCTCCATTATTATTGGTCATTTTAACCAATTCCATTGGTGGCGGTGATGATGATTGATTCTGATGATTTGATCCATTTGTTGTTTCATCATCCTTATCATGGTTGTTACAATAATTTATTGGTGAACCATTTTTATCATGATGATGATGATGATCATTATCATTCGATGCAATTATACTTGATATTGAAAATGGATTCGTGTGTTTTATGGTTTGTGTAGAAAATTTTTTTGGTGGAAGCATCATTGTTGTTGTTGATGATGATGATAAAAAATTTGTATGTGACAAATAGCCAAAATTCAGTGAATTTTATTTAAATTAAAGACACGAAATCACATTAATCACACACACACAATATTTATGATGATGATGATTCAAGCTGGAAAACGATTCGATGAATGAATGAATCACTGAATTGTCAAGGAATCGAGGAAAAGAAAAATTTTTTTTTTAAAAATACAACAACAAAAGTAGGTGGTAACCATTTGTTCGTTTTGATTGAATTTGATTTGATTTTCTCTCTATTTTTCAATATTGATTTTATTGTGTTTCACACACACACACACCGATTTTATCGTTTTGATCTCTCTCTGTATATTTGTATGTGTGTTTATTTGGTGTGTATGTGAGAACCAACACACATATATATGGTAATATGTTGTTGTTGTTGTTGTTGTTATCGTTGATAGTTATGATGACAAGAAATGCTACAACAACTAACAACAACAACAACAAACGATGATGATGAAGCAGTATACAGTATAAAAAGCATATAAATGGTGTGGTATGTATGTTTTGAATATATACCATTTCTATGTGTTTAAATATTGATATACATTAATGTCAAACACAATCAATGAATGAATGAATGAATATCAAAACCAACTTTTTTTTCGACGATGATCATCATAGTTGTAGTGGTATGTTATTGTTGATGATTTTTAAAAGTCAAAACTTATAGATGAGAAAAGTATTTTTCTCTGTGTGTGTGATGAAGACAACGAATTTTGGTTGGCTGATGGTTTTTTTTTCTCTCTCTCACTATGTGTGTTTATATTATGTTGTGTGTGTTCATTCATAACATTTATACAGCAAACATCCGCCGCCCATTACTATGAACGATAGCTACTATGAAAGGGTGGTGCTTATTTACTGTACTGTGCGATTCATTTTTTTGTTTTTATTTATTGTTGTTGTTGTTGTTGTTGTTGTTTGACAAAAAAAAACTATTTTTGTGTCTATTTTTGTATTTATTCACATATAGAGTGGGCAGTAACTTTGTTTTTGTATCATTCAACAACAAGAATGAAAATAAATACAAAACATTAGACTGGCCAATAGGAAATGAATGAAAAAACGTAGAGAAAAAGAGAGAGTGGAACAACCAAAGATTGTCGATGTTGTTGTTGTTGTTGTTGTTGTCGGTCATTTCAAATTTTGCAAATCAAAATGATTTGATCATTACAAATTATAAATATTTTTGTTTGTTTGTTTGTTTGTATGTATGTATGTCTCTGTGTTTAGATTTTTTATATATATGTTGAAAGCGTTGATAATTACGCATATCAATACACAGTATAATAATGATAATATATAAAATATATATAAGTAGAAAGCTAGCGAACGAGAAAGAGAAAGATTTAAGATGTCAAACGATTTGTTGTTGTTGTTGTCGTTGTTGTTGTTGTTGCTGTTGTATGATATACTTGTACATACAAGAATGATAAATGATGGAAAATATGTTTCTTTTTTTTCGAAAAAAATTCATAATGATTATCAATGACAAATTTTTCCATTTTTTTTTCTCTTTCTTGACATATTTGCCATGAATGTCTGTCTCAAAAAAAAAAAATTAATCAGGAAGGGTTACATTGATCGATTATATGTTTTTTTTTCATTTTGATAATGAAATTATTGAAACGAATTTTTTTTTCTTAATTAATTGAACTGTTTGTTGTTTGAAAATTGATTGGAATATATAAAACAATGCCATTTGTTTTGATTTTTTTGTTTTGTTTTAAAAATTGTTCTACCAATGTTTTCGATAAGAATTTTAATCGCCACTTTGGCTATGGTAATCATTATTGTTCATTCGAATGTTGATTATGCAATGAACACTACAACAACAACAACAACAACAGCAACGAAAACATTGAAGATGATAAAGTTAATGTCAATTGAAGAAGATATTCTACAATCCTGTCTACATCAATCGATGGCAATGATGGTAAATAAAACTGTGGATAATGAAAAACAACGTTGCCATTGTATTGGTATATTGATGCTTAAATGTATTGACAATATTTGTGCCAATAATGAAACATTACAACTTTATCTTAACATTTGTAATGAACCATATGATTATGGAAAAAAATTAAATTGTCAACCATTGCGCAATGAAACATGGATAGATGAGCTGTCAACGAAATTTTGTCTTCATCGGTCAATACCTGATTCAAGTACATTGCTGATAATAGTTGTTATTTGTCTATTATCATCATTTGGATGTTCATCATTGACTATTCTTTGTATTGCAAGTTGTGTTAAATTTCCAAAACGTATCAAATGGTGTTAAACACATATACACACCACATATAGAGTTTCCTGTTTATTTTTTTATTTTCACAATAATAACGATGTTTTTTTTTTAATGTTCCAAAATGATCATTATGATCATCAATGGCAATTTTTTTTTCTCTGACATATTTAAATCAAAATGGATTCATTCATTTGATGTGACATCGCTTTCTTTTTGAATTATTGTCGGTGCATTTTTTTGCCGATATTTGTAAAACAACAACAACGACAACAAGAACAAACGCCGCTTTTATTGAATCAATACATATCTGCCGCATCTTTTTTTCAATCATTTGCATTTGCGTTTGATGTTTACAAGCAAAACATATAAAGCGGCATTTTTTTTCTCTCCAATCCATGATAAACAACAAATTTTTTTTCTCTTGTATCTTTCGGTTCACACTTTGATGATGATGATGATATTGAAAATTGAATTTGAATTTTGAAAGAAAATGAAAGGATTTTGTAATTTTTTTGAAAAATTTGATTTGATTTTTTTTGTGTGTGTGTTTATAATAAATTATGAAATGTAAACATCACCGGCCGCATCCATGGATGCAAACGACGAATGGCAGCATTATGGATTTTAATAACTTTTTTTTTGTTATGTTTAAATTTTGCAACACACACATATCATATGTAGCATCATGATATTGAATTTTCAAAATATGGATGGAACTGATGATGTTTTGAATCAAAACATTCACATCACACACACACACACACACACAACAAACTTTCTTATTTTGTTTGTTTGTTTGTTTGTTGCCAAAACATGATATTATTATTTACATCAAAATACAAACATTTGTATCATTTCATTTGATTTTGTTGTACGACGACAAAATCCAGATGGAACAAAATCTTGGCTTTTTCTGTTTCGTTGTTGTTGTTGTTGTTGTTGTTGTTGAACATTCATCCATATTTCTTGTAGATAGATGTTGTTGTTGTTGTTGGATTCAATTTGATTTTATCCTTATAATTTTCTGTGTGTCTGTATATGTAATTGCCATGCATTTTACATCTGACAAAAAAAAATTTTTGTTCTTGTAATTGATGATGATGATGATGATGATAATGGTGGTGATTATAAATGTTGATCATGATGATGATGATGATTGGATAATGACACATTTCAAATGATTTTTTTTCTGCATTCTCCATTTGAATGAATTTTTTTTTTTTTTTTTTTTTGTTGAGAAAACTATAACCAATAATTATCTCGATAAACTTTTGTATGTGCGTTTTTATCCGAATTCGTTTTTTTTTTTTGTTCGTTATCGTTCCAGGAACATTATTTCGGGTACATCACCCTCTTTGCTTTAAACATTGGCAGTGGGTGTTTCGTTGTTGTCTTACATTCTACATTTCCATTTCCGAAAAACAAAACAATTCTTCACTACTACCAGAGTGCATGGTGAACTCAAACAGCAGCAGATGTACTCGATGATATGAATATATTTGATTGATTTACCCCCACCTCCTCCCCAATATTTGATTGATTCAAACAGATTTGAAACATGATTGTTTCACATTTACATTGTGAAAAAATAAACGACCCATTGGTAAATCATCAAATCACTGATTTGTTGCTGACAAATTGCAAATTGCACACATACACACAAAAAAAATGCAGCCACCATTAGAATCACCAAGAGCAAAAAGTATCATCATCACTTTAACAATAACAACAACAACAACAACCAAACAGACCAAAATGAACCGAAAAAAATGAAATTTTTTTTTTTTGATTGACATATCCCATAAGCTAGTCGCGAATCAACAACAACAACAACAAAAAAAACACCCGACATTCAAAAACCACACATCAGTCAACTAGCCATAATCATTAGTGTGTGGTGGTGGTGGTGGTGGGTTCTGTATAACATCAAAAATCAACAACCAGCAACAAATGCTGATATTTTTCGAGAAGTGAAAATGATTCCATCATCATCATCATCAGTATCAAAACAAGCAAGACAAGGGTCAAAAGACGTTAAACAGAAGCTAGCGAAACAAAAAATCAACTTGCTGCTGCTTGTTTTTCTTTCCAATTTTATTCAATCAAAATTGTGTAAATGCCAGATCCAACAACAAGAAAAAAAATGAAAAAAATGAAACATTTGTTAAATACCCTGTTCATGTATTTTTTGATGGTTCATTACATTTTTTTCGTTAAATTTGGTTTTTGTTGGTGAAAACTTGCGCGGCAATAACCAAAATTTGCATTCAGGCTGTTATTTATTTGTTGGCCTGTCAAAAAAATTTTTTTTTTTGACAAACAACAAACATGGCAGACACACCCACCCACACACACACACACATACATGGTTTCTGCCAGCTAAACACTTTGGTTTCGAATAGATTCGGTTGTTTTTTCCTGTTTTTATTTATTTGTTTATCCAATCCCGTTTTTTATTGATTTGTGGTTCGATACACGTAGGATATATTCGATGTGATTCGATTCGGATTTTCATTTTTTTTTGTCAAGGTTTAATTTCATGTTTATATATAGGTTTGTATATCATCATCAATATATTTTGGCAGCAAACAAAAAATAAATAAATAAAATTATCACCAACAAACAAACAAACAAACAAACGAATAACCCATATGGCTAAAAAATGGTACCAATTTCAGTTACATGATGAAAAAATGTCATCAAAAAAAATTTTTTTTTTCGTCCTGTCATTTCATTCAATCAAACATCAAAGAAAATGAAATGGTGTGATTTTATTTTTTGACAAGTCAAATTCTTCAAGATTTTCTCTTTCTTTTTCAATTTCAATTTTTCTTCTGTGTGTGTGTGTGTGTCGAAAGGTGTTGTTTATCACACACACACACACATACACACCACTTTTTCAACAGATTTTCAAATTGTTCAGAAGCGGCAAACATTAAAAAAAAACATTCACAGCCCAACAACAACAATATCAAACAATAGAGCGGCGGTCAAAAAGTCAAAAATGAAGAAATAAAAAAAAAAAAAATGTTAATGTGTCAGCAAAGAAATCTATTGTGATGAATGATATTGTGTGTGCGGTTGTATGTATTATGTTTTTCGATGAGAAAGAAAAAAAAACGCTAGCTATAGAGAGCTTAGCCAGCTTGCGCGGCTAAACATTGATCTATGACGACACGATCCTATTGTTGTTTTTTTTTTTGTTTTGTTTTGTTTGTTGTACGTGTTAAACGTGTTTTTGTGTATATGTGTAGATTTTCAAATTGTTCAGAAGCGGCAAACATTAAAAAAAAAAACATTCACAGCCAACAACAACAACAACAACAATATCAAACAATAGAGCGGCGGTCAAAAAGTCAAAAATGAAGAAATAAAAAGAAAAAAAAAATGTTAATGTGTCAGCAAAGAAATCTATTGTGATGAATGATATTGTGCGGTTGTATTATGTTTTTCGATGAGAAAGCAAAAAAAAAACGCTAGCTTAGCCAGCTTGCGCGGCTAAACATTGATCTATGACGACACGATCCTATTGTTGTTTTTTTTTGTTTTGTTTTGTTTGTTGTACGTGTTAAAACGTGTTTTTGTGTATATATGTGTGTGTGTGTGGTGATTGTGTCCATCCATATATACATTTGTTACCGTTTTAATATTTTGCTTCCAAACAACTTCTTATAATTTGTTGCTGACAACTTAATTTCCAATGAAAAAAAAAAAATTTTTTTTTGCCCTGCACTACTCTACTGCCCTATGTGTGATAGATTTTATTTTGTCCATTTGTTCCCCATATATATATCTAAAGATAGATAAAGATACATTATTTGAGATTCAAACCAAAAAAAAAAAAAAAAAAAAAATGATTGAATGAATGAAAACCTTTCTGCGGTTTCCGACACCGGTGTTTGTTGTTTGTTTGTGTGTGTGTGATCATTTACCGAATCATTATTATTATAGTTGTCACCAGAGAGGGGGAAAAACCAATTTTCATGATCGGCTTTTTTTTCTCTCATTGTTTGATTTCGATCTGTGTGATTTCATTTTGTTTTTTTTGTTGTTGTTGTTGTTATTCGCTCTTTTTGTGGCTACCGAATTATTTCCACACAAGTCACACACACAAATAGATCCAGAAAAAAAATTTGCTTCATTGAATATAACATATGTATAGGTGTGTGTGTGTGTGTGTAAAACATCTTAATTTAAAGGTGTTGACACACTATTTATACCGATATTACGTTACTAATAGCCGATAATGTATTTAATGTGTGTGTGTGTGTGTGTGGTGTGATTTTTTTTCCTTTTGGATCAATCAGGTATACAAGTGATGTCCAATGTTTTTCTTTTATGTTGTGCGGTTTTTTTCTTTTTGGTTTTGTGGAAAACATTTTTCTCGGATATTCTCTTATAGTTTTTGGCTATTTGTGTATGGAAACTAGGAGAGTGAATGAGATTGATTTTGTCAATTTTTTTTTTTTTTTTTTTTTTTGGTTTGTTCGGTTTTTTTTGCTGTTGTTGTAGTTGTTGTTGTTCTTTTTCTGGTTTTCATGATTTTTTTTTATTCTAATTCAAATTTATAATCCAAATTGATGGCTTTTAGTTGCCGTTTAATAAATACACACACACACACACATTAAATGTTGGCCTTTTTTTTCTTGGTTGTAAAATGTCTCTTTTTCACAGGGTCCTAGGACCATACATCACACACACACACACACACACAATACCGATGATCCTGATGATGATGATCGTCATTCGGTTATTGTATTTATTCGTCGCCGTTGTTGTTGTTGTTGTTGTAGTTTTACACGGCTGGTCTTTATTTTCAGTGATTTTTTTTTCTGGATCGTGTCCTCATACAATATTCACACACACACACACACACACACACACACCAGCAAATGATCAACTCTCTCTCCAACTAAATGATCCATCAAACAAACAAGAGAAACAAATTTCCAGATAATACAAATATAATAAACGGCAAATATAAATGAATGGTAATGATGATGATGATGATGATGGTTTTAGTGAGTACTAACTACCACTAGTTCCAAATGATCATTTGTTCCACAATAATTTACACTTATTCATTTCGGTTATTTATTAATAATAAACGGTTATGGTTGAGACACTATATTATAATAATAATAATCGTTGTTGTTTGGATAGAAAAAAAATTTTTTGCTTTCTCTCGTTTGGATTTGTTTTTGTTTTTTTTGATTCATTCATTGGATGTATCCATGTTATAGGTTCTATGGATAGCAGCAACAACAACAGCAGCATTATATTCGATGAATGAATTGATTTTTTTTTCATTTTGTCAAATTTCAAGCTCATTATCATTCAATGATTATCAAATGGTTAATTAAGTAGTGGAAAAACAAAACAAAAAAAAAAGTTTTTTTTCAATTCGAGACGCTCCCATGAAATTATTATTCATTTGGAAAGAGAAAAAAAAAATTTTTCCATTTCAACTCATCATCATCATCATTATGGAATGTGTGAGCAAGCATAAAAATGTCCAATTCACTGGACAATCAGTTGTTTTATCATTGTCATTGTTGCTCTGGTGTCAAATTTTGGTCATTTCTTTTTTTTCTGGTTATTTGGTCACTTGTATATATAGACATATGGTAGCCATATTTTTACCCTTATTTGTGATGATGATGATGACGATGACATGTAATGTAATGATGACCATTATCATTATGATTATGACCACCATCACCACCACATAAAGGTCGACATTTGTGTCAAATGTTTGACATAAATGTTGTTTGTAAATTATCTGGCTTGTTTAGTGTGTGTGTGTGTGTGTGTGTGTCTATCATCAACGGCAAACGAATTTCTCTTGGTCATTATAATGAGACGAAGAGAGAGACAATCATCATCATCATCATTGAATTGAATTGAATGAAAGTAAAATTTGGTCAAATCTCTGGTTTCACTTTTTTTTTTTTGTGTGTGTGTACCCACCACCACCATCATCAATTGACTGTGGTAATTCGATTTATTTTTATAAAACCAAAGAAAAAAAAATTCCTTCGAAGTTCATTTAGTGAATGTTTTTTTTTCGTTTGTTTGTTTGTTTTTTTTTGTCCGATTTATACTGGATGATGAATTATTGATTAGTAATGAAAAATTCTTTTATTTCGATTGTTTCGATTGTTCATTCTGATTCATCTGGTTCATTTGGTTCACATGATTTGCTTGTTAGTAATCTAATATCTTCTATCTATCGAGGGAAAGAAAACAAATAAAACACAAAGTGCAGTGTCCAGTAATCCGAGAATATTCTGATATATTATTCTGATTATGGCTAATTACATGGTGGTGATTCAAAAATTTTTTTTCTTCCAAAAAATTGATAAATATCGAAATCAAAAAACGAAAAAATTTTCGTGAGAATCAACCAATTGAACAACAGAACACAAAACAAGAAGCTAAACAACAACAAATTGACGATAAACAATACACCACATGTACACATCAAAACAGACAAATCAAATTGAAAAAAAATAACCGATCCATATCTCTCTTTATTCAATATGATGATCATCATCATTGTTGTTGTTGTTGTTGTTCTCTCAGCATGTGTGATCACTGATTTGAAAACAAAACAAAAAAAATTTCATCTTCATATACGAATGGATCCTGTCATAATCAAAAAAAAAAAAAAAAAAAAAAAACACATGAAAACATTGCCAAAAAATTTCATCATCACATCATCCAATCGAATATTGATTTGGCCTGTCTAGTCTCTGGTTATAATCTCATCATTATTGTTCATCTTCATCATCATTATCAATTTATTTTTGATTTTTTTTTCTTTTGCTTATGTGTATGTGGTTCACGTGGCCCGTTTTTTCAGGTTCTCTTCATTTACACTTGGCTTATTTTTACAACAATTCACTGTCGATGTGTGTGTGTGTGTGTGTGTATGTCAATTATTAATTCAAATTCATTGATAAATATAAATGAATCACAATGAAATGCTAGAAAATGAACTAGATCACCCATGTGTGTCTGTGTGTGTCGATTGCTGCTCTCTCTCTCTCTCTCTCTAAATGTTAGATATGATCTCTATCTCTCGATTTTTAAATTGAATTCGATTCAATTGAATTTGATTGAAATGAATGAAACGAAACAAACAAAAATACAATCGATTGATGTGTGTCTCTCTCTGTGTGTGTGTGAAAAAAGTCAGATCCTAATCAAAAATAATTAGATTGTACATACATAACCCTGGTGTTGTCGTTGTTGTTGTTGTTGTTGTTTGTATGTAGAAAACCAGGACAAAAGATTTCGAGAGAGAGTGAGAGAGAAAAAATGGTACCAATCTCGTGTTGGCGGTCATCATCAATGGACTTTAGTTTATTTTTCTTTTTACAAAACTAGATCAAGTGATTGATAATGATCCAGAAACACGCGCGCACACATCATTTCTGTTTTTGTATGTATACCAAAATCGTATCATTATTATTAATCAAATTACAATTAAGCATCAATTAAGAATTAATTGAATTCAATTCAATTTTCATCTATTTACCAATGGGATCATTCAGTTATTCTTTGCTGGATCGATCATTATTATTATAACGAGAAAATTTTTTTTTTCAAATTTTGGATCGTTTTTTTGGTTTGAATTCATTTGAACGATAATGATGAAGAATTTCAGTGAAATGAAACATGTTTTCATTGAAATTTTGCCAATTTGATTCTCGTTAAAGTTAATTCACTGATACTGGTGATATGACAAAAAATTTAAATAATAATGATCGATCTAGCTGCTAGATTCTATAGAAAATTCTTGTTCATGCCAATGACACACACACACACATACACCGATATATAACCAATAATTAAATGATTTTTTTGTTCTGTTCCATCATCAGAATCAATGATATATGATATATCTGGTATACTGAAATTCAAAAGACCGATCGATTCTTGAATTCAAAGAACAAAAATCAAGTGTTATAATTAATGATGATGATAGTGATGATAATAATTTTGGTTTTGTAGTTCTATATTAATGATGATGTAATTATAATCGAATCTCGAATGGTCAATTTTTGGTGATTAATAATGTTGTTATTTCGGTAAAAGCTTTGATTATCGTTGAAACACACACACACACACACACAAAAACAAGCTACCGAATGTCAAATTATTCGATTTGTAGTGATTATTATTACTATTGAAAATTGATTTGACCCTTCTCTCGATCAAATGATTTTTTTTTCTTCATGGCCTCAATTTTAATTAATGACCTCTCTTGCTCTCTGTCTCTGTCTCTGTGTGTATGAGATGTGATTTATCAACATGAAAAAACTAAAATGACATGACCCATTGCCATTTGTAAAAGATTAGCGTGGTTTTTTTTTTGTACAAATGACGATGATAATTTTGTTTTGTTTCACATTCGGATAATGATGATCATTGATGAGGATGATTTGTTTTTTAGTTTAGTTTCGTTTCGTTTTGTTGTTTGTCGATGGCAACGCCCTACCCCAAACTAACAACACAAACACAGCAGGATAGATTTATGTTGAAAATGACAAGCGGTAATTTTTTCTTCGTTGAATTGTCTGATTAGTTCGATCGATGATGTTTGTGTCAAAAAGCAATCGAATTAAGAAATTTTTTCCCTCAACCCCAAATTTATTGTAAAAATTTGAAAAAAAATTTTAAAGACAGAAAACATTGACACATTGAAAAAAGATTCAAATTTTATCTGCGGTAGCGCCATCTATTATCCACTATCGAACTATCGATTTATTTAGAATTTCCAGTTTCATCGTTCAAATTCGTTTGTGTATTGGACAATGGTTTCGATAGAATGTGATCAATTAATCCCAATTCTTTGGCCTCTTCTGGATTTAGATATTTATCACGTTCCATATATGATTCAACGGTTGCTAAATCTAAACCAGAATGTTTTGCATAAAGATTATTGATTAATTTTTTCAATTTCAAAATTTCTTCTGCTTGAATTTGTATATCGGTTGCTTGGCCAGCTGCTTGTCCATGCGGTTGATGTATCATTATCCGGGAATGTGGTAATGAATAACGCATATTCGCTGTGCCGGCTGTCAACAAAAGGCTAGCCATTGAACAGGCTTGACCAACACACCATGTTGCGATTGGTGGCAGAATATATTGCATTGTATCATAGATAGCTAGTCCCGATGTAACAACACCACCTGGACTATTAATATACATATGAATGGGTTTTTTACTTGATTCTGATTGTAAAAATAATAACTGTGCTATAACCAACGACGATAACGTGTCATTGATTGGTCCCATCAGACAAATAATTCGTTCTTTCAATAATCGGGAATAAATATCATATGAACGTTCACCACGACCTGTTTGTTCAACAACAATCGGTATTAGATTAAGATGACGTTTCTGTAATAGATTAAGATTTGAAACCATCGAAATATTTGTAGTTCGAGTTGTTAGAATGCGGAATAAAGAATTTAGAATCATTGTTGTTGTTAATGTTGTTGTTGTCGTTGATGAAAATTTTTAAACAATGAATTTTTTCATTCGAATCTGAATCACATGGCAATTTAATTGATACGTTCTCTATGAACAGGTTGATTCGAAGAAAATTTATTTTTTCTCATTTTTTCTGTTATGATGAAATAAATTTTGTTGGTTTTTTAATCAAATGAAAAAAAAATGTCCGATTCCAAAGAAGTTTTTGTGAAAACCGAAAATATCAAAGAAAAATTGGAACGTGAAAAAATTCGTGAACGTTTAGAAACACAACGTGAAAAACGAAGATTATTGGAAAAATTTCGTAAAGCCAAAACCATTGATGATGATGAAAATAAAAGCGACAATGAAGAAGATGCAGCTGAATGGTATCAACGCACTAAACATCAACATCAGAAACGAATATCGAAACAGGTAACGACCGATGATAATAATGATGGTGAACCATCATCAAGTAAACGATCAAAAATAATTGATAAACATCATCGTTATACATCATCCGATCTAAAAGGTTTAGCCATTGGCCATAAAGCTGATTCTATACAAGAAGGAAAACAAATTGTTCTAACATTACGAGATAAAGATGTCTTGGATGAACAGGAAGATGTATTGGAAAATGTAAATATTGTTGATGATGAACGTGCAGCGAAAAATGTCGATAATAGAAAAAAACGACCAGAATACCGGCCATATGATGATGATGAATTTGACATGCAACAAGAACAATTTCTGGCTAGTAAAAAACAATCATTACTTGGAAAATATGATGAAGAAATTGATGGACCAAAAAATGAAATGTTTCGTATTGGATCCACAATAAATACTCGAAATAATCAACTTGGTTCATTCAAAATGGATGCCGATACTTCTACGACAACAACAACGACAACGGGTAGTAATGGAAAAATTTCATTAAATTGGAATGATCTTAAAATTGCAAATGAATATTATACAGCCGAAGAAATGGCTGTAAAATTTAAGAAACCATCAAAGAAAAAAGCAGCAAAAAATCTACGACAAAAACAACAACCATTAACAACGAATCATCATCAAATGCCTGATGTTGAAATTGAACCACCACGTTCGAAAAGATCACGTCGAACCAATGTGAATGATTCGATAAATGAAAAGAAAAAAATTGCATTAAATATCGATAGTATCGCCGATAATAATGATGATGATCTTATTGGACCGGATGAAGATCTTTCCGGTATTGTTATCGATGATGAAGCGGAAAATGAATTACAATCAGTATTGCAAAAAGCACGAAAAATTAAATTGAAAGAAACAATATCTGATCCAGCATTGGCTGTTGTAAAATTGGTGGAAATGGTTAAACGTGAAATAAAACCAGAAGAAGATGATAATACGAATCACTCATCAATGGATAATGATTATGATGGTAATGATAAAATCATTTTAAATGCAACAGCTGAATTTTGTCGAAATCTTGGTGAATATTCTGGAACACAAATGGAAATGTACAATCGTCGTACAATGATCGATGATGATGATGATGATGATCACGATAATGACGATAATGATGGTGGTGATGAAAAACCTGCCACTATAGTACAGGAAAAAACTGTCATCAATAATGATGAAAATTCAAATGATGAAGATGATGATGATTTTAAATTTCCAAATAATTGGAATGAAGTTGATATGAAAACCGAAGATAATGGTGGTAATACATCCGATGATGATGATAATGATGATAAACCATACGATGCTGATGATGGTGATAAAAATTCAAAAATTCATCAGCCAATTTTAGAAGAAGAACCAGATGTTAGTAAAGGTATTGCCGGTGCCTTGAAATTGGCAATGACCAAAGGTTATCTGGACAAAGAAACATCAAAATCATTTGGAGCAACCCGAGCCACATCAATCATACAAGCACAATCATATACGATTGAAGAAAAATTCTAGTAAGTTTTTTATGGAAAAATTATTGAATTTTTTTTCTAAAAATCTATTTTTTCTCTCTCATGAAAAAAAACAGTGATGATGATCGACTTGGACGTCGTGATCGATATTCTGGTGCTATGCAAGAATTTCGTGAAAAAGATGGTTATAATCCAGATTTTAAACTAGATTATGTGGATGAAAAAGGTCGAATGATGAATCAAAAAGAAGCGTTCCGTTATCTTTCGCATAAATTTCATGGTAAAGGACCAGGAAAGAATAAAATTGATAAACGAATGAAAAAAATGGAACAAGAAAGTGTATGTTTATATTTAATGAATTTTATCAAATCAAATGAAATGAAATGAAATTAATTGATGATGAAAAAAATTTTCACTTTTTCTTTCTTTGTATACACAGAAATTACGTCAAATGAGCTCAACAGATACACCATTGAATACGGTAAAATTACTACAAGATAAACAAAAAGAATTACAAAACCATATATTGTTCTTACTGGTGGTGGTCAACAACAACAACAACATAAATCATCTACATCCACATCATCATCGACACAAATATCAAAAATGATAATTTTTTTCTCTCTCAATAAAACACAAAAAATATTTGAATGAAATACGATCATTTGTTGTTCAAGTTGTTGTTGTTTTTTGTTATTAATCTGAATCTGAACCAAAAATTTGCTTTGTTCGTTGTCGTCGATCATCGATCATCATCGCTGTCACTATCACTACTTACACCGCTACCACCATCATTATCACTATCAGAATTGTCACTTGATTCAACAGATGAATCAGCTGAACTAGCTGCACGTGATTCCTGTTGTTGTTGTTGTTTTTTCTTTTGCAAATCTTTTTCCTTTGGTGATGATGGTTTTTGTTGTTTACGATTTTCATTATCCGATTCATCACTTGATTCAGATGATGATTCGGAAGATGAAGCAGCTGATGAAGATGCCGATGACGACGACGATGATGATGATTGAGCTGATTCTTCATCATCACTTTCATTACGATTCTTTTTATTTCGAGATTTTCGTTTATGTCCACCATCATCGTCTTCATCTTCATCTTCTTCATCCATTTCTTGATCTTGTTGCTGCTGTTCTGATTGTTGCTGATCATCATTATCATCATCTTCATTATATTCCATCATCTCAGATTTAGTTGCAGCTGCTGCAGCCGCTGCCGCAGCTTCATCTTCTTCTTGTGGTGGTTCCAACTGGGTCATACGTATTTCTTGAATTTTATATTCTTGTTCATTCAATTGTCGATGTTTTACGACTAATTTTGAATTAGTTGCCGTATGTTTTACACGTCGTTTACTAAGTTTTACACGTGTTTCCAATTCATTGTAACAAACAGCATCATCACGCCAAACGAAAAAATAATTTTCTTCATAACCTTTCGTTGCTTTATTCTTGACATTCCAATTATATTCACGTGCCATGCTGTATTCGTAGTCTTCATTTTCGGTATAATCACGACCTTCAAGTTCATCGATTTTGCGTTTATTCATTGAATCTTCGGTAGGTAGAAAATAGGCAACAAATTGTTCACCACTTTCATCCATTACACCACGTATCATAGCTTGTGACATTTCTTTTTCTTTTTCTGATGGTGCAGGATCAGCATCGAACATAACTTGTGCAAATGGATATTTCCATAATTCAAAATCTGGAAACACTGGCCATGTTTTCACTGGTTTCAGACCCGGTTTACCTGGATGTGATAGAATTGGTTTCTTAGCTGATTCAAATGTTTTATTGATGGCAGCAATTTGACTATCACGATCCAGATAGAAATTTTCATCACGCATTCGTTTACGAACACCAAAACCGACTCTATTTATCGAGCAGGAAGAAAATTGTAAATATTTTCAATAATCCTTAATTTGTTACTTACTTTGTTTCAGTTTTATCACTACTTGCACCATATCGATTGAATTCCGTAGAGATATATTCAGTTTTTTTCAACCAAGTAATGGCACGATTATGACAACGTGAACGTTTCGTATCTTGTGGTGCGGCAATTTCATCTTCAAGAAGTTTTTCATCTTCTTCGGCTAATCGTAGATTTTTATATTCATCAATTTCATATGTTTCTGGATTAATAAGATCAATGGTGACCCCAAGATCTTGTTCAGTGAGCAGATCATGTTTATAATTTTTCTCCAATGATGTTTGTTTATATTCAACAAATCTAAATGAAATTTCGAGCCCTGAATTAGGAATAAATTCAAATCGCGAGAAAAAAATCTTACCTATTCGTATCAAATGGATAGACAATGAATTTCGGATCGAATGGTATATCTGGTAATGAATTACTGTATTTAACTTTACAGAATAATTCTGGACGTCGTTCAATTGGTTTTTTTGTAGCCGTCGTCGTTGTTGTTGTTGTTAACGACGATCTATCCGATGTTGTTTGTGATGCTGTCTTATTACCGTTTGTAGCTGGAATCTGTACCACTGGAGCCATTGTTTTATCAAGTTGATTTTTTTTCAAAAAAAAAAAACAATTCAACAACAAATAACTCGATTGTGATCGATGCATCAAATCATCAAGAATCATATTGATTCCATTCGATGTATATCCATTCATAAAGGACGTGTTTGACTCTTAAAGAATCCAATTTGACAATTGTTGCACCAATAATTATTCACATTTTCACGATAAAAAATGGATCCATTTCATTTTACTGAAATTCCCGAATTTTATCATAATCGAAATGGAAACGATAATGTTATCTGTGCAAAATTAAGAGAGCAAGCAAGGTATCAAAAATCAATCAAAGTGGCGAATTTTTATGACGAAAAATTTTTTCTCTAGATTTTTATTCCTAAATCGATTGAGTAAAGAAACAATTCAGAATGAAGAATTACAGGTAAGTGTTTGTTTCTTTTTCCAGAGAATCTAATCTAATTTCATTTCATTTTATTTTTAAATATTCTGACTAGCAATTATGGTTATTGTTGGAGAAAAATGTCCATACATTATCCAATGAAATGAACGATGACCAGAAGATTAATTATCTGGAATTTCAACAAATTCGTCAACAATTGAATCCAGATTCAAAATTAAAAAAATATTTTAGCGCAACAATTTTCACTCAATTACTTTCTGAACATCAATCATTATCATCATCATCCTTATCATCGATTCAATCAACGGGTGGAAAGATATCGATACTGACATTTTTTCGTTATGTAATGCGTAAAATTTGGTTACAACAAGCACGTGTATCGCTTTCATTTTGGGATTCATCCGCTAACGGTTATCTAACCAGATTGGTATGATGATGATGATGTTTTTTTTGATTTTTCAAATTTCAATTAATTTTTCACAATCATCAGGATCTAGAAAATTATATTCGCCAATTGATTCCAACATTGACCAAGGTTTGAAAAAGTTTTGATTTTCTCACTTGACCAGTTTGTTTGTTTGTTTGTTTTATTTCCATCAAATAGCTGAACAATATGGATAAATCCTATTATCCATTCTATATTTGTGTGGCAACAAGAAAATTTTTCTTCATTCTTGATCCACATAAACATAATCGTATACGAATAATTGATGTATTATTTTCCGGACTACTTGATGATTTATTGGAACTTCGTAATAATGGTGATGGTTATGATCACAATGATTCGAATAATCATCAACCACATCACCATCAGCAACAACAGCAACAGACAACAAACACCGGAAATCGAAATCAATCAATTATCGATAATTTTAATTGGTTTTCCGCAGCCAACACCATTCGATTGTATAACATGTATATTGAGTATGTAAAATTTTTGATCTAATTTTTTATTTCTCATCGCGATTTTTCATGGGAGGAAAAAACTAAATAATTTACGGCCAATAAAAAAAAATGATGGACTCCCAATGTTGAACTGGATTTTGATTTTTCATTTTTTTTTTATCACTTTTTCTTCTAGCCTCGACGATGATCATAATGGTATGATATCGAAATTGGAATTGCGAAAATTTGGCAATTTCAATGAATTGTTTGTCGAACAATTGTTTGATGTTTGTATGACTTATAACAAAGAAATTGTATGTTTAACTTTTTTTTCCGATTGATTCTGGAATTTAATTTTTTTTCCATTGATTCTTTATGACAATTCAAGGATTTCAAAACATTTATCGATATAATTCTGGCCCTAGAGAATCGTAAAGAAATTCAATCACAGCATTTTTTCTTCACTATTCTTGATATTAATCATTGCCATTATTTGGATGATTATGTTTTAAGATATTTTTTCAAAGCAATCGAAAATCAAATGCGACGACAAGGACAGGAACCGATTCGATTCGATGATTTTAGCAATGAAATCTATGATATGATCAGGCCACAAAAACATTCGAGAAGAATCTATTTTGATGATCTTGTTGCCAGGTTGTTTTCACTAATCAACATTTTGATTGTTTCTAATGGTTTTTAATTTTCATTTTTTTTGTATAGTGGTCACGCCGATACAATCATCAGTATATTGATCGATTTCAATGGATTCTATGCATATGAAAATCGTGATTCAAACATTCGATTACGAAATGCAAACAATCGACCAATGTCACCGATGCTAAATTCTTGATAAATAATCATTTGTGTTCAAATATCAATCAATTTTGTAATTAATTTATAAACTATTTTTTTAAAAAATCAATAAAAAAAATTCAAAAAGAATACCTGAGAAATTTTTCAAAATATGATGTTAAGAAAGATATTTCCCTAGAATTTTTTTTTTTGGCATTCGAATGTTTGTTGTTATAATCAGCAGGTGATCAACACTTCCTTTCACTGTGTGTCTGTGTTTATCGACGTATTTGCTATGACCTTATGTTTTTTTTGTGGATAATGGATAAAGGAAATGAAAATTTGGATTTTTACGACAATCTATATTTTTAAATATGTTGGCCAAAAAAAAAAAAAATGAAGAATGATAATGTCATCTCTTTGGATTTCATTCCATCTGTTGATAAAGTAAATATACAGTATTTAAATGTTTTTTCCCATCACCACCACCAATTTTATTTTGATTTATCTCTTTCATATATTTGTTCCCTTGCTCCCAATTTCCAGACTATTGTGTGTCTGCTTGATGTGTATACGTGACATTTTTATGACATATTGGTAATGATCACGATGTGACGGACTGGCTGATCTATAACAATATATATTTATTGTTATTATGGTCATTCATCATTAATCTCATCAATTGACAAGTGATAATAGCTATGGAAGAAGAAAACCTTTTATTATCCTTTACATCACCAACATCATCATTATCACATCAATAAGAAACATCGACTGGTGGTGGTAAACCCCAATCATTTATATGCACAAAAAAAATTTATGATCATAGTGACAATGGAATGAAAACGACAATGATGAGTATTTTTTTTTTAAAGAAAATTTGTTTTCCTCAAAAAAATGAATCCATTTAAATTTTCCAGCAAAACCTCTCACTAACACACACATTTTACATCAACAACCATATCCGATGTGGATAATTTATTTGATTCGTCGGTCATTGAATAATGTTCATTTATTCAAATCATGTGTTTGTGTATGCGTGTTGATTAAAACTTGTCAATCATAATCATCATCAGTATATATTGTTTTGATGACTGGCTTATAAACATCATCATCATTATAGTCATCATAAGATTAAAAATAATAAAATAAACAATCAACAAACGAAACAATAAAGAAAAAAAATTCAAAATCAATCCGATAAACAAATCAATTGATGAAAAAATGAATGAATCGATTATAACCAATTTGATGATGATTATTATTACATTATTATGTTCATTGTTCTTATTGTCAACAACAACGAATGCATCTACCATCAATACTGCTGCTTTTGCATCTATTAGACATGGTCATAAACGACAACAATTCAAACAACAATTTTCATATCCGTATGTAAAACGTGAAAATATTTATTATGAAAGATTCGGAGTTTGGGTAAGTTAGAAAATACTTTATGTTTATATATATAAATGATTAATTTCAATATATATATGTTGTAATGATATTCAATTTACAAAAAAAAAAATCAAATATCAAGATACGAGATCCATATCGTTGGCTTGAAGATTCAAAAAGTACGGAAACAGCAACGTTTGTTCGTGAACAAAATGCCATAACTTCGAAATATATTCATTCAAATGTTAATTATGAATCAATCAAAGAAAAGTATGTGTTTGTGTGTGTGTAACGAATGAATTTTTAATTAATTTGCTTGTTTTTTCTTCCATATTTGTTTTGAATAGATTCAAACAATTATACAATTATACAAGTTATGGTATTCCAACAAAACATGGTGATAAATATTTTGTTGCCATACGAGAACCAGAACAAAATCAAGCCATTATTTATAGCCTCAATTCATTGAAAGATGAACCGAACATATTTTTAAATCCAAATGATTTATCATCCGATGGTACGATAGCATTGAAATTTACAGCATTTTCAAGAAATGGAAAATATTGTGCATATGGCATATCGAAAGGTGGTTCAGATTGGACCACTGTACGTGTGAAAAATGTCGATACATTAAATGATTTAGAGGATGATGTTCTCAATAAAATTAAATTCTCCAATATTGCATGGACAATTAATAATGATGGATTTTTCTATGCTGTAAGTTTGTTTTAATGTAATTAACCTTAACAATAATCATTTCATTTTATCCAAAACTTGTATAGTATTATGATAAATATAATGGTGATGGTGAAGGGACCGACACTGATATACCAGAATATCAAAAACTTTATTATCATCGTTTAAATACAAAACAAACGAATGATATTGAAATATATGGATTTCCTGAACATCCCAAGTGGTTAGTGTAAGTGGAAATAAATTGTTTTTTTTTACTGCAATTCACACATCATTATCACTAATTTTACTAGAGGATCGATAATAATGAGTGAAGATGGCAATAATATACATCTGTTTCCCACGGAAGGAACATCAAATTCACCATGGTTATATGCACATATCGATCCAATGGCTATAAATGGATCATCGATATCATTTGAATGGATTGTTACCGAACAAGAAATTGATTCAGAATATCATTATGTTGGTGATAATGATAATTGTACATATGTACGCACGAATTATAAGGCAAAAAATTTCCGTCTAGTTTGCATTAATTTAAACAATCCATCACGGGTAAATTTTAACTTTGTGGCTAACGTTTTCATCCGATTGATTGATTGTTTTCATCATAATAATAAATTATATAGGATAATTGGCGTGACATAATAGCCGAATCATCAGAGGCAGTCTTATCTGATGCATTCATAGCTGATCATGATAAAATTGTAGCCACCTATATGATTAGTGTACAGAATAAATTGAAAGTGCATCAATTATCGGATGGAAAATTTCTATACGATATTGAAACAGAAATCGGTTCAATTATGACTGCTGGTGGTAAAATGCAAAGCCCGGAATTTTTTTTCCGTTATTCAACATTTTTATCGCCCGGTATAATTTATCATTATGATTTATCCAATAATACAAAAGAGGTTTGTTTGTTTTAAAAATCTTTAAAATGAAATGATAATGAATAACATTTAATAATTTCGTGATCTGTCTAGGTGTATAAAAAATCAATAATTGCTGGTTTGGATACATCCGATTATAATACTGAACAAATTTTCTACAATAGTAAAGACGGAACTAGTGTTCCAATGTTTATTGTTAAAAGAAAGGTATAATGATGATGATGATGATAATCAATTGATTAACAATTCAATTGTTTTGTTTACTTATCTTTTCACAGAATATTACATTGAATGGCCAAAATCCAACATGGCTTTATGCATATGGTGGTTTTAACATTAATATTCAACCGGAATACAATCCAATGGCCATGTTTTTTGTTAAATATTTAAATGGTATTTATGCATCGGCCAATATACGTGGTGGTGGTGAATTCGGTGATGATTGGCATAAACAAGGAATGCTTTTGAATAAACAAAATGTATTTGATGATTTTGCTGCTGCCGGTGAATGGTTAATTGGAAATAATTATACATCAAGAAATTATTTAACTATAAATGGTCGATCAAATGGTGGATTATTAGCCGCTACTTCAGCCAATCAACATCCTGAAATTTTTGGCTCATCAATCGCTGAAGTCGGGTATGTGTTGTTTAATTTATTAACATGATGAAGTGATCATTCAATTAACAAAAAAAAAATTTTTCTTTACTTAACAGTGTATTGGATATGCTTAAATTTCCATTATTTACGATTGGTTATGCATGGGTTGAAGAATATGGTGATGTAATAAAAAATAGTACACATTTTAATTATGTACTGCAATATTCTCCATTGCATAATATACGTCGTAATCTTGAACAATATCCAAATATGTTAGTGGTTACAGCCGATCACGATGATCGTGTTGTTCCGGCACATTCATTTAAATTCATATCTCAATTACAATATCGTTTGGGTAGAAAATTGCCCGATACACCATTAATGATTCGAATTGATTCAAATTCTGGACATGGTGCTGGAAAACCTGTATCCAAATGGGTATGTCAAGTTTTTCTGATGATGATAATTTGATAATTTTTTTTCTCTCTCACCTTGTATTTATAGATTGAAGAATATACGGATAAAATTTGTTTCTTATTAAATTCTACGCCATATAAATATAATGAAGCTGACCAATAATTCATCATCATCATCAAAAAAAAAAAAACATTTTATCAATTTATCAATCTATTTTGTTTATTCAAATTTCCATCATTATTTCGTTATCTCTACACACATGTTTCTGTTTTGTTTGGCAACATTCAAAATTTTCAACAAAATTATCAAAATTGACACATTTAAAAAAAAATTTTTATACAAAACACACACATACAAAAACAATTCTTAAGAATCTATCCATCTTCTAATTAATTATTATGCAAATTTAATTACATCATTCTCTTGTATATACGAAAAAAAAGAAGAAGAAATGATGATGACGATGATGAATTTTTTTTCCACAATTTATCTACACCCATTATAATAATAATAATAAAATGAAGATGGGAATACATTGATTGCTCAACATTCATCATCATCCTTTTATCATCATCAAGCATGTCTATGTTTGTATTGTGTGTGTTTGTTTATTCAAAAACAACAACAACAACAATGATTGGATTGGATGATGAGAAATTTTCGGCGAAAACAAAAAAAAAATTTTTTTTGTCATGATTTTTCATCATTTTTTTCACTTGTCTTTTGAAAACAATAGCGAAAACAATGATAATTTTTTTTTCTTTCTTGATCACTGACTAAAATTGAATGAATCAATTGTCGATCATCGAGCATATACAACAAGTTTTTTTTCTGTTTTCTGTTTGCTTGTATAACGAATTCATCATGATCATCATAATTTCTTTTTTTTTATTCAATTTTTTTTTCAATTCTAAACGAGAAGAAAAAAAAATAATGAAATTTTCATAAAATCTCAACATGTGGATTTATGTGGCTGCCAATTGACAGTTGACATCATCATCATCATCATCACCGATGTGATCACCGTCGTCGATGATGATCCATGATGGACAGGGCAAACATATGGAAAAAAAATCAAAAAACCAAAGTTTGGAACAACGACAACAACGACCACAAAAGAGTTCCAGAAACACAAAGAGTCGATTCTCTTCCATTCACACACAACAATGATGTCGATGATGATGAACGAGAAGAGAAATTATCATCGAAAAAAAGATCATCCTCTCTTCTCAACCACAACAACATGACAAAGTCGAGAAAAAGTCAATTTTTTTTCTTGCTTACATTTTAGCGCCGAATTTTTATTTTGAATTTTCATTTTTTCCCATTTTTTTTCCAATGATTTTCATCCCAGCCAAAAAAACGTTCGATTTTTTTTTTTTTTTTGTTTCATTCGTTCCGTGAGAAGATCATCAGTTTCGTTTTGTATTTTTCGAATGAAACAATCGAAGAAAAAAAAAATCATTCGACCGTTCATAAGTCTGTTGTTTATGTGTTTTGTGTTTGTTTGTTTGTTTCTCCTATTTTCATTTCAACATTCATATCAGGCATCATGTTGATTGATCCGTTGAAATCATAGTCATCAATGACATGATCGACACGTAATAATCATCATCATCATTATTTGAAGAACAAAGAAAAAAAAAACATTGATCACCAATCATTTATCAGACAATGATGAAAGAAACGAAAAAATGATGATGATGATGATGATGTTTATTTGTAATAAGTGATTATCTGTGGCAGTTTGTTGTTGTTACCTTGTCATGGATTATGGGTTATCATCATTGGATGTGTGTGTGTGTGTGTGTGTGCCAAATGAATAAACTGCTGTGATTTAAAAATATTTTTTTTATTCCAAATTCAGTTTGTGGTATTGAAATTCAATTTTGAATAAATAATCAAAACAACAACAGCAACAAGTTGACAAATTCAAGTTTTTTTTGAGAACATATCATCATCATAGTCATCGTTTATTTAATTTTTTTTTTTTTTGGCCAAAAATCATCATATACAATCTAAACATTGAGAAAAATAGATGACATGACATTCATAACCTCGACCGCAGTAAAAATGTAAGTATTTTGTTGTTGTTGTTATCATGACAATCATAATCATTGTAAAGTGTGTGTGGTCATCATCATCATCATCATCATTATTATTAAAATTGACATTATCAAAATCTTCTCTGTTTGTTTGTGTCTCGGTTCATGGTTCTTCAAATTTGAATTAGTTTGTGTGTGTGTGTGTGTTAAAAGTTTTTGAAAATTTGTTTATTGTTCCAACAGAAGAAGAAAAAACAGATTGGCCAATCGAATCATATATTTTTTTTCATATGGAATCTGTAGTTTTCATAAAAGAAAAAGATAAATCCATAATAATGATCATCATTATTATCATCATCATCATCATCGACATACATACATTCAATGATTTTGTTTGCCATCAACAAATTTGTCATCGGTGATGTTGATGTTTTAAAAAGTCATTATTATAAAAGGGTGATCTCTTTACAACAACAACAACAACAACAAGCACTTGAATAAATATATATAGTCTATTTTGAAGATTTAGGTCGATGTGTTTTTCTCATATGCAGTAAAAGGAAATTTTTAATTTTTTTTTTTCAAAAAAAAGATTTTATTGAACAAGAAAAAAAACGTTTTCATTTTTGATCATCCATATTTTTTTTGTATCTGTTCAATATTACCATGTTTAAGAAAAAATAACCATTGTGTTATATATTTGGGATAAATCAAAAAAAAAGAAATGTTTCGAAATGTTTGATTCGATTCGATTTTCAATATTGATCATTACTATATCCACATCATAGTGACCACTCTACTAATAACATCATCATCAGCAGTTTGATATTTTTGATTTCTATTTCGACATCCGATAATAGTTGATTTTGAAATCATAATTTTTTCAATTTTGTTTTGTTTGATTTCAATTTGATTTTAAATTTGTCATCATGTGATGATCAAATGATGATTTTATATGACCTTTGTTTATCAAAAAAAAATGGATTGCTGAAATTTTCAATTTTAGCAATTTTCAATCATTTCAAAAATGGAATGTCATTTATTGAAAGAAAAATACTGCCACGGCTGTGACGTACTTTGTGAACGTGGTGAGCAAGGTGAAGGTGAAAACGGATGGTGTGCTTTGTGTTTTTTTTGTTCTCAATCACTCAGTGAAAGGATTACGATCGATTGAAGAAAAAAAAGACAAAAAAAAGTATCGACCTTTTAATATTGTATCAATGACCAACCAACGAATGTATTTGCACCTGAACTTGCACTTGTTGTTTGGATTTCTTATCAATGTCTTGAAAAATGAAACAAGAAAAAAAACGTTCGATTTTTTTTTGATCTAGATATCTGTGATCAGTCACTGCTGTTGTTGATGTTTGATATAACCTAAAGCAAATGGAGAAAATTTAATGAAAAACAATATTTTATTATCGGATACGAGAAATATAGACGAAATTTTTGATTTGATTGACCATTCAAAATTGACATTAAATTTATTCATTCATTTGACGATGGTCAATAACAACATTTTGAACATGATGAAAATTATGACGTTGAAACGTGAAAATATTAACCGTTTGAATTAACATCATCAAGGAAGTATTAAATTTAATTGCAACAGTGATTAATGTGATTAAATTTCGGGTAAAAATTTACGAAATTAATATCAGAAGATCCATCAGACATCATTCAATTGATATAGGATTTTTGAGTTTCAATTGAATGAAATTTTTTTTTCATCCACTTCGAATGAAGCAAGTCAATTTTTTCACTTTTTTCTAAATTATTTTTTTTCTTTTCAAAAAACTTTTTGCAGGCGTTTTCCATATCAATCAGGTATCACGTTCAGGATGCGATCATTATCATCGACAATGACGGCGACAATCATGAAGATAACGGTATCCACAATCATGATAATCATCTTATTATTCATTATAGGAATTGTTAAAAGTCATAAAACATTACCATCATCAATGATGACATATAATCAACGACGAATATCATCAATACCATATAATAATTTTAATCAGATGAATAATTATCCAATTAAACAGAATTTTATGCCAAATTCCAATCAGGTTAACAACGATAACAATAACGACAATTATTATCATCAAAGCCAATCGAATTCGAATCAAATTGATAATCAAAATCATCATAATTCTAATCAGATAAATAATAATCAACATAAGCATCATTCGAATTATGATCAACAAAGATGGCGCCCCATTCCACCAGCACAACAACAGCAACAAGATTTATTTGATCGAAAATTTTCAAAAATGCGTTCAAATCCATTTGAAAAATATCTTAATAATAATAATCAAATAACAATGAAAAGATGGCCATCATCACCAACGTCATCGATAACAAAATCAGCATTTGCTTGGGCAGAACAACAACGACAACAATCATCATCATTATATGAAAATGATAATAATAATCGACAAGTTGTACACCAGCAACAACATGATACAAGTTCAACAGCATCTGATAATAATTATGTAATGAATGGTGAAAATAATAACGATAATGATAATTATTTAGCCAATTCAAATGAATGTGCTTTAATATTGAAACGTTTCGATACAAATGATCAGACACCACCATCATCATATGGTGGTCTATCATTCAAAGCAATGATGGAAGCATTACGTGGAGGTTCCAAGTAAGTTCCCGTTAAACAATTTTTAGAAACAAAATTCATTAAGCATTTTGCAAAACATAATGGTGATATTAGCACCACCATTATTATAGAACAGTCCTCATTATTGCGTGTGAAAAATTTTTTTTAATTTCTAATTTTTCAATTTACATTTGTTTGTTTACACACACATATATACAGAGAGTTTAACGATGAAGAAGCACAAAATCAAATTTGTATCACTTATGATGATGTAAATGGTGCTGTGGAAAAAGCAATGCGAATACGACGATATGTACGGCCGAATAATATTGATAATTTGGAACCACCGCCTGAACAGATTGCTGAAACAGCTGAAGTTATACAGGAAGCAACGAAAATATTGGCATATAGGTGGGATATTTTTTTTGTCTGTTGATTCACATTTTATTGTCAACTTTGTTGTTGTTTTTTCCTTATTCATTAGATTCGAATTATCATATGATGAGATATTGAATGCATTACCATTGATCGATATGTCACGTACAATATTTTGGCCACATTGTCCTGGACATGTTAAACCAATTAATTGTCGTATGGAACGTTTCCGTTCATATACTGGTCATTGTAATAATTTAGAAAATCCATCATGGGGTGCTGCTAATACAGCTTTCGTACGTTATCTACCACCTGTTTATTCTAATGGTAATGATGATTATTTGGAAAAAAATGCTAATTTCTTACCTTCTCTTTTTCCAAGGTATCGATGGTTATCGTAAATCAGTAATGAAAGGACGTAAATTACCACATCCACGATTAGTCACACGTATGGTACATGCAGATTTTGATCATCCATCAACAGATATGACTATTTTGGTAATGTCTTGGGGACAATTTCTCGATCATGATCTTGCATTAGCTATGCCACCAAGATGTAAGTGTTTTTTTTATACCTGCTTCAGATATATCGAATTAAACTTTTTCTGGTTTTGGATTAGTTTTCATTGATGGTCATGAAGTTGAAGTTGATTGTTGCCGGCTACCACCTGGACAACCACCACATGAATTATGCGAACCAGTACAAATACCACCAAAGGATCCTGTATATGGACCAATGGGACGCAAATGTCATGATTTCAAACGATCCATTGCTGGTCATCGTCCAAATTGTGCATTAGGACCACGTGTACATGTCAATATTTTAACATCACCAATTGATGCGAATTTTGTTTATGGATCAACACGTGCCGCTGCCGAACGTTTACGAACATTTCGTGGTGGTCTTATGCGTACATGGAATATATTCGATAAAGAACGTATGAAACCTTTATTACCAGCCGAAGACAAGAATCCCGATCTTGAATGTATAAATCGTCCAAGGAATCTATTCTGTTTCATTGCTGGTGATATTCGTGTAAATGAACAGATACATTTAACTGTATTACATACACTTTATGTTCGTGATCATAATCGTATGGCCATTGAATTGGGACGTATTAATCCACACTGGGATGATGAACGTATCTACCAGGAAACACGTCATATAATGGCTGCTACTGTTCAGCATATTGCATTCAATGAATGGCTGCCTATCGTTATTGGTGATACTATGATGAATCGACATAATCTTAAACTAGTTGAAGATGGTGGCTATTATAATGGTTATGATCCTCGATCACATACATCACCATCACAAGCATTTACCACATCAGCATTTCGTTTTGGTCATACATTCATTCAAGGAAAAGTAATGCGTTTTGATAATAACCATAAAATGGTTGGACAACATAGCTTAAGAAATCTATTACGACGGCCATATATTGTATATCGACCTGGTATGATTGATGAATTAGCTATGGGTCTAGTGGATACACCTGCTCAAAATTATGATTCATTCATTACCAAAGAAGTATCTGGACATCTATTTCAAGAAGAGGATGATTTTGCTGGTATGGATCTGCCAATGTTGAATTTATTACGTGCACGTGAACAAGGTGTAGCTGGTTATAATTTTTATCGTGAATGGTGTGGTCTTAAACGTGCTGAATCATTTGAAGACCTTATTCCGATGGTTGGTAATCGAACGGCACAATTATATAGCGAACTCTATGCTCATCCTGATGATATTGATTTATGGAGTGGTGGTGTTTCAGAAGTTCCAATGCCCGATGCATTAGTTGGGCCCACATTCGCCTGTATTATTGCTCGGAATTTTGCTAACATTCGTAACGGTGATAGATTTTGGTATGAAAATCCAGGTATGCCATCATCATTTACACCTGGTCAATTACAAGAGATAAAAAAATCAAGTCAAGCACGAATAATTTGTGCTAATGGTGATAATATAACCACCATTCAACGATGGGCATTACGACGACCACATGAAATCTTGTAAGAATAACAATTGCAATTTAAATTTTAAAAAATTATAAAATTTCGTTTGTTTTTTTAGCAATCCACGTTTACGATGTAATGAAATTCCTGACCTCGATCTTAATTATTGGCGTGAAAATCCCAATAATGGCCAATGGATGATGAATGGTTAATCATCATTGCTTAACACACAAACAAAAATAGTTTTACATCTGAACTTACTTGTTTTTTGTTATCATGCGGGAAACGTGTATGTGTTCGTTTATTTATTTTTCTTCTTGCCAATCGTTGTTTTTTTTGCTGTCGAATTTGACTGTATTATCAAATTTTTGTAAATATAGTTCTCTAATAATGAAATGAAATGAAATTTTTGTTGTTCAAGTTAATAAATTTTTTCTCCTGATTAATTTTAAAAATGGTTTTTGGAACAAGTGCTGCCATCTATTGATAAAAAAATTGCAAGCAGAAAATAATCAACGCTTTTTCATTGCTTTTTTTACAAATTGCGGGAAAAATGTATGTGTTCGTTTATTTTCAATCGTTGCTTTTTTTTTTGCTGTCGAATTTGGATATTCTAATAAAACATCATCATATTAAGCTGATTAGATATAAAATGGTTTTGGAACGTGCTGCCATTTTTTGCAAGCAGAAAAAATTTTTTTGACATCAAAAATCATGCATTTGCCATTCTAATGCGATAGATATGAAAATTGTCGTTGATGTTTTAAATTAGACAAAACCGAAATTGGTGGATGAAAAATCAATGATGTCATTTCAATCAGCATGGTTTTTGAATGATGATGACAGCTACGTTTTGCCATATGACAATAGAACAAAAACAATAAAAATCATCATTGAGCAAAAGTAATAAAATAGTAAAAATGAGAAAAAAATTATTAGATTACAAATAAATCACCAAAATGATTAGAAAAATCATACCTTTTAACAGTTTTGTTGAAGGTTTTATTCTGTCTGAAGCTAATTTTTTTTAAAATTAATATTTTCAAAAATGAAAAATAATCATAAATTCAAATTTTCTTTTTCAATGCCATCAAACACAAACACACACACACACACAAGCAATAGGCAATACAATCGATTGTTAATGTTCATCACTGATTTCAAATAATCAAAGAAATACAATTTGTTTGTTTTCGATAGACGATGAGATTATTATGTTGATTAGAAAATAAAAATATGGAAAAAAGGGAAAATGGTTGATATCTTCATGATAAAAAAAAACGTTATCAGACCTGAAAATAGTTCTCTCGAAGTCATCATCAATGAAAAGAATTATTTTCAGCATTTGATTTCTAAAAAAAATCGTAATCAAAAAAAAAAAAAAATATTTTCATTGTCAAGATCAAGGTTTGTTTATTTTTAATTCGATCCGAATATTTTTTGAATACACTCTCTTTTTTCTATTTCTATTTTGAATACAGAAAAAACGAAATGTTTTCTACTTGTACAAACAAATGTTTGCTGCAAACATTTGGTAACAACATATATAAATAGTGGTAATTAATGGTGGTAATTTCATAGAATCAAATTGGTTCGACGTGTTGTTGTATTTGAAGATAATGTTGATGAACAAAACGATAAAAATTCTACAAATCGTCATAGTCTATTGTGACTTTTTGTTGGCCGAACAACAACACATTGATGATGATGATGATCAACATTTGATAATGCCAAATGAATCATCATCATCATCATATCAGATGCATACGATGATAATTAATCCACGTAATAATTGTACGATTCCATGTGAACGTGAACGTTTCGATATTGGTAAAGATTGTGTCGATGCTGGCGATCGTTGTCAATGTGTGGCACATTGTTGTTGGGCATTCGATTGTCGTCAATGGCCCGTGTTTGCACAATGTCGTAAAAAATGTAAAATTCGTGATTGGAGCCGTTTTGGACAATCATCATCACATCATCTATCAATCGATTGTAATTATTTTCCGTGTTATGAACATTATCTTATATCATGGGATATACGTAATGTAAACCAAACACGACAAATTAATTGTATAAAACATTGTTGTTATGCATTTAATTGTAAAAAATTTTCTGGTTATTGTCGAGAATTATGTTTACAGAAATGAATTAATTGATCATATCATTATATTTTCTCCAAAATCATAATTCTCTGACATAAATGTCATGTAAAAATGAAAAATAATCTATTGGTCGGTTCATTTCTACTTATTTGAAATGAACCAGAAATAACCTAACCTAACCTAACCTAACCTTTTTCGTTTAATGAATTTTAAAGATTTATCAATGACAAACTCCAGGGCCATCTGAGGATTTTCGATTATATCGGGAACCATTCGTGTATATATCGTGACTTTTAGCACTATTTTCTAAAGTAACAAAAAAAAGATTTGTTAAAATTAGAGTTCACTCTAGATCACATATCCACACAATTTTAAAAGTGAAATAAAGGCGACTAATTTTTTTGGTGATAATTTCTGCATTCAATCTGCCCATATCGATATGATCATCACACACACACCATAATATGATGGTTGTGAATAAATTGATATGGGAAAAGGTTTTCGATGCAAAATACCAACCAAATAATTTAATCGTGACTTACCATTTAAATACCGTCGATATTATCAGACACAAGTCAGTAATTGGCCATTGTATTTGGAACAAAAAAAAACTCACTGATTCAGCTTGAATGAATGCAAATGGAATGAATCTAAATTTCAAAAAAATAATAAATTAGTAACATTCAAAAAGTTAGATTTGTTTAAAAAAATAAAATTCAACAATCAGAGAGCTGGGGTTATCTACATGATATATACATCGTTCAGCAAAGGAACATGAACATTTTTCCATCATTTAAAAATTCATACGAAAAAAAACGAATAAATTCGACATTCGATACATACTTTTGTTGTGATTCCATGATATGAATCCATTTATATGGCTACTGTAAAGACATGAAAAATAAAATGCTCAGTTAGTTTGCCAAATATAAAATCAAAATATTGAATTTGAAAAATTTCAGAAAAAAAATTGTCATCAATCAGCATTCTGACGGCAATTCCTATCAATAGATTGGTTCATCATGTAGTGGTTTTAAAAAATATTTTTTCTAATGAAAAAAAATCAAACTCACCTCGACGAACGACTAGCCACAATCAAAGTTGAATAGGAAATGATTTGCACGTGGTTTTTTTTCGAATCTTCTTTCGACTCGTGTCTAATTCTATCCAACAGTGGCTATGTGAATAAAAATAGTCGAATACTATTGTTACTCAAATGATCACACAACACTGTGCATGACAAGCAAAAAAAAAATTTCTTTAATTCATTCGACTTGAATTTGGATTTTAATTTTTTTAAATTATAAATTGTTTCGTTTTTGAAATTTTTTTGAAAACATTTCATGATGGCACGACCATTCTTTTTCGGTGGTAATCAATCATCACAACAAAGTCAGTATCTGGTTCAGATGAAAGCTGGTAAAATGGTTAAAAATGGTAATATGGTATGTATGTCCATTGAATTTTTATTCGTTCGATCAATGTTGATATTTTGAAATTAAATAATTAGGTAAGCCCAATTAAAGATCGTAAAGGATTGCTTTATTTGCATCAAAATGCTGAAGATAATTTGATGCATTTTTGTTGGAAAGATCGTACATCTGGCCAGTTGGAAGATGATCTCATTATGTTTCCGGATGATGCTGAATTTCTTAAAGTACCACAATGTACTACTGGCCGTGTATTTGTATTGAAATTCAAAACATCATCACGACGGTTATTTTTCTGGTCACAAGAACCAAAAGATGATAAAGATGATGAAACTGTCTCGAAAATTAATGAATACATCAATAATCCAATGGCCGCAACAAATGCAAATCGTAATAGCAGCTCTGGTGTAGGTGGTGGTTCCGCTGGCCACGGTCTAATGTCTGCAAATGATTTAGGCCTTGGATCGGATGAAGAATTTCGTAATCTATTTAGCAATGCTAACATGTCTGCACAGCAATTAATGTCAATGTTGGATGCCGGTTTAGCAGTTGGACCACATGGCGGTTCAAGTCGTTTAGCTAGCCTTTTAGGTTCTGTACAGAATGCATCGAATAATAGCGGTAGTACAACACGTAGTGGAACCAATTCCAATGGATCATCATCAACAATAGCACCGGCTCCACCGACACAAACACCAAATACAACACCTGCATTGGCTAGTTCAGAAACATCAAATACAACAACCGGTGGTAATAATTCACCAGCCGCCACTACTACAACTGGACTTAAATTATCGGATTTACAAAATATTATTTCCGGTCTCTCAACAACTGGTGATATGAATCAATCAGATAATGATTTGAATGGTATGTTTTGTTTCTTTGTGTGATCTTGAATTGAACCAAAAAAAAAAAATTATTACCACCATTCTAGTTGATTTATCAACATCGATTAATGTTGAAGTTTTACGTCCATTATTATCGAATGATGATTTTATGAAACGTATTGGTGATATGTTACCACAACAACAATCTACTGCTTTGGATTCATCTTCATCATCATCGGCAACAACAACAGCAACTAAACCATTATCTGAACAATTTCTATCGACTGTACAATCACCACAATTTCAACAGGCATTGAATTCATTTAGCCATGCATTACAATCTGGACAATTAGGACCATTGGTACAACAATTTGGTCTACCTGAATCATGTGTTGTTGCCGCTAACAAAGGAAGTATGTGTCTTGATTTTTGTGTTTGTTTGATTGATTGATTTGTTGAAATTTCGTTTTTTCCATAATAACAAGATTTCGAAGCATTCGTCAAAGCTTTACAACAAGTAAACAAAAATGATGATGATTCTTCAAAGGACAACAACAAGAAAAAAGACGATGGCGGTAATGCTGGTGGTAAAAAAGATGATAAAAAATTTGATGATGATTCAATGGCATTGGATTGAATACTTATCTTTCCTTCTCTTAAAGAGGGTTGAAGCGAGCGAATTTTGGCTTTTTTCTTTTATTTTATTTTTATCTGAAATAAAAATTGTTTAAATAAATGAAATAAAATCAGCATTTTTCTCTAAATAAATAGCAAATGAAAATTTTTTTTAAGGTCACAGTTTTTTGTTTTGATTTGTTTTTTTCTGTCGATTTTTTTTATCAATTTTACTTGTACTCTCTAATTGGCAGCAATGGCCAGATTACGTTCGATAAGAACATCGGCAACAGATCGACCAGCTAATTTTGAATCATCATGATCTTCGTTGAACTTTAAACATATTTGTAGCTGCGAATCTGGTTCAACAATTTGGCCCCATTTAGCCTCACCATTATCGTTGCCAATAAAATCAACTTTTAATGTTTGATTGTCTAAAAGTTTTTTAAATTCCAATGCTTCATTCGGTAGCCAATCATCACTTTCTCGTGGTCGAATACCTTGAATAAATTGAATGGATCGATCGTTAAAAAATGAATAATTCATAAAATCGACTTGCCTGATAATGAGACCCGAATCGATTGTCTTGGCACTGAACGAAATTGGCTATATAATGGTTGCAATTGATTCAGACGTAATATATCCACACAACCTTGATCGATTAGAAAACAGGTAATTTGATGTACCGATTCAGTTTGTAATAATTTAATACGTATCCATCCTTCATCATTTGTACGTAGAGCAGCATAATATTGTTCTGGCTGTAGCACATCCAATGTTAATTCAATGTGTTCATCTTGTGAATAAAATTGATTCATTGCATTCAATTTGTTTTCATGATCGGTATTAATAAATTTTACGTAAAAATGTCCAGGATGTGATATGATGGTACATCGAACCATTTTCAAATCAACATTGGCATCAGCTGTTGGTGATCGTGGATTTTCAATCGGTGTACCACCACTTATAACATCTTCTGGATCATTTGAAATGACAAGTGTCGATATATTAGAATTTGATTCAGTTATTTTCGGTGGTGGTAGAATTTCTTCAGAAGTTTTCAATACGATTTTTGATTCCTGTTCTTCATGACCAGTAGCATAAGTATTAGCAGTAGTAGTATCGTCCGTTTTTATCACAGTATCATTTATGGATTCTTTTTCCAATGGCTTTTGTTGTTGTTGTGGTTGACTAGAATCGGTTTTTGAATCATTTTTTTCTTTTGACAATGTTTCTTTCAAAAATTTAAGATTTTCATCCAATGAAACGCTAAGTGAAATGGATGAAAAAAAATCAGATTCGATTCTAAGAAAACATCATACACATACTTGCTATCATTATAATAGATTGTAATTGGTTCAGAAGATGATGTTCCATTGGCGGTGATGGCGGTTGACGTTTTATTATTTTTATCGGTTTGTTCATCATTCGAATTTGAATTCGATCGATAATCATGATAATCATTTTTCATTGCATTCGATTTTTTATTATTATGATGATGTTGATGATTACGCCAATTATTATCATTACTCGATCTTTGTTGATTATGATGATGATGATGATGTTGTTGTTTCGATGTGGATGATCCTGGCTTATAATGGCCACCACCATTATGATGATGATGATAATTATTTTGTCTACCATTTTGATGATGATGATGATTACTATTTGATAGTAAATGTTTAGCCGGATGATGATGTTTCATATTTTGTCCATTGTTATTATCGGTTTCAGAATTTTGTTGTTGTTGTTGTTGTTGTGCTTGGCACTTTTCAATCAAATCATTAACATTAATTTCAACATCAGGATTACTATAATAAATAATCACAGGATTCGATGATGATTGTGTTGAATTTGATTTCAATTGTTGCTGATGATAATGTCCCGATGATGTTTGTTGTTGTTTATTGCCATGATGATGATGATGATGGCCAAATTTACCACCATTGTAATAATTTTTCGATTGTCCATTATTCTGACGTGGATGATGATTCGAATTCGAATGGTTATTATAATTATGGCGTTTTGATGTTGTTGTTGTTGTTGTTGATTTCCATTTTGATGATGATGATGATGATGATGAACCATTGGAATCATTCGAATCGATTGTCGCCGTTGTTGTTGATTTAATTGCATTATCAATCAACTGGGATTTTGAAAAAAAAAAACAAATCATAAATGTCAAGAAAAATCAATCACGACACACAAACATACCTTTTCATCAACAAATGAAACGGATTTTCGTTTTTCCATATCCGTTGTTGTCGGCGTAGTTTCTTTTGATTCAATTTCCATATTTTATTGTCGATTCGAAATAATCAATAACAAATCTGTGTGCCGTGAATACAGCGAATGAAAATTGATTTTATTTCTCTAATCAAAAAAAAAAAAAATCCATTTTTGGCATAACGGGATACTGACTGATCAAAATGTAATTGTAATCCTTGCCCAAATACATGCACACATAACACACAAACACAAACATTCCATCCATCTATTCATACAATTTAAATCGATTCAATCGGCAAAAAAAAGGAATGTTAAATATATGGCCAGACAGACATCGAGCCACGATTGAACATGATCATGTCTCGACGAATATATAAAACTATACCACCAATCAAACACACACACACACACACACAAATATAAACTGACCTAAATCTTTGTAAAAAAAAAAAAAAAAATTTTCATCGGAAAATAAAATGTACAGAAACAACAAAAACTTGATTCAAGTTTTCAAAGATTCAATGAAACATGATTGATGTGTGTGTGTGTGAGTGGACACAGAACACTTTTTTTCGGAGAGAAATATGAAAAACAGAGATAATAATGAAAGAGTTTGATACTTGTCCATGAAAATAACAACAACAACAACAGAAATGGACATTCGATCGATATATGGATAGTACATTGTTATGTAATTGCCGATGATCATCTCTTGAGGCCAAATTTGAAACGGTTGAAATTTATTCAATTACATTAATGCCAAAAATTGCCGTTAGTGGTATTTGTTGTCTATTTTTATTGATTGGAATGCAAATTGACAAAATTATTTCGAATGAATGAAATGAAATTTAAAAATAGATTCAACAACTACAACAACAGGTAGCCAAATTTGGTCAAATTAAAAAAAAACATTGAAACAGATGTCAAGATTTTTTTTTTGCTGTCTCCAACACCTTGTGGAGTGGCCAAGTGTTTGAATTCGAATGTCATGAGAAAATTTTCGGGCAAATAATTCATCAAGAGAGAAATTTCCACACACACACACACTTTTTCTGTTTATTTTTCAATTCCATCTACATGACAAAAATAGATAGATTTGATCGATCGATGCATTCATGTTCCGGTTGTTTATTTGATCTAAACAAACCATACACACACACAATGAGTTGACCTCAATTAGTTCAATCAGTTCGAAATAAAAAAAATTTAGGACACATAACTTACCCTGTGGATATTCAATTTACAGGAAATTCAATTTGATTTCAACCATCAACAATCACCACGACGACGACGACGACCAGAATCGACAAGAAGAATTTATAAAAATCAATGCTTGAAGAAAAAAAAAATTTCAACTACAACGACGCCGAAGACTACGACGAAGACAAAACTAATTGGGTGTGTGTTTGGTTGTAGCATGGAAACAGCAAACAAAAAAAACGCCGAATAAACAAACAAACGCTGAGTATGTATTACATGAAAACAAAAAAAAAAAAAATTACCACATCATCATCAAAGCATCACACACAGACATGGAATGTTCATGTTCATGTTCATGTGTTCAATTATGAAATAAATAAATAAAAAAATGTAATCGAAACTAAATGAAAGACAAAAAGTAAATTTGAAGACGACGACTTGTGAAAATGAACTCGAAATGATTTGACATGATATCGATACGTCCGATAACGATAATTTTTTTTCATCGATTTTTTTTTCTATTTGTTGATTGAATTATGTTGAATCATCATCATCATCATGTTTATAATTATTGATCATTTGATGATTAGTCATTTGATGATAAACAAAACAAACCAAACGATAAGCGCGTAATACAATACAAAAATTCAATCAATCAAATAACGGATATGGAAGTAAAATGTTTTTCTACTTACAATTTTTTTTTTAATGTCTTGTTTACCGGAAAATCAATAAATGATGATGATGATGATGATTTGGAAATGGAATTTTTTTTTTTTTGGTGACAAAATCATATTTTTTTTTTTTTACTGATGATGATTATCGATTTTCGTCACCAGAGACAGACATTCATTTGTTCATTGAATCATTTGACTTATCTTATCACACACACACACACACACACATACCACACAAATACCATTCAACTATAGCTAACCACCAGCCAGCCAGCCAGCATGAGTGTGATGATTTTTTTTTTTTTAAATGAAAAAAAAAAAAATGATGATCTGTTGCCAAGGCATGTGTGTGTGATGCCTCGCCTTAACAACGACGACGACGACGACGACGACGATGATGATGATAATTTTTTTTTACAGATATTGCAGCAACAGGCAACAACAACAACAACAGCAAAAATTTTCATCAAAAGAGTGAAGTGGAGATTATAAAAATAGAAAATAAAATAAATGCCAGCCGCATCTCTTGTTCTCACTTTCTGAATCTGGTTTTTATTTCGATTTTTATTCACAACAGTAAAAACAGTAATTTATTGATTGAAAAACAAAATTTTTTTTTTTTTTTTTTTTTTTGGAGATGAAATCAAATATATATATACAAAAATGAAATTTACAAATACAGAATACAGAATTGAATAGAATACAGAAATGATGACAATGAATTGAATATATTGAAATGCAAAAACAGACACATATATAGATAGATTTGTGGAAAATTTTTTTTTTTCATCATCAACATATGTTTGGTTGGAAAATATTTTTTCATCGGCAGAAAAAAACAACAACAAAATGTTAAAATATCCAATGAACAGAATTCAAGTATCAATACTTGTTGTTGATATTTGAATCTTGCTGAATGGAATTTTTTTGTCTGTTTTGTTTGATGCCATCTAGCAGATATAACTGATTGATTGTTTTATTCGGCTGATAACAGGTGGCAGTATATGATGATTTGATCTCATTTCAGCTTTTTCATTTCTGCATCAAATCACAATCAATGATGATGATGATTTTGAAAAATTGGATCCAAATTCCGTTCAAATACAGGGATATAATGGTTTTTTGTACTCCAAAATGATGGTCGACGTATATTGGTTTTTTTTGATGATTATCAAAGATTCAAAAAAAATTCAAAGTATGGTTATTTTTTGGTCAACAATTGATGGCACGCGAGTGGGTGGGTGTGAAGATTTGCCCGATTAAAAAAAACAATACCCCCAAAAGATTAATTTTTTTTTCTTTGGTACATATTCAAACGCCAAAACATTGTTTGTGTGTGTGTGTGTGTAGGTGTGTAAATAGAATTGATTGATTTATATAGATCAATTTATGTTTTTTTTTCAATTTTTTTTTTTTGAATAAAAATTATCTTTGTGTTTAAGTGTATATTATGGTTGTGTGTAAATAGCAATTTGGTAACGTCATTTATGTACATGATGGATGAGCAAAAAAAAACATTTCCGGAAGATTTTTTTTTGTTGTTGTGTTAGTGTGTGTGTGTTATATATATATATAAAACATGCATGCATTTTTGTTGTATTGAAATTCGAATTTTTGTTACATGAATCACAACATCATCCCAACCGTTCACACCAAAAACACACATATACATTCTCAAACACTATTACATTTCACCATCACCAAGCATCATTAAGCGTGTGTGTTGTGTGCATCATTCGAAAAAAAATTTTTTTTTGTGAATTTTTTTCGCTCGAAATTTCGAAGTTACGTGCGTGGCTTATTGGACTTTCTGAATGTATTATTTCTTTTCTAATTTTAAATTCATTTTTATTTTTCTTCAATACTATCATTATTGATTAAGACTGATTACCTCAATTAACAGGTTTATTCAGGATTTGTCAAATTATTTCCAAATTTTTCTTGTCCTATTTCCATTCTTTCTCACCTTGTCCTCAATAATTGATTTTCTTTCTCCTTCCTCTTAGGTATAAAAGGATTCCAAGATTGGTCGGAAAACTTTAACTCATTCATTCATTTTAAATTTATTTTTTTTTGTCCACTAAATTTTTCAACGAAATAATTTTTGTTTACGTGTAACGTCTTAAGTCATTTACTCCAGATTCAGTTGATACAAACGAACAAAATCGGTGGAAAAAATTCAACAATACTGTAAAGAAGCAAGAAGCCAACGATCTACTAGTTTGGATTTAATACGCAGTGTTCTAAAGCCAAAACTCAAACGACAAATTGATGTTATTGTGAAAGGAATAAAATTGGCTTATGACAATTGGGAAAAATTTTACATGTTGGTCAATCTGTGATTGGTTTCGCATCAAATTGGATAAACAACAAACGAATGAATAAGTTAACAGAAACAAGTCTGAACAATTCAAAATTATTAACCATCACATTGCAACAACAAGAAATTATCAAAAATAAGGTGATAAACGTTTTAGAAGATTTGACGAAACAACATTGAAATTGATTATTGTCCTTTTTTGGAACTGACCATAAAACATTTGGTCAAGCTGTTGTAAATAAGAACCAAGGACAAAAGGAATGAGCCATAGTGAAGTAACGACGTAAGACGGTGATTGTGAATCAACAGCAAGAAATCAAGCAGGAGTGAATTGGTGATCCAACAACCGCGTGGGAATTAGATAGAATTCAGTTATTCCCATTGCAAATAGCATCCACTAGACAGATAGCGGATGAAATCGTCGATACCGACACAGTCATAGAGTTGACCCGTTGTCGAAGTTGTGTGGAGTAAGGCAAATCTCCACTACAGATTCCCGATCAAGAGGTAGAAGTCCGATCGGTGGACCGTTGAATACAAGTGCCGATTATCGTCAACAGTTTATTCATATTGATACTATTGGTGGATTTAGAGAGTCATTCTCTCAATTAAGATACTTTCATGTTGCAATAGACTCATTTTCTAGATATGTTTGGGGTATAACTTCTAAAATCCAGAACGTAAGTGATTTTCAACAATTATATAATAAAATTTCTCAAGATAGTTGCAAACATAACAACGACGCCTTCGAAAGGCGTATGTGGAGAATGCATTTCCAGCTTTGTGATCTTAAAAAAATATGATATCTTACCCATTTTATTCCGAAAACTGGATTGAAAGATTTGAACGAATCTCCATTTCCGATTCCGGACATCATAGACATTCTGAGCGAGTACAACGAAAACTTGGAGTCCTCGCATCCCGAATCGCACATCGACTTTCTCAACAATCAATTGGACGATCATACCGATTTATTTCAGATATCATCCGTCCAGCAACTACTAGAACCTGTAAGGAATTTCTCGACAAAATTGATAAAACGAAAACAATCATCGCAGTCTACCATCCTGAAAACTCAGAAAAAGGACACATCCACGTCTATCACATCTGCAGTTATAGTCAATCCCACTGCCGCTGCGTCTTCCTCAAAGGATTTGATATCAAAAAACGTGACCCTAGAAGAACTCCTTTCGTCCGTGCCCAGTTTAACACAAAATTCTGGACAAACTTTTTCTTCTATTACTTTAAAGCACCAAGGGAGTTTATTCAATTTCAAATCGGAACCAGATCCTTCATGTCAACAATTAATCAAATTAGAAATATGGGAAAACCCAAAACAACTTCTGAAAATAAATCCGAATCAATGGTGGAAGAAGAGCAATTTCCGTGCCAAGACGTGGATTGGGAAAACGGGGTCCGATCAACAGAGATACAACAAAATCAACAACATGTTAGCCGAGTTGCAGAAACTCTTGATCGAGGATATGCAAACGTCCCAGGACTGCAAATGCTACCAGACAAGTATATCCAAAGAAGATTAAACATTCAAAATCAAATCTTAAATGCAATTCAAGAGTTATTGGTTGTTCCTGTTGAATCCACATGCCAAGTAGAAAAATGGTTAGAACATCCTGTTCTATCTATATTCAATCAATCAGATCCTGAATACAAAAAAGCATGTTCATTATTCAATCGAAGAATTCAGCATATGAATTTTCAACAACTTCGACAATTACATCTCGATCATCCACATGCAATATATTTAGCACGAACAACAGATCATTATTATAATTTGGAAGAAAGTTTAATCCTTTTGTCTTTGTAACTCTTATTCTTATTTCATTTTATTTGTATTTCTCTGTGTCAATTATTATTACCGATGTAATGTTAATAATTGTAAAAAAAGACTTATTTCATCAAACGGTATCATAACCAAAACACTAAAGTCTAAATCACTCACTCACAGTCATGAATTGCTCGCAGATCATATGGAAAAAAAGAAATCTCATTAACAAAATGAAAGACGACATAAAAAAAAAGATTTTGCCAATCCAAATAATGTTATAGCTGGATAATCTGGCTATTACGCCACAATCGATAAAAACGATTCTTCCATCAAGGCGAAATATTCAAGTATACCAATAACAAATTCAATTGACTGCAAAGAAAGCATGGGTCAACGTTTCCATGTAAGAATCAAGTTTATCGTATGAAACGTGGTCAAAATTTAACAATTAATGGTCAGACAGTATCATTTCCAACTATTAAAATCAGTTCTTGGCAAAACCTTCATGATGAATTGAATGAAATTCTTGTCATCAAAATGTTCAATTCATTTAATTCATCAATGAATCTACATGATTTAACATCTATGGTTGAAAAAGAAAAACACTTGGTGAAACAATTTGTAAATAATTTTCTACATTCCAATTTATTTTATATTTTATTATTATTGTTATTTATTTATTATATGCTGTATTTAGCATTTCACACATCAAAATTATCGTTAGGAAATTGTTTTAGATCAGATTTGAGCAGGATGGAGCAAGAATTTTTTCTCCTTGTTACCAAACGGATGGGCTATGCCTATGAAAGATTATGTTTCGACGCTGGATTTGGAAGGCTTCGAATTGATTGAAGATATTTTGGGGACCGTCTGTCAAAACGAATTAAAGAATTTTTTTGGTCAATTCATTTTTCTTTGCTTTCCTCTCCTTTTATGTGGTCTAAATTATTCCTCTACTAATTATAACCCCTACCCCCTTTTATTTTTGCTTTTGTGTATGATATGCTTTTCATCATTATCAACATGGACTCATCAAACAAAGAAAAATATCGAACGATTTTGTCCTCTCTCTCACTCTCACTTCAAGCGTTGTTTTTTTGTGTGTTAAAAATTTTAATTTGTTCAACGAATTTTCAAGAAGAAAAATTAACATTTACAAAATTTCTTTTATATTATTTTGAATTTATCAATCAAAATGATGGAACAAATATTGAAATTGATTATATTGATGTCACTGGCAACTATCGTGATTTGTCAAACTATGGTGGTAAAAATTAGAGTATTGAATAATATTGGTGAAAATTCAGATTTAATCGAAGATTTTTGGACTCAAATGAGTTTGGAAAAAAAAATTCCATTCAGAGATAATTGAAATCCTTCAAAATCAATGTGACGATAAAATGGTCTTAGAAGAAGAACGTATGATCAAATACGGTTACCGTGATGGGTATATAAAATCGGTTTTAAACAATGAAATTTATAAACATGTTCGATATGAAATAATTAATCACGTTGGAAATGATACCAATATAAATTGTCAATCAATTAATTTGAAATTTTGAGTTCTATTGGCACCAATGCGGATTTAATGGATAATTTTTGGTCACAGATTAATTTGGAGGAAAAAAAAATTCAATCGGAGATCATCATTAATATTTTCCAAAATTATTGTGACAAACAAATGGTTGTAAATGAAGATCAAGTAGTAAAATACGTTACTGTCTTGGGAATAAAATCAATAATAATGGATGACAGTATTGAAATCATCAAAACAATTTCCAAATTTCAAATATAAATTATCATTTTGTTGCAACTCATCTATTTATTGAAGAAATTAAATACAATCAAAAAAGATTGGAATAATTATGTTCTTCATCAAAATTGGAGATGTCCAACATTGAAAAAAAATGTTTCTTCAATCTTAATCAAAATTAATGAAATCATAGAAGATCGAAATGAAGTTAATAAAATTATCACCAATCCATTTATCGAAAGTAAGACATATCATATCATATCTTTTCTTTCCTTTCTTTTTGCTTTTTCCGGCCTAATTTCCGACAAAAAGTGGGGAGGGATGTAATGGCCAAGCATGTAATGAACAATAAATTTAATTGATCCGATTGATTGAAATTTATAAAATTTCTTTTCATTTTAAAGTGTGTATCATGTCATTTATTTAAGTTTGATTGTGTTTAATGTGATCACCTTCAGCCAATTAAATTCTGGATAAACGTGACTCTAGTGGCCGAATCAGTAAGTATTATCAATTCTCAACCCTCGACATAACTGCTTAAAAGTCAAGTGAGGAAATTCTTCCGCACGGTCTTTCAAGCCAACAGGATTCAGTCAATCTGTGACTGGATTCTACTCTATTGTTTGAGAATAATAATACTGATTAGACGAACGTTTTCCTTTATTTCTTTTGTGAGCTGTTGTCATATCAACGTTAACTATCAAATATTTCAACACACATTAATCGTTCAAACATAGCGTCCCAGACCAGGGTTTGGTCTTTTATAACACGTGTTCTAATTATCGAGTCAAATAATATTACTTATAATAATTTGGACGCCATAAAACTTCTCTTGGTAAGTTTTATCTGTAAATAAACTTTTCATTTTATTTTAATTAATTATTTAAAATGGCCACTACTAGATCCATGACTCGGGATCTAATTAAAACTGCCAAGATGAAGGTTGATTACATTAAATGATGCTGTTAAACCGAGAAGCTTTTAACGATATTCAAGCTGGACAATATCGGCATAATTTACTAATGATTATGTCAAGATATTGTGGTAGCTGCTACTTGCAAAACCAATACCTGGAACAGCAACGATCCTATGTGGAACCGCAAAAAATAGAAATATCTGGCATAACAATCCAATACTTTTCAATTAAAGATCTTTTGAAAAGTATTGTCGTTAAACATCCATACGTCCTCGATAGCATTGTGCGTGAACAATCTTTGAATTTCAGTCCTGAGTGGGAACGTGAAGAGGATTTTACCATAATGAACGAGCTTGACATAACCGATCAAGAAAGGTTTGAAAGATTGAAAGGAAAACTTCGAATTGAAATTTCGCTAGACGATTTTACATTCGTTGGAAAAAAAGGAAGAAAATTCCTGGCTGGTTATTTGACTTGTTCAAACTTAGAATTTCGGGATCGAACAAAACGTGACCAAATCTCGATGTTTCTAATGGTAAAAAGACCGGCTCAGCACTTGAACGAAGAAATGTTCACAATTTTATCGCCTTTCGTTCAAGAAATGAAGCGATTGGGACGTGATGGAATTGATTTTTTCCACAAAGGATAGCCACTTAACGTCAAAGTGGAACTATCCAGAGTTGCCTGTGATAATCTGGCACAATATGAGATTTTGGGCTTTCCAATGTCATTTGGTCGAGGAAGCACATGCCTCTGTCAAAGAGAAAATTATCCGGAATCAAAAACACATGAAATTCTAGATTTATCTGGAATTAATCTTGAAGAACTCGATGTACTCAAAAACGTATATCGAACATGTGCATTAATTCAATTAAATGACATCTCGATAAGCAATATTGTGCGCCACCGGACATATTCCATGATCTCCAAGGTTAGTTCCATTCTGTCAATCTAAGTAAGTTGGCTAATTTGAAATATTCCTCAACCTGATTCTTTCATCCCTCTGTGATAAGAAAAAGGCAATCATTTCGCTTCAAACAAATTCAAAAGCGAATGCAAAGTTTCAGCTTCTACAATGGAAAACTATTTGTAGAATATAAAAAAAAAGAAATTCTCACTATTGGCCACTGGTATATATACAAGTAAGTCTTGAATAGCTCAATATTATACGTAAACTTATATCTAAAATTATTTTAAATATATCAACAGAAACATGAAATGTTTCACCACGAATAATCGATATAGAACAACAATTATTAAATGCTGAATATTTTACAACTTTGGACATCGCTAGTGGATTCCATCACGTAAGAGTGGCCAAAGCTGATCGCCATAAGACAGCATTTGTAACAAAGTTTGACCAATACCAATGGATTGTAATGTCATTTGGCTTAAAAAAATGCCCCGGTTGTGTTCCAAAGAATAATTTGGGGACTCATTTTCCACAAAATGTGACAGAACTCTATACCATCGAAGAGTTTATTAAAATTACGAAGGACATTATTGTTCCCTATTCTAGTCAATTAAATAATTATACAAAGCAGACATGGGACTGCTTTATTATCGATTGGAACAAGAAATCGTTCAAATCCATCATTGATATTCGTCAACACTCTATTTGTCCAGCTAACAAATACTATTCAATAGAGCTAAGCCAAAAAAATCATGCAAGCTTTATTAATCGAACAATATGGCTCAAGTGAAGAAGCGAAAAAATTTATCAAACGCTGTAAGGTGATTGTCACAAAACGCCTTCCAAAGAAAAATTCATTGGCCATCATTGGACCACCACCTGGCAGTGGAAAAACATATTTTCTCAAAAGTCTCACCAATTTAGTGTGGAATGTTGGCTACATTGAATCCAACATTAACCAAAAATTCAAATTTTCCTTTTGAGAATTTATACAATCGATACCTGGGTGTTATCAATGAATTTAATTGCAGTGAATCTCAACGCGAAAACTACAAAAAAGTTTTTGACAACAAGCAAATGGAATTTGAAGAAATCAACTTGATTGAACCAACATCGCAGAACAACTTGGTTAACCACTTGATTGAATATATTTATAAAAAATGTTACAATCCACGTCAAGCCAACATTCTCATCAAAGCAGTCAACAACATAACATCAACAACAACATTGACGAAATCGCTAAAAGACAACTTGTTAGACTTGGCTCTGAGTTACAAGAATCACTCACAGCCTTCTTTAACCGAATTCTATCAAAAAATAAATTTCTGTTCAACATCAGAAGACTGCAGGGACTTATTGTCCATAATAGCTGGTCAAATGGGTTTGGAACCGAATATGAAAACCTTCGAGATGTTATCACCAACATCACCAGAAAATATCACAACAGCAGCGGGATATGGGGCCTGCACGGAGCAAATACCAGATTCGCCCATATCCACTGACTCCACATGTGTACATCATACTCAAACGGGGACTGTAAATGCCGGATCACCGAGTACCTCCGCAACAATGGCTATACGATCCACTGGGACAAAAGATATAGCCAGGAAGGCCTTGCCAGAAGACTCGCGCAGTCTACTATATATCTATTCCAACGAGAACGACAATTCATATGTGTCCTAATCGCTGGAAGAAGACATGATTTCGGAGGAGAACTGCTGGCTAGAATTAAAGTTTACAGAGATGCGGCGATCGCAATCGAGTAATTTGGCACTCGAAGCAGATTGCGTCGAAAGATGGACCAACCATCATTGATATTCGTCAAAACTCTATATGGCCATCTAACAAATACTAGGTTTTGCATTAGAAAAAATTAAAATGCAAAACTTGATGAAAATCTTAAAGAATCCCAAGCCGAGATTGAAAAATTGTAAGACTAACTGATCGACATCGAATCTATCGCTGGACAATCATCACGAATCGACCAAGACATAAGACATGGCAAAAAAAAAATTTGCATCCGAACAAACGAAAACAATTCAACTACAGTTGGATGAATGTAAATCTAGTCTACGACAAGTGGAACGGGAAAAATTTAATTGAAATTGTAACTTTGAAAACTAAATTCTGTATACAATTAGTTAAAAATAGGCATAACTCTTTTCAACATTTTGTTAATGGTAAAATTTGGTCTCTACTTGGCGACCAGAAGCCTTATTTTCTTAACTTATTCTTGTTCCGTTTCTAGCTATGATGAATGGCAAGAAACTTACAGGAATTACAAATCCTAAATTGCATTTCATTAGTCATTATCCTAACTTGGCGGCATTTTATGGCCCGCTCGTCGATTTTAAAACTGAAAAATTGTGATCATTATCGACGAAGAAGAACAATTTGAAGACGAACCATTTATCAGTAGTGATCGCGTTGAATGCCAGTTTTTGACTGAGGTAAGAAATTCTTTGTCAGATTATGAATATTCTATGTTTGAACTGTGGGCGGAAAAGATGATTGAAGGCCGAATTCTTTACAGTTGGACTGGAGTGTCCATTCAAAAGACTTTTCCTACCTTAATTAGATCTATTCCATTATTTAGTAATAATCTTAAGGATTATCTTGTTCGGATATCCAATTCATCATTCTTGCAAGATAAATTTGCTATGATGAATCCCAACTACATCCAACCTAAGAAATATTCATTAGGAGACGATGGTAGTTGTTTTTATTACATTCCACTTATGGAAATTTTAGTCAAATACATTCTGAATGATGATTTGGTCAAGATCATCAGACAAGAAACTTCCGAAAATGTTTCCCAGTATGTTAGAAACAATGGGTTACATGGAAGACTTCGATTGATGATCTATGGCGATGAATTCGGAGTGTGTCGTACAGTTAGGGAATCGTCCGACAAATATAAAGAATACGTTCTTTATATTGATGTAGACAATAGAGTTCAAAATTCAAAAATTAAAGACATTCATTTAGTCTTAATTTGGCGTTCCAGTGACCTCAAAAATTCTGGTCGATCGCTGGAACATGTAACTGCTCCACTTTGTCAAGACATCGCTAGATTGACAAATGATGGTATTTCCTATGTTCTGGATGGCGAAAGCATCAGAATTCCTTTCTGTGTTTCGCATATTCTAGGCGATAATTTAGGCGTAGCACATTTGTTAGGGTTTCGCATGTCGTTCGGCCGTGCTTTCATTTGCAGGTTTTGTGGACTCCAATATTCCGGTTTAGAATCATTGAACAATAATGTTTTCCCCTTAGCAATTTATCAATCGTATGAATCTTACAATGAAGATTTAAATCGTGTGCTTTCTAACAAGCGCTATGAAAGTCCATACGGCATCAAGTGTAGGTCGGCTTTCGACAAGATTAGAATAAATTGTTTTCAGATTGCTCCACCCGATTCGATTGGTGATATATCAAATATGAATGAAATGATGAAAGTAATCGATAATTTGAAAATTTTCAAGAATTATTCTTCTGAAGAAGAACTGTGGAAGAAAGCTGCCAAATCGGAAATAGCTAGCAAAAATGTTAGCAAAAATGCTAGCGAAGATGATACCGAAGATGAAAGTGATTAAAAAAGCGAAGCGTATTTCCGAGTGGATGAACGACGAAAATGGCGTGGCGTAATGGTCATTTTTCTTACTTTTCCCTGACCCAACAAGTTGAACTTTTGATCATTTTAAGAACTTATGTCCAGCCATTATTTTATTAATTTATTGATTAGTCATTGACCAAAACTAGTAGTTTGTTTAGTATTTGTTATTTATAATAGAGCAATCGAGCAAAAAATGTGCATCATAAAATTTTACTATCATGATCAAAGGACCACTTTTACTATATAAACGATTGGAAAACTGGCATTCGTCACGATAATTTCATCACTTTGTTTCAAGAACAAGATCGTGTAACTTCGACTGATTTTTGCTACAACCATTTTTGTCGTGATAAGTCAAATATTGAAATCACAACTGCTTTCTGCATCCGCTTTATAAAATTGGCGTGGATTATTCAACGAAATTCTTGGCCAATAAAAGACGAAAAACATAGGGAAAAAATCCGTGAGTAAGATTATTGTCAATTTGTAGGTACAAAGTCCGTCATTTTTTCCTGCCACACATACACAAAAAACCGTCCCTCAGTCGAAATGGTTGACAAAGTTAATAAAAAAACCAACCAAAGATGACATTAAAAAATTAGGTGACGACATTCAAGAAGTGTACGACCAAGTAGAAGATTTGGTTTCGCGCTTTCCGACTGACCTGACCGAAAACAACATAAAAATCTATTATAAAGAAATAATGAACATCGTACGAATCTGCGGTAAGATTGTCCCATAGACAGAAAAATGGCAGCGAAAAGGAGTCAAGAACCTGGATAAACTCCTTGGTTTGCTCAAGACCATCGTAGAAATTCAGTCAAGACTAGATAGCTACCTCAGGAGAATCCGAGTGGCTTCGAACGTTTCAGATCCGTCATAAGAAGCATTAAAGACGCCTTCACACCAGACAATTTCCAAACATTTAAACATCACCGATAATTTTGTTATCGGATAATTAATAAACACATATTATAAAAACTAAACACATAACACAACAATCTTTATCTTGTAGAGATCACACTATTTTGCAGTGATTTCATTTGAATAAAGTTAAATTTTTTATATTATTATATATTTTAAACTTACAATAGATTTCACGGTTTGTATAAGTATATTTCAGATTATGAGATTGAACATTTAATTTTTTCCAAATAGGGATAAACGGGTCCACATCGGAAAAGTAAAACCCTATCATTCTAATTAATTCCTGATTTAACGTAATCATTAATTAAAATTTCAAAACGCAAAATGGAAATCTGCAAAATCTTCATTTTTTTTCTCCTTATGATAATCGGGGGATTTGTGAATAATGAAAGTTTAAATTATCCGATTATTTGGAGAGAATCAAACCACGATATCTCCACGCAATTGATAAAAGCGGATATTCTGATCCATCTAGGATCGCCATGTGACATCTTGGAACAGATTAAAAAAACAAACGATTCGAATATTCGGATTCGCAAAAGGCCGGCATAAGATGTTGCTTTTTCATTTGGATATAGATAATCCAATCAAATGGAAAACCAAAGCCGATTCTATCCCGTCTGTCCTGATGGTGGAAAGATCTTCATCTCTAAAAGCCAATGGATTGAAAATAATTCTTGAACCCATGTTCGAGGATCTGAAACTCCTTGCGGTAAATATCCAACAATTATCTTTATTATTTAAATAAATTAATTTTTCTTTATAAAGCAAAATGGCATCTATTTTCCAAATCACAACACTACCTTGTTGGTTCAGTTAGCTTATGTAATTGGTGACAACCTTTCAGTTGCTGAGCTACTAGGTTTTAAACGAACATTTGGAAAATACTTGACATGCAGGTAATTCAACATCGATGTGCTTTTAAAGTTTTTAATTTCTATTATTTAATTCAAGATATTGTTCCAAGTGAGGAATGATTTCTGTCACATCAATTTGGAGAACAACATTCCGATCAACCAAAAACCGTATCGTACAGCAGTGGTGGATCAGAAACGAATCGACGCCCAGATTAATGATCTATTAGATCAAAATCTAATTCGAAGATCTACTTCGGATTATTCATTTCCCGTGGTTCTAGTGAACAAGAAAGACGACGGCGAGAAATCAAGATTATGCGTCGACTTCCGAAAACTGAATACCATCACCATCCCGGAAAGATACCCCATGCCAAACATCAAAGATATCGAGGACCGACTCCTAGGGGCTAAGATTTTCGCCACATTGGACATATCATCAGGTTTTCATCACATACCGGTAGCCGAAGAAGACAAGCGAAAAACAGCCTTCGTCACAATGCATGAACACTTCGAATGGAATGTAATGCCATTCGGACTGAAAAACGCTCCGGCGATTTTCCAGAGAATAGTGTACAACATACTAAAAAGAAACGGCCGACAAAATTCGCCAAAAATTGGAATCCAAGTTATACAAAATTCTTACATTTTTGTTTACAAACGACAAAATCGTATTGCAGATATGGCCCCACTAGATTTGCCAGTGGAACATAACCTAGCGGATGATGGTGAAATCAACAACCATAACAATGGTGAAATCAACAACCATAACAATGGTGAGATCAACAACCATATCAATGGCGAGATCCACAACCATATCAATGGTGAGATCAACAACCATATAGCCCAAGAAGAAGAACAACGACGGTTCGATCATTGGGCTGCACGTTATGTCGCTCATATCATATACTGGTTTCAAAATGGACCTCTTTGGATTCGAGAAGATGCGGCCAGGAGATTAGGCCTAGTTACGGCACAGAATCCTCGGATGCGTGAGCTTCATGAAGTAAGACAATTCCACGTCTTCAGGAATGGGGTGGTTGCACCCGAGTTCTGGGAGCCAGTTGAAATGGTGAATGGTCATAACCCTGCGGGCGATAACCCTGAACATGTCGAGAACCATAACGGAGAACAATGATTATTATGGTGGATGAATAGTGGAAATCAAAGAAATTGATATGACCATCGACGTGGATTCGGAGGAAATAGAAGAAGTCGTGATTTTCCTATTTTGTGATATTCCATAAGATTATATTTTTGTTTACATTTTCTTTTGTGGTATATATTTTTTTTTACACGTATTTTTTTTTCTTTTATCCACATCATACAGACATATTTTCGATATTTTTTTTCCTTAAGAATTACTTGTAAACCAAATTGAATCTTTAGAATCTGTATTGAATATTCTGAATCATCTTGAAATAAAAGAAATTATTTTGAAGCCCCCCTTTATTGAATTCGTTGAAACGATTTTTCTCTATTATTAACGAAGTTGGCGAATTAATATCCATTTCCAGTGTCATGAGAATTCCCCATTGCTGCACCCTAGAATCCTGTATTGAGTGACATTCACAAATACAGTGAAATCTAGAAAGGGTAGACGTACATGACATATATGTGTGTGTCTTTTCTTCATTAATGTCAGAATTTTGTCTAATGAAATTGACCAAATTAAAACTAATAAGCAATATAAGAGCCCGTTCGGAATTGAGTTTCCGTCCCCGTTTCTGGATTTAGGGATGAACATTTTCAAGATATCACCACCCGATATCTTTCATGATTTTTTGGAAGGTGTTCTTCCCGACGTCGTGCAAGTAATCGCACAAAAATCAGGAATAAGAAAAAAGAATCTAATTTCCCGAATCAAGCAAATAAAATGGGTCAATGGCCCAGTTTCCGTTATTAACCAATTGGAAATATGCGGAAATGCTGTCCAGGTATGTAGCCCTTATTTCGAAGAGCTGATCTCAATTTTTTTTACTTCAATACATCCAGAAATTAGAGTTCTTTTTCAGACTGATTGAAATTTATCCAGAATGGCTGAATAATCCACCAAACATTTTTCCACTTTACGAGGTGGTTCGAAAAACAGTTTTTAAAATCTGTTCTCCATCGAGCATTTATGATTATAGCCTCTTTAGATCAGAGGTGGAAAAATTCGTAGAGGTATATATTATTTATTTTTAATTTCAATCATTGCTAATGATTATTTTAAAATAAAACAGATGATGAAAATCAATGAGATAAAAAGAGCAAAAGCTCATTTTATCTCTCATTATCCTTCATTGGTTGGATTTTATGGTGGCAGTTTAGTATCGTATTCATCTAGAAGATTCGAACGAAAAAATAAAGAGGTGAAAAGCCTCATTTTGCATTCAAGAAACTTCAAAGATGTTGCATATTCACTACCCTGGTAGTGCGAAAAGGCTGAAAGTCTGAAAATCTTTCTGATAAACATCTTTTTTGGTTCTGAAAATGTCTGAGAACGTCAGAAATTTTCTGAATCTGAAAATTGACAAAATAATTCTTAATCTCCTTATTATGGCTTAAAAAATCTGAACACACTTTGTATACAATTAATTATAATTATTTTTTTTATTAATTATAATGTTGCAAATTATCTTGAGACTAAATTAAATATATCATATTTGATCATATTTAATATATAATATATCATATATATATTTGGTTGTGTATTCAATTAGTGAATTAAAATTTATTGATATTGATTGATTATTTACAAAACAAAAAAACCGAATACTGAAACAAAAACATTATTATTTATGTGTTTAATAATTACAAATGTTTGTTGAAAATGTCAAATAAATAGTTGACGCCATTTACATTTGCATATGTTGCAAGCTCGAAAAAATCAGAACACTTTAATTTAACGGTCATCGTAGAAATCTTTGAAAATGTTTTGATGTATGAAAAATGCAAATTTTCTAATTTTCTTTCTGTTGTTCTCAGCAGTAATTTTTGGCAATTTAAAAATTCATTACAAATCAAATAAGTTTCATTTCTATCGTTTTTGATGATTTTTTCCACGATATAATATTTTCCAATTTCTGTTTTGATGCAATGATTATTTGTCGATTTTGCTGCGGTTTGGTTGTAATTTCGTGTACAAACAATTTTTTCTTTGATACGTATTCGTTTTTGAGATTGAAATGTGCCTTGGCCAAGTAATTTATTTTCTGCACCGATTGGTTTATACACTTCCTGGAAAACTTTGATGGGTGTGTTGTTTGGACACAGTTTCGGCATATAATTGTAGAGAGATTTTAGAAACATTTCTGACATGTGAGATGTATTGTTTCGGCAAGACGAAATGATGGATTGGTAGGTCAGAAATTTTTTCATAACTTGTTGAGTTACGTTTGTCCCAGTCTTGACGCGTTTTGCAATGAGCCCCATTGTGTTCTCGGTAAAATATGCGGTCTGAACCGGAAGGGGCCCATAATTTTTTACCATGTCCAGAAAGTGAGCGAGAAAATGGACGTTGATTTTCCACATGAATCTTTCCTTGCTTGAATATACTTGGTCGAATGATGTGAAAAATTTTGCAATTTCAGAATCAACATGGCGTAAATCCGTCATTTTTGATATCATACGTGATGATAATTTTGACAGAATAAATGCCAATTGTTTGAAATTTTCGCATCTTCCTCTTTCAACAATTCCTTCAAAACATATGAAACCATAAAATAGAAGAAGTTCATAGTCCATACTTTTTAAATTTCGTTTTTGCGACAATTGAGGCATCGCTTTCAGAACACCTTCAGGAAATTTAATTGATGAAAGTCGTTCATCCACAATGCTCAATTGTGTTTTGTTTAATTTTGTTGTTTTCAATTCATTTTTTTTTTCGTTTGGTAATACTTGATACCATCTTTTCGTAGCCAAATCATCATCTAACCATCTATTGATGATACTCTTCACCGTACCCAAATATTGGGAATGCATTGCTTCCGGTGGACATATTATCGACATGTCAACGTAGGATAATTTCATAAGCTGGCAATTTCCTTTGATGCCCATAGTTGACTTTCCACGATTATTACTGGCAATGCTCCGCCAGCTTATATTTGTCCGAAGTTTGAAGTCAAATGATAAAGAATTGTCGTATTTTCTATTTGGTATATACAACATTGACTTGAAATCATTGTCATACGTGCCTTTAATCTCACAGCATTGGCATCCGTAATAACCATTGAATTGTGTGCTGTTTAAAAGAACGGCTCGTGCTGGTGCATCTGCAATTGCTAGAAGAAGTTTAACAAAAAACTTTTTTTCATTACCATCAACATCGATAATTATTGGATCGGTGGACAATGAGACGAGTTCATCAACAAGTGGCTTTATAACGATATCAGAGGATGGCTTACAACTACCAGAATGAAGTGCAATAAGCATAGGATTGTTTATACGTTCTTGAAAAGGAAGTTCATTTAAATAGGCGCAAAGTGGCCACATACTTTGAGAGCCATCGTTTGTGTAAGCTACACCGTCCCAAGTCAATGTCAAAGTTAGGGTAGGAATTGAACATGATGATGATGATGTTACGAGTTGGCGATATCGTTCTGAATTGGATAAATCGTGGAAAAATTTACTTTCTTTCGGGCGTGTAATTCTCAATTTTGAATAATACAATGGAATTTGATGATGAAGCCACTTGGAGAGAGGGATGTAACAAAAAAATGATGAAGAATCGCTTTTCATTTTTTGTGATGGAATAATTCGACAAGATTCATGACTGTAGCAACAAGTTGTTGGAATATTTAATTCGTTAACTGGCCCAATGATATCTCCACATTGCGAATAAAAATATTTATAAATTGTAGGCGTAAACGAATTTGGGACTTTTGTAATTATGGTGTCCCAGTCCGAACACGATACAATAGGTTCGCCACCAGTAGTGCAACAATGACGATATGCCATGTTGTTTAGAGATTTAGAAAAGATTTCAATCTCTTTGTTTGTGGTATTGAATCTTGCCTGATGCAACAGAATTATCATAATACGTTCCATTTCATTCATTTCGATTCTCCGAGAAAAATTTTCAAATTCAATGGTTGATTCTTGATGTACGATTTCATCATCACCATCATCGCTATCAGATGCATATTTTTGAAGGTCATCATCATCATATATAATTCCAGGTTCAACGTGATATTTATTAATTATAGTTTCAGCAGAACTCCCAGCAGGAGATTCTGAATCCGAGACTTGTGCATTGCGATTCAAAACTTTATTGACAAAAGTTGAAAATTTTTCATTTCGTCTTTGAACTTTTTTCAAAAAAGATTCACTATGATAACTTTGGGAAAAGGATGGCATTTGTTGATCAGCCATTTCGTGTTGTTTTTCCGATTCATCAGATCGCTTCATGGTGATAAACGTGATAATTAAACAAAAATCAATCAAACAACAACAATCTCGAAACTCGAAGGAAGAGAAAAAAACAGGCAAGTGCAAAAAAATTGTCAATATAAAAATTGTCGATACTTGTTGAGTATTACGCTTTTGTGAAAGCGAAAAAATAACTGCAAAAAAATGATTTTGGTGTGCGCGTACTCATGTCAAAGCCCCAAACATACATGAGTGTGAAAAAATGTGTATGTTTGTGCTTCGCGAAGACTAAATTTTTTCACACTACTGTCCAATGTGCGGAGGGTGTATGTTCAAAAAATGCTTCTTCTTATCAGTTATGAGCTGCACCGAATTCGATTTTTTTCTTTTTATTTTCGTGTAACATTGCGGTTTTTCTGCCATTGTTTCGCCGTTGTTTGAATGGATTACTTCGTCATCATTTGAAAAAAGTATTTCGTCATCATTTGAAAAAATAATTTCGTCATTATTTGAAAAGATTTGTGTGGTCGAATATGGTTTCCATAATTAATTTTTGCAATTCAAGCGAGGAATATTCATCATTTATTAATTATATGCAGGGTGAGTATTCGGTTTTTGCTTTTGAGAATGTTTTGTTTTTTACCTCATGTTCTTTTTCAGAAAATCAAATTAATACAGTAGATGAATTCAAAGATCATCTACAATACAATGTATTGTCGTTTTTGCGAGCATTCACTAATCTTAATTTTGGAAAACTTGAAACGGACCTTGCAGTTTTTGAAGAAAATGAAAATAAAAAGAATGAACGAAAAATTGATGAAGACGATGAAATTATTAATAATATTATTGATGATGAAGATTGCCAATGTGAAAATTTATGTTGTGCAAAATTAAGACAAAAATTGAATCATTTGTCCGAAAAAGTTGATACGATGGAAATATGGATAAAAAATGAAATGAAAAAAATCGACAATCCATTAGTAATCAATAATTCTATGAAAAATGGAGATTTTTTATTGGAAGATAAATGGCTAGTCAAAGGCGAATTTTTACATATCGCCGCTAGAGATAGTGGCAATAGCGACCTGGCTAACCTTTTAGATTCGGTTTTTGGAAGAAAAATCTTACAAAAATACAAGTCGATTAAAGATCTTCCAAACGAGCTTAAAAAAGCGATCGATTTATTAATTGGTAAGTCACTTCAATAAACTTTCTTCAACCAATATCATCGCAACATTTAGAGCATTATTCAAGGGCAAAAGTCGTTGAAAAAGGAGGAGAGTATAATAAAATAAAAAATAATGCTAAACAACGAATAAACAAACGTTTTGACAATTGGAATCGGTACCAGTTGAAAAAAAGTAAGTCTTTTATATACATTATTATGTGATCGTACTTATATTTCATTTTGATTTTTTTACAAAACAGAATTGTCAGTCAAATCACCATCCACATCAAATGATGATTAATTAAATGTTGCAATATCATCATTTTTCGCTTATTTTTTTAATTTTTCCAGTCATTTTTTTAAATTTGTAATAACCTATGTTTATATCTATGTTAATAATTAATTTTTGTTAATTTATTATCCTAATACAAATTAAAATATATATAATAAATAATATATAAAAAATTTCAGAAATCAAAATGAGTGAAATGAAAGAAAATTCCCGGGAAATCTATTGCCTACAGTGGTGTCTGAATGTTGTCAGACTTAGCTAAATTCAGCATCAAAAAAGTACCATAAACGACCCAGAATTCTGACGTCTGAAAGAAGTCTTTCAGACGTTTTCGCACTACCACTAGTGGTGTCTGAATGTTGTCAGACTTAGCTAACTTCAGCATTGAAAAATCAGGGATGACATATATGTGTGTGTCTTTTCTTCATTAATGTCAGAATTTTGTCTAATGAAATTGACCAAATTAAAACTAATAAGCAATATAAGAGCCCGTTCGGAATTGAGTTTCCGTCCCCGTTTCTGGATTTAGGGATGAACATTTTCAAGATATCACCACCCGATATCTTTCATGATTTTTTGGAAGGTGTTCTTCCCGACGTCGTGCAAGTAATCGCACAAAAATCAGGAATAAGAAAAAAGAATCTAATTTCCCGAATCAAGCAAATAAAATGGGTCAATGGCCCAGTTTCCGTTATTAACCAATTGGAAATATGCGGAAATGCTGTCCAGGTATGTAGCCCTTATTTCGAAGAGCTGATCTCAATTTTTTTTACTTCAATACATCCAGAAATTAGAGTTCTTTTTCAGACTGATTGAAATTTATCCAGAATGGCTGAATAATCCACCAAACATTTTTCCACTTTACGAGGTGGTTCGAAAAACAGTTTTTAAAATCTGTTCTCCATCGAGCATTTATGATTATAGCCTCTTTAGATCAGAGGTGGAAAAATTCGTAGAGGTATATATTATTTATTTTTAATTTCAATCATTGCTAATGATTATTTTAAAATAAAACAGATGATGAAAATCAATGAGATAAAAAGAGCAAAAGCTCATTTTATCTCTCATTATCCTTCATTGGTTGGATTTTATGGTGGCAGTTTAGTATCGTATTCATCTAGAAGATTCGAACGAAAAAATAAAGAGGTGAAAAGCCTCATTTTGCATTCAAGAAACTTCAAAGATGTTGCATATTCACTATCTTGGCTTCATCAAGCCAAAAGAATTACTGTGAAAAAAACTGGTAAGAACAAACAAATTTATAAACCTTGGTTCTTTGAATTATTGATCTAATTCTTCCATTCAACATATTAGCACCAGAATCGTGGCCCTTGAATAGGAACATTGTCCGTGCCATCGTTCAAGGAGAATCGGAAGAAGCTATCTCTTTCATAAAAGCCAAAGAACTAAAGACTGTTGATGACAAAATTCTAGTTTTGGGCGACAAGTTTGACACAACTATAACAAACTTGTACTTTGTGGAGATCATGTGGAGATCGCAACCGAGTGACCTGGCACTCGAAACAAATTCTCTTCAATCCAACAGATGATAATCAAGCCCCTTTTATTTTCCATTCGAAAGTGTGTAATTCTGCAGCAAAATCGATTCGAAATCAATGGAAGAAAATACGATGTGAAAAGAAAGATAAAATCTTGCCTGAAGAAATAGTCCAAGTAAAGATGGATAACAAGTATGTCTATTTTTATTGCTATACTCAGAATATGACAAGAGACGGCGAAGAAATCTCTTGCCAGAATCGAATTTATAAAGTCAGGAAGGGAAGAAACATCACGATAAACCAACACACAGTCCACTTCCAAAGAATGCGAATCGAATTTCTCGCCAATTTAGATCCAGAATTGTTGTAAGTCATAAATGATAAAACGTATAACGATGAAGATAGGAGTGTAATTCTGAAAGATTTGGAAAATATAATTGAACAAGAACATCGAGTTGTGACCCAAATCACTATTTCTTATTTGAGATATTATATGATCTGATAATCTTATAAGCCAGCAAGATTTGTTAACATCATTGTATTTTGTCATCAACGTAGAAAGAGATTATCTTATACTTCTCGATCAAACTTCTTACAATAATTCATATTTCAATTTCAATCATATTTTGGTGCCAATAAAAAAAATTAAACGAGAAAATTTCGGAAAGCAAAAATAATTCAGAAAGAAAAAAAGTTTCCGGGAATCATTCTAAACAGCAGCATCATATGAGGCTGCGCAAATCAGTTTGGTTATTAACCACCATAAAAGTGGTTTTTTTTTTGCTGCGTATACCATAAAAATAACGAGCCTGGTTCTAAAAATAATTTTTTCGTTTCAGCAAACACAAATACAAACGCAATAAAAACCAAAGTGGTGTAACAGTAATAAGTATATGATGATATGTGCGCATTTGATTTGGATAGATGGATGATAATGTGATTCAAAAAAAAAAAAAAAACAAAATCGAATGTAAATGCGTATGTTGTTAAACTGAATGTTGTGTGAAAATGTATTTGTGTTTCGTGTGTATGAGTCATGCAAATGAATTTTGTTTGAAAATTTTGTTCATGTGTGTGTTATGGCGTTCAAATTATAACCAGAAAAAAAATGAAATCTCTATTTGGGATATTGCAAAAAAAGAAAGGCAAATCTTCACTTACCGCACTACGCCCCCATCACACCAGCATAGAGAAATGGATCGATCGATTATCATCATATATCGGGACAGGAAATTATTTGGCCATCATCACAAGTACGAATCGGGAAAAGAAAAAAATTTTGCTTCTTTTGGGAAAAACTTTGAAGCGAATTTTAGCACACAAAAACAAAATAATTTTCCAACCAACCCGGCCAAATAAAGTAATCAACAAAAAAAACAAGTAATGCTCGAAACAACAGTCGAGCATAAAATGAAACAAAATGGCGATGATGGCTGGATTTTTCATCATCGAATACAATCGAAAAAGAACATGCGTAATAACAAAAAAAAACAGGTCAACGAATATATGGGAGTGGTGATGGTCATCATCATTATCACCAATACTGCTACAACTATTTTTGTTGGTATGCTTGCCACAAATGAATGGAAGTGAAGAAAATCAAACTTGTTGTGTGAAGTGTTGTGAACATTAAAACAATTTTATTACATGAGCAGCAATGCCTATTCTCAATGGCGAAACGATCAAAAAAAATGTACAAACAGAGACAAATATATGACAGCCATAGATTTGCCCATAGGCTATTTATTTTTTACAGGATTATTATCTCAAACGACCACGATTTATGAAAAAATATGTGCAATGCTTTCAATTATGTGATTAGAATTTTTATGAGAAAATATTCGATGATCTTTTATGGTCAAATTAGTAGTATTGAACGTCAAAAAAATGTCTAAAACTTCCAAAAGAACATTGTATACAACCTCAAAGTTGAAATCGATGGTGAAAGAAAATGCAAAATGGGAAGAGTTTTTAGTGGAGAAAATAAGTACGAAATTTTTTTTTTATCATCGTCATGATTAATTTTTTTCATCATTTTTTATTTTTTCACAACGCTGTGATAATTTCAAAATTGACAATAAAATAAAAATTCAAAATTTACACCATATACTTTGATTTAATATTTTTGAACTATCCACTTTTGAAAAATGATTTTTTTTTCTTTAATATAAAAAAATAGAGGTGTGATTCAATGAATAAACGTTAAAATTTAACATAAATAATCAGATAAATAACTTTTATAGCTGAAATAAGTTAGGCATATCAAATACGTAAAATTTACGTAGATTACCTTTCCCGCAATATCGATATGGTTACCTTTCTAGGGTTAAAAGGTCCAATTCTTTGAGTGTAGCATACGGCTCAACCTTTTCAAATTTGTACCATTATCAGAAATAATTGTGGTTGGCATTCGACATGCACATGCGATTGAAACATTGGACGGCCGATTTTTTTCCTATGTTATCCGATGAGGGTCGCTATATTCCTTCTATCAGCGCCGTGATCGTATAGTGGTTAGTACCTTGCGTTGTGGGGGGAAGCAAACATTCAACTATGATATGTTGTGTTGTTTCAATTCACAGTGCCGCAATAACCCCGGCTCGAATCCGGGTCACGGCAAAAGAGAAATTTTTTTGCTACACTCTAAAAATACACACCATTTTTCGAGTGTACACTCTAAAATACACACCATTTTTTGAGTGTACACTCTAAAATACACACCATTTTTCGAGTGTACACTCTAAAATACACACCATTTTTTGAGTGTACACTCTAAAATAGACTCCATTTTTTAAAATTTATTATTTATCAGTATATTAATTGTCGAAATAGCCGTTGAACAACGGTATGGTTGTGCTGATGATGAATGTTGTATATGTCTTTATTTTGTGTTTTTTGGTTTTGTTTGATGCAATCGTATCAATCTCGCCATGGAACTGGTTCAAAATGAAGAAACGAATGACATGACGCCTATTCAAAATCAAATTGATACTCCGAACAAATAGATTTAATTGCAATCCAAAACGGAGGCTCGAGAGAGAACAATCAACTGTGTGAAAATCCAACACACAATCGGTGACAGTGGCGCCGCTACTGTCAATAGTCAAGAAAGTGGTGAACAAGAACTTGGCAACAAATTATATTGATATATTGCAAATAATATTGGATCAAATAATAACGAATGTGGAAAATGAATGGTTCGATTGTCTGATTATAATAAAGTACATCAAAAATTCAACAGAATCCAAGTATGTGGATGGACAAGAATCAAAAATAGATATAATGATGATTTGGCAAAAATCTAACTGAACCTCATCTACTCGTCAAATCCAAGTCCAACTAATCAACAACTGATGTTTGTACCGCCATCTGTCGTATTGTGGTATCGTTTTTTTTTATCATCGTCATGATTAATTTTCCAACTAAAAAACATGATCGAAATACGAATTTTCAAAAAAATATAAAAACAAAAATATATCGATTGTATCGGTTCCAGTGTGTTTGATTATATCATTTTGTATGTACAGTAATACCCGCTTAACGCGGGGGTTACGTTACAAAAATTCTGAGCGTTAAGCGAAACAGCGCTAAGCGGGGCTAATAATTCTACCGATTTGAACAAATTATCAAGATCTGATCCAACGAACAATGACTATCAATAAAATAGTTCCAATGGTGATAAAGCATTGTCTTTATCCATTACCGCAAAACACACAACTTGATGAGAGCCGGGAGATTTTCAATAACATGATAAGTCTTTCATCAAGTAAATATCATTTGGATAAATATATAGAAAATTTACCAACTTACATCCCGGCCGGTAAAGTATTCAAACTAAATTGATTGAAATGGTTTATTGATTTATTATTTATTCCACCAGTACATGAAGTTTGGAATAGTAAAATTCCAAATACAAATTCAGTTTTAAAATTTTCTTGGGTCAAGCCAAGTGACCTTTGTCGATTGATATTGTCGAATAAATCAATAGTTTCCCAATTGTTGTTGGAAAAAAAATACAAAGACGACAATTCAGATGAATTACGATACACTGAACATTTGCAATGTTCAGCTGAGCGTAAAAATCGTTTATTGGGAACACTCCAATTGGAGTTTGGATTTGATGATTTCTCAATTGTCAATCAGCTCGGAGTCAAAAACAAAAATCACACATATATGGGACTCTATCTGACGTTTCCACATATCCCATTGAAAATGAGACTGAAACAGAAGAACATTTTCATGGTGATGTTAGTGAATCGAAAAGATATGAGAGAAAATGGTTACCAACTGGCTGATATTTTTCGGCCAGTCATCACAGATTTGAAATCAGCGATGACTGAGGGAATTTTAATCGACAATAAAAATTTCATAATTTCCATTAGCGCTATTTGCGGCGATAATAAGGGAACTTATGAATTATTGGGTATTGTTATTCATATATTATTGCTTATAAATATATATATTAACACAAGTATTGATTATTTTAGGCTACAATACAGCTTTTCAAACCCGTTCATTCATATGTCTGGTATGTGGAGCCAAGGGGGCTAAAATGAGCTTGGAATTGGCAAGCAAAGAATAAATTTTTCTAATATTTGCTATGACCAAATATTAAAAAATGAGCAAAATATTAAAAAAAATAAAGACAAAATATTCGGATTAGAAAAATATTGCGTCTTCAGTGAGCTGCCCAATACTTATATTTCTCAGTTGGCGCCACTTGATTGGTAATTAATTTACTCTAACATTTTACACTTTCAGATTTGTTTAATTGAATATTCTTATTTTTCAGCATGCATGATTTCGAAGAAGGAATCGAAGAGCATATTGAGCATATGCGATGTTGAAGCTGTTGAAAATTTCAACCGAATTGGTTCAAAATGTTGTAAATACCAATTTCTTCAACAATGACCGTATACAGATCAGGGGTTCCTGCAAAACAAAAGGCAAAAGCTTTAAACTAAAAGGAACTGCTGCATCGGTAATATTTTATTTTTTCCATATATTCAACACATTAGCTTTTTCCATTTACAGAAATTGGAATTTTTCATCCGTTTGGAAGAAATTATTACTCAAATACGAAGTGATTTCCAAACTCACAAAACGGCATTCGAATTATATAGAATTTGCATTGTTGTCACATTCCTTTGCGCTAAACCAAGATGAAATCTTGAAATTAAAACAATGCGCAAAGAATATTGTTGACATTTATGCTACAATCCCAGAATGCAAATTAACGCCCAAATTCCACAACATATTGCATTATTGGGAAGATGCATTGGAATTTGGACCAAATTATCGTCACTCTTCGTATAAATACGAACGATTCCATCAATTGAACAAACGTTCAATTTCGACATGAAAGAATATGAAAAATCCATCTTATTCGATGGTGAATTTCATTCAGAAAAAGATAGCCTTGACACTCTTGAAAGAAAATTCTTTAGAGCAAAATTTTTACGAAGAATATTTGGAAGATTAAAGGTAAAATGTAATTATTCATAAAAAAATTTTATTGATAATTTCTTTCATAATTTTTGAATTTTTTCATACAGTTTTCAATGGAAATAAAAAACAATTTTATTTAAAAAAATAAATTTATTATTTAGTGAATATTATTTCAATTATTCAAAAGACGCGCTATTAACTTTAAATATCATTTATGTCGAAATAGATCTCAATAATGTTGAAACAGTCGAATTTCAAATCAAAACGATGATGATGCTGTTGCATGCATGCATCTATTTCGATTCATTTTCTACTTACGCTGTTGAATCAGTCGAATTTCAAATCAAAATGCTGATGATGCTGTCGCATGCATACGCATATTTAGACAGTAATCGGCTCAATGTTTTTAAATAGCTTTTTTCTCTTTAACTGTCACTGTGCATTTTCAAATCATATGTAGTGCCGTGAAGCTTACATTTTTTCTCTCTGTGTAGGGTAATTGTACAGCGTTATATCGAATCAGCGCTAAACGGGGCAGCTATAAGCGGGGTATTACTGTATATGTTTTTATCATGTAATTTTCAAATGACGATATGTCACAATATCGGAAAATGAGACTTTGTTCAATGTTTATACACACTGGGATTTTCATTGATCATAGTTTAGAAAATATTGCTGAGGTTGCTTTTTGCAAATAATTTTTTTCGACTGAAATCAATCATTTCACACATCGTGTGATTTTCTGTAATCTCCTGTTTTATCATCATCTACTTTTTGTCTATGTCAGCAAATAACAATTTTTCAAGTATCGTTTTCGAAATTCCTACCTTGAAACCTTGCACATCCGTACAACCAGAAAAAAATGGACACCAAAGATTTACGTATCATATTCATTGGTGCCGGTAATATTGCACAATCAATGGCAAAAGGATTATTAAATTGTTCATATGTAAAATGCGAACAAATTCTTGCATATGCACCAAGTGATCGTAATTTGAAAACATTTCAGGTAATTTTTTCATTACAGTCATTTCAAGATATTGGTATAGATATTTTTTTTCACAGAATTTTGGCTGCCATACAACACAGAATTTGCATCAAATATTTTTTGATTCGCAATCATCAGATGTTCACTATTTGTTGTTTATTTGTGTAAAACCAAATATTGGAAAAGATTTTGGATTCTGGTCATCGTTGAAGGATAAAGTTCAACCAAATCAATGGGATAAAATTTTTATCGTTTCTGTTATGGCTGGTGTATCATTGCAAACGATTGAAAATTATCTTTCACCATCGTTGAAACATAATTTAGCAAGAATCATGCCTAATACAGCAATGGCAATCAATGCCGGCACAATTGGTCTTTATTGGAAACCATGGAATCTTACGCAAAAATTATGGTCCGAAAAGTTGCCTGAATTATTGAATAAATTAGGCAAATGTCAGCAGGTGGATAATGAAGAACAAATACATTCAATTATTGGTGTTGCTGGCAGTGGCATTGCATTTATCTATACCGTAATACAAGCAATGTGTGATGGCGGTGTTTCCGTTGGTTTATCTCGACAAATGTCTCGTGAATTAGTTACACAAACTGTTATGGTAATGAATGATTGAATGAATTTCCACATATATGATCTTATTCTGTTTTTGTTTCAATGGCAGGGTGCAGCAAAAATGGTCACTGAAACTGGCATGAATCCAATTGAATTACGTGATCATGTTTGTTCACCAGCCGGTACTACGATTGCTGGTGTTGAAATGTTGGAACAAGGTGGCATCAATGCAACAATTATCAATGCTGTTAAAAAATCAACAGAACGAAGCCGAGAATTGTCTAAATAATAATAATAATAATAATAATGATGATAATCAATTGATTAAAAAAACATTTGTTTGTATACAAACCAATCACTAAGCTTAAATTGATTTTTTTTTAAATTCTATTCAGTAACGATATTTATGAACAATGTCCATATTGTTTTATTTCATTGTGCTTGTTGGTTTTTTTTTTGGTTGTAGTGGCAATCATGGAAAATGGTGTGTGTGCTTGTGACAAACTGTTACTGATGCTACTTCTTATTATTACCTTTATATACATGATTACGACAGACAGAATGACGGACAGACAGACAGACATTGAATACTCGCACATTCGGCATTTTTTCATTTATTTTGCCTCCAATATTTTTTGTTGATCCAGAATTTTTATCTAAATATCCGAATATTCTTTTTTTTTTTTTGTCAAATTTTCTTTCGTTGGTCTGTGTGTGTATTTGGACATCTTTTGTTTGGGTGTGTGTATATGGTGTTAGATTGAAACACATTATCTCTGAGTGTGTGACATTCAATTCAATATATTGAATTGAAATCACGCTCATCATTGTCAACGGCAATAAATAAAACAAAAACAAATAGAAAAAAAAAATGTCAAACATAGTGACCAGTGATTCAAAAGCACCTGTGCGCGAGGTACGTCGTGTACAATTTGGTATATTTTCGCCGGATGAAATACGTCGTATGTCAGTCACCGATGGTGGTATTCAATATGCTGAAATCTATGAAAATGGCCGACCGAAAATCGGTGGCTTGATGGATCCACGACAAGGTGTTGTCGATCGGTATGTTGGTTGTCGTTTGGTTCGATTTTTTTTTGACTTTGACCATTTTTCTTTGCATTTGTAAAGAACATCACGTTGTCAAACATGTGCCGGAAACATGGTTGAATGTCCAGGACATTTTGGACATTTAGAATTGGCTAAACCAGTGTTTCATATTGGTTTCTTGAATAAAACAATAAAAATCCTTCGTTGTGTTTGTTTTTATTGTTCCAAGATGCTAATATCACCAACAAATTCTAAAATAAAGGAGATTGTTGCCGAAACCAAAGGAAATCCACGTAAACGTCTGGCACATGTTTATGATCTGTGTAAAGGAAAAAATATCTGCGAAGGAACTGATGATATGGATTTGAATAAAGAAAACACCGATTTTAATGAAGCCGATCAGCAACTAGCATTGAAGAAAAAAGTAAATCTACATGGTGGTTGTGGCCGCTATCAACCACAAATCAAACGTGAAGGTTTGGATCTTTACGCTGAATGGAAACATTTGAATGAAGATTCACATGAGAAAAAAATCGCATTGACCGCCGAGCGTGTACATCAGATTTTCAAAGATATCTCGGACGAAGAAATCTCCATACTGGGTATGGATCCAAAATATGCACGACCTAGTTGGATGATGGTGACCGTATTACCAGTGCCACCATTATGTGTTCGGCCAGCTGTAGTGATGTTTGGATCGGCACGTAATCAAGATGATTTGACACATAAATTAGCCGATATTGTCAAGACAAATAATGAATTGATTAAAAATGAACAAAACGGAGCAGCCACACATATTATAGCGGAAAATGTGAAAATGTTACAATTTCATGTGGCCACGTTTGTTGATAATGAAATACCGGGCATTCCACGTGCACAGCAAAAATCTGGACGCCCATTGAAATCTATCAAACAACGATTGAAAGCAAAAGAAGGACGTATTCGTGGCAATCTTATGGGTAAACGTGTTGATTTCTCCGCACGTACCGTTATTACACCGGATCCGAATCTTCGTATCGATGAAGTCGGTGTACCGCGTTCAATTGCTCAGAATCTAACATTTCCCGAGATTGTCACACCATTTAATATTGGTTAGTTTGGTCATTTTTTTGTTTGTTTTCTTTTGGTAAATTTCTATAATTTTCATTTTTTTCAGATCAATTAAAAGAACTCGTATGCAAAGGTAATAATCAATATCCTGGAGCAAAATATATTATACGTGATAATGGTGAACGTATCGATTTGAGATTTCATCCACGACCATCAGATCTGCATCTAGAATTTGGTTATAAAGTTGAACGTCATATTCGTAATGGTGATGTGATTGTATTTAATCGACAACCAACATTACATAAAATGAGTATGATGGGACATAAAATACGTGTATTACCATGGTCAACATTTCGTTTCAATCTATCGGTTACGACTCCATATAATGCTGATTTCGATGGTGATGAAATGAATCTACATGTACCACAATCGTTGGAAACACGTGCTGAAATCGAACAATTAGCAATGGTGCCAAGAAATATTATAACACCACAATCAAATAAACCTGTCATGGGTATCGTCCAAGACACATTGACAGCTGTACGTAAAATGACTAAACGTGATGTATTCCTCACACAAGATCAAATGATGAATTTATTGATGTTTCTGCCAACATGGGATGGTAAATTACCGATGCCTTGTATATTGAAACCAATACCATTGTGGACTGGGAAACAACTTTTCTCCCTAATCATACCAGGACATGTTTCTTTGATACGTAATCATTCCACACACCCTGATGATGAAGACGAAGGCCCCTACAAATGGATATCACCTGGTGATACAAAAGTTTTGATTGAAAATGGTGAACTTTTATCCGGAATTGTTTGTGCCAAAACTGTCGGCAAATCAGCTGGAAATCTGATGCATGTTGTGTTTCTAGAAATGGGACATGAAACATGTGGTTTGTTTTATTGGCATATACAAACCGTAATTAATAATTGGCTGCTATATGAAGGCCACTCGATTGGTATTGGTGATACATTTGCTGATCCACAAACATATCGTGACATTCAAGAAACAATCAAAAAAGCTAAACAAGATGTGATTGAGGTGATTGAAAAAGCACATAATGATGAATTGGAACCAACACCCGGTAATACATTGAGGCAAACATTCGAGAATCAAGTAAATCGTATATTGAATGATGCTCGTGATAAGACTGGAGCGTCGGCTCAAAAATCATTGTCAGAATTTAATAACTTCAAAGCTATGGTCGTAGCTGGATCGAAAGGTTCGAAAATTAATATATCACAAGTTATTGCCTGTGTAGGTCAACAGAATGTGGAAGGCAAACGTATACCATTCGGTTTTCGTAAACGTACCTTACCGCATTTCATTAAAGATGATTATGGTCCAGAATCACGTGGTTTTGTGGAGAATTCCTATTTGGCCGGTTTGACACCATCGGAATTTTTCTTTCATTCAATGGGTGGTCGTGAAGGTGATATTTTGTTGATTTTCTTTTTTTTTCGACAATTTATTCAACTTTTGTTTATTCGTTCACTATTTTCTAGGTTTGATTGATACGGCTGTAAAAACTGCAGAAACTGGCTATATTCAACGACGATTAATTAAAGCCATGGAATCTGTAATGGTCACCTATGATGCAACGGTTCGTAATTCAAACGGTCAAGTGATTCAATTACGTTATGGTGAAGATGGTTTGGATGGTTCACATGTTGAATTTCAAAACCTTCCTACATTGAAACCGAATGATCGACAGTTTCGGGAACGTTTTCGTTTCGATGCAACGAATGAAAAATATTTACGAAAAACTTTCACTGAAGATGTTGTAAAAGACTTACTTGGTAATCCACGTTCATTATCAGAATTGGAACAAGAATTTGAACGTTTACAAAAAGATCGTGATACATTACGTGGATTATTCCCTACGGGTGATTCAAAAGTCGTTCTGCCTTGTAATATAAATCGTATGATTTGGAATGCACAGAAAATATTTCATGTCAATAAACGAGTGGCTACGGATCTCTCACCATTAAAAGTATTGACCGGTGTTGAAAACCTAGTGAACAAATTGACCATTGTACCTGGGGAAGATCCATTGTCGATAAAAGCAAATCAAAATGCAACACTTTTATTTCGTTGTCTATTAAGATCAACATTGTGTACGAAAAAAATTACCGAACAAGATCGATTGAGTTCTGAAGCCTTCGATTGGTTATTGGGTGAAATTGATTCGAAATTTCATCAAGCACAAGTGCAACCAGGTGAAATGGTCGGAGCATTGGCAGCACAATCATTGGGTGAACCAGCCACTCAAATGACATTGAACACATTTCATTATGCTGGTGTATCGGCAAAAAATGTTACATTGGGTGTACCACGTTTAAAAGAAATTATCAACATATCGAAAAAACCAAAAACACCATCATTAACAGTGTTTTTGACCGGAGCTGCTGCACGTGATGCTGAAAAAGCCAAAGATGTTTTATGTCGTTTGGAACATACAACCCTGAGAAAAGTGACAGCTAACACGGCAATTTTTTATGATCCAGATCCATTGAATACCGTGATACACGAAGATCAAGAATTTGTAAATGTTTATTATGAGATGCCCGATTTTGATACATCACGTATATCACCATGGTTGTTGCGTATTGAATTAGACCGTAAACGTATGACGGATAAAAAATTAACGATGGAACAAATTGCTGAAAAAATTAATGCTGGTTTTGGTGAAGATTTAAATTGCATATTCAATGATGATAATGCAGAGAAATTAGTGCTGCGCATACGTATAATGAATCCGGAGGAAAAATCATCAGCCGAAGAAGAAGAACAAATTGATAAAATGGAAGATGATGTTTTCTTGCGTTGTATTGAATCATCATTATTAAGTGATATCACATTACAAGGTATTGAATCGATAGCTAAAGTTTATATGCATCTACCTACGACGGATAATAAAAAACGTATCATCATCACCGAAACTGGTGATTACAAATCGATTGCCGAGTGGCTATTGGAAACGGATGGTACAAGTTTAATGCGAGTCCTATCGGAACGTGATGTTGATCCAACACGTACTTATTCGAATGATATCTGTGAAATATTCTCAACATTGGGTATTGAAGCTGTACGAAAAGCAGTGGAAAAAGAAATGAATCATGTTATTTCCTTCGATGGTTCATATGTAAATTATCGTCATTTAGCATTGCTTTGTGATGTTATGACTGCTAAAGGACATTTGATGGCCATCACTCGTCATGGTATTAATCGTCAAGATGTTGGTGCATTGATGCGTTGTTCATTCGAGGAAACCGTCGATGTATTGATTGATGCTGCAATGCATGCTGAGATTGATTATTTGAAAGGTGTTTCCGAAAACATTATCGTTGGTCAATTGGCTAGAATCGGTACTGGCTCATTTGGTTTATTATTGGATCCAGAAAAATGTAAACTTGGTATTGAAATACCTACGAATCTACATGGACTTGGTATGTGTTTGGAGTTGTTTGTTTTTTTGATCATTATTAATTTTTGGCTTTTTTATGATTTAGGAACTGGTTTATTCTATGGTATGGATTCACCATCAATGACTGGATCGGGAATGTCTCCACAGATGACACCATATGGTGTTTCAACACCTGCTTATGCATTACCATGGGCTTCAGGTGGAAGTGGTGTTGGTGTTGGTCTTGGTATGACACCGGCAGCAGCTGGATTCTCACCATCAGCTGCGTCTGATGCAGGATTTTCACCTGGATATTCGCCAAGTTGGTCACCAAGTGGCCTTGGCAGTCCAGGATCCCCATCTAGTCCATATCTTCCATCCCCAAGTGGTCCATTATCGCCATCATATTCACCTGCATCTCCTAATTATATGCCAATGTCACCGCATATCGGGGTAGCAAGCCCATCATATTCTCCAACCTCACCATCTTATTCGCCAACTTCACCATCGTATAGTCCAACTTCGCCATCGTATTCTCCAACCTCACCATCGTATTCGCCAACTTCCCCATCGTATTCTCCAACCTCACCTAATTATTCACCATCGTCTCCATCCTATAGTCCAACTTCACCATCGTATTCTCCGACCTCACCATCGTATAGCCCCACATCGCCATCGTATTCTCCAACATCACCATCGTATTCGCCAACTTCGCCATCATATTCTCCAACCTCACCATCGTATTCACCATCGCCATCATATTCGCCAACTTCCCCATCGTATTCTCCAACATCACCCTCGTATTCGCCAACTTCCCCATCGTATTCTCCAACATCACCGTCATATTCGCCATCTTCTCCAAATTATTCACCATCTTCTCCATCTTACAGCCCATCGTATACATCACCGTATGCTCCATCATCGCCAAAATATTCACCTGGTGCTGCTTCGAGCTATTCGCCATCGTCCCCTTCATATCAGCCATCATTTTCACCGAGATATTCATCATTGTCTCCCAAATATTCTCCTTCATCGCCATCGTATGCTCCATCATCGCCACAGTCATATTCACCTGGTGCAAGCAGTGGATATTCGCCATCTTCACCACCGTATGGGCGTTCCGGTCCAGATAGTGGAATTGTAGGTGGTGGCACAGGTTCATCATCTGTTTATTCACCAGCATCGCCTACTTATTCAGGTGTTGGTAGTAATGGACGTCCTATTGGATCTGTTGGTGCTGCTGGTACCAGTACAGGATATTCACCAACTAGTCCAACAAGAAATTATTCTCCTACATCACCAACATACTCTCCACATGAATCCAGTTATTCACCCACCTCACCTACATCATATTCACCAACATCGCCGTCAACTTATTCGCCGACATCACCAAATTATGACGAATGAATGAAAAAATTTTAATGATTTTATGAAATTTCATTTTCCAAAAATAATTAATTAACACATACGCAACAACAACAATCAGGATCTTTTTTCTTAATTTTTTTTTCGAATACTAATACAGAGACAATACTTTGTGAACATAATTACAAATTTTTTTTTCTATACTCGCAAAATGTATTTTGTTTAATTCTATCTTTCTCATATAATTGATTGATAATTTTAATAATTTATAATGAAAATATGATGATTATGATGAATAAAAATCTCTATCTCTATCTCTAAATATATTATTATTTGATTTAATTATCCTGTAAAATTTGATTTGCAAAACAAAAAAAAAAAAAATATCGATTGTCGTTGTGTGTCAATATCGATTATCTTATACTGCATAAAAACAAAAAATTTTCCAATATAACAGACAAATCTGGAACGATAGATAAGTGAAAGAAGCCAAAAAAAAAAAAAAAACCGTTGACGGTTCTGATATGAATTCCAGTAGGGTTTTTTTTGTTTTGTTTTTTATCTGATTTCCTCTATGTGTCTGTTATTTTTGTGTATATAAACACACCACGATCATTGTGTGTGTTTTCATCATTCAATCAACGAGTAAAAATAAATAAAACCTCGAAAAACAAAAATGAATTTTCGTATCGCAATTTTGGTCATCGCTATGATCATATCGATAGTATGTATGTCCAATGTCAGTGGTTACGGATGGAGAGACCGATTTCTTCGTAATACTGATTACGATGTTTATCGTCGTGGCGATGTTTTCCGTGGTCGTGATATGTATTCATCATTGAATTGATTGATTCAAAATCCAATCCACCATTCAAGAACATCGTTTATTTTTAATGGCATAATTCTAAATTAAATTAAATTTTGAAAGAAATTTTTTCAATGAAAAAAAAAATTATTAAAAAATAAAAACCAAATTTTATTGTTTGTTTCATTTAATATTTTCAATTTTGAAATTAAAAATTATCAACCATAACAAACACACAGCAGCGAAATTAAACATCCTGATGATATGTACATTTCCCATTGGAATTCTGTTTTTTTTCTGTTTTGACGTTTTGTTTGCTTTATTGCAACACGCACACATACGAAAAACAAATCTGGTACGATTGATAATGAATTGATGAAACAAAAAAAATTTTTTTTTTTTTTTTTGACGGTCATCATTAGCATTGATTAATCTGGCGAGATTTTTTTTGCCGTTTATCATCCAACAATAGGATTTGCTAACAAACAAACCAAACAAACAAAATCCATTTTAATCTGATTTCCTGTGTTTAAAACCACAGAAGACAATTTTGTCTTTGCAAATTTTTTTCTTTTGGGTATATAAATGAATCCGTGTGTGTGTGTGTGTGTGTGTTTAACATTATTATTATTCTTCTACATTGAAATCTTGAAAATTTCACAAGTCATCGAATCAAAAAAAAAAAAAAATGAATTTTCGTATCATATTTTTGGTCGTAGCCATGATCATGTCGATCAGTTTGTTGGGCAGTGTAGCAAACGCTCAACGATATGGTAGACGTAATGGATTTGGTGGTGGTTCTTATGGCCGTCGTGGTGGTGGTGGTAGTTATAATCGTGGCAATTATGGTGGTGGTGGCTATGGTGGACGATATGGTCGTCGTGGTTGATGATTGTGGCTAGATTTTGAATCCATACGAAAAAAAATGTCATCGATTAGAGGCGAAGAAAAAAAAACAATCGAAATGTTATGTTACATGTTGCTGTCATAGAAATTATTACTCTTGTTATCTTGTCTTGTTTTTGAAATTAAAAAAAAAATTCAATCAAAGTAAACATTGTTTCTGTGCGTTTTTTGATAATCAATGTCAATGAGTTTGTTGGAGTTTTTGTTTTGTTTTTGGTTTATGATTGAAATTATACGATGAACAAAAAAAAGTGGCCGGATGTCTGTTTTTTGAATGATAAACACGTTGATAAATTGTATGGATTTGTAAGAATTTCGTTTATCGGATCGTATATAAAATGGAAACCATTCAATTCGGATGAAATTTACATTTTTTGCAAAATATTTGATTTGATTGCCCAGAATCATCGATTCATGCACAAAATGAATGTACATAATTTCATATTCGTTATATTTGTATTGACCACAATGATGGTGGCAACAATTGTCCATTGTCAAGGACGTATTGGTGCAATAAAACAATTGTCCGAAATATCGAAAAAACAAAAAGATCCAATCAATAAATATGGACCATATGTTAAACCATTGAAACAATTATTGGGCATCAGTAAAGGTAGTGGTGGTATTTTTTCAGGTGGTTCATCATCACATTCATCATCAAATGATTATAATCGTGGCACATCAATTGATCGTAGTCGTGATTATAATTCCGATTCATCGTCATCATATAATTCTGGCTACTCATCTGGTAATCGTAATTCATATGATCGTGATCGTGATTACAATTCTGGTTCATCGTCATCCTATAATTCTGGCTACTCATCTGGTAATCGTAATTCATATGATCGTGATCGTAATTACAATTCTGGTTCCTCATCATCTCGTGATCGTAATTCATATTCTGGATCCTATGATAATGATCGTTATTCACCATCATCATCATCATATAATCGTGGCAATTCTTATAATGATTTCTAAATTGAAAAAGAAAGAAAAATAAAATTAAAATATTGAAACAAAAAAAAAATTCTAAAAACCAAGTAAAATAATTACGTGATTGAATTGAACAATTGTTCCAGTGTTGTATAAATTTTCTTATGCACGTTGATCATTGAAAATTAACCGTTTTTTATTTGTTTGTTTGTTATTCGAATTTCGTATCCAGTGATTATTATTGTTATTTTTTTCCAAGCAACAAGTGTAAGTCGCTCTCCTCTCTCTCTCTCTCTCGCATATACCGAAAAAATGGATATGGCCAAACATTTATGTCGACAATTTTTATTGGAAATCACGTCAATGGCAAAGAAATTATCCACAATCAATAGACAACAAATGGCCATGATTCTGTTGTCTATCATAATGGTCATGATCGATTATTCATATGCCGATAATAATAATGATTGTGATTGTACACAGCAACAACAGGAACCTCGTCGAAAAAAAATTCCACGTGTAAAAATGGTATATCCAAGAGGTTAAAATTATGTGTGCATAAAACACGTGTGTGTGTGTGTGTGAATTATAATTTTTTAAATGAATTAAAAAAAAAGATTTTTATTAATCAAATTAATCGATTGTGTTTTGCTTCGCATTCATACAACACAACATGATCATCAATTGATTTTGAATTCAAATTAGAAATTTTTATTAAATAATCAGCAATCACAATGAAAAAGTTGAACAATTGTTCCAATGCTGTATATTTACTCTCGTGCAAATGGAACATTGAACATTAACCGTTTTTTGTTTTGTTTTGCTTCTTTCTTTCTCGTCTAGAATCTATTTGCGCATTTCTCAAGTAGAAAAACCAATATTCAAGTTATTTGTGATTTAAAAAAAAAAATGATGATGGACATAGCCAAACAATTATATCGACATTTATTGATGGAAATCACATTGTTTATGAAAAAATTATCCACAATCAATGGACAACAAATGATCATGATCATAATGTTTCTGTTGATGATTTTGATCGATTTATCGTATGCCAATGATTGTAATTGTGATTGTACACAACAACAACCACAACAACAACAACAACAACAATCACAACAACAACAACCAAAAACAAATCGTCACCGAAGACCACGATTTTATGGTAATTTGACTCCGCTTTAAGAGAGGTGGTGTGATTTGCAGAAGAGAGGAAAAAATTCTAAATTTTTTTCAATTTTTTTGATTAAATTTTTATGAAATTTTTTAAAATTTTCTCGAAAGAAAAAAATTATTACCTAATCCATTTCCAGGATTAATTTACAGGAAAAAATTTGGATGAAATCCATTTAGACGGGCAGCTAGACACATATGGTTTGCTTTTAAGATAATGATTTTGTTTCCTGTATTTTAAAAGATATGGATGATTTTTTTTCATCTTTCGTAATTTTGTCACCACACATACACACGTAAAACATGAATCATCATTATAAAATGGACAGTGGTAATCATCGTCGTTTGTTTTGTTGGCGAAACGTGATAGCCATTAATGATGATAAGATGGCGATGATACCACCATCAATTAGAGCAAAAAATATGTGTGTGTGTGTGTAATCAAAATTTTTTTTTTCGTTGCTACAAAATTGAAAGATAAGATATTGTCGTCGTCAGTCGTGATATAACTATCTCATTGCTTACATTGATTGCGTTTGTTCATCCAATGATGGAAATTGTTTCAAAATTCGATAAAAAAAATTTTACCTGATCAATAATATATATATGTTGGATTTATGGATGAAACGAACGAAATTGAAATTGAAATGATGATATGTGATTGACAAAATTTCATTCCAATGAAGCAAATCGAAGCAAAATAAAAAAAAAGGTCAAGGAAGAATCTTCTTCTAATTTATTTTCATTCGTTTGATTGTGAAATTGTGAATTGAATGATGATGAATGATGATCCATATGACTGGAAATATAAATTGATTTACGGAGAAAGTAGAAAAAAAATCATTTGATTCAAAAAAAAGAGTGGATTAATGATGACGATTAGCGAAAAAAAAATAAATAAATAAACAAATCTCTGATTTCATGTCGAAAAATTTCCATTTTCATCATCATCATCATCATCATCAACAATATATTAATTGACTTGAGAATAATGTGACATTTGTTGTACACACACGGGGTCAGTAGTAGTAGTGGTGAATATATGAAATTCAATCATAAAAAAAAATGTCATATTATGGCGAATGAAAAATGTAATTTTTTTTTTTTCACTAAAATTATCCATCATCATTCATGATCATGAATAATCAACAAAATGATGATGAATGAACTGTGAAAAATTTCAGAATGAAATTGTAAACTTTTTTTTCATTGTGGTAATCTCTTCACTTTGAGAATATAAACAAATTGACACACTGATGATTATGATTATGATGATGATGATGATGATGATGATGATAATCAAAGCTCATAATCTGGTTCACGTACCATGTTGTTCATCTGTTTATTTTGCATATGACCTCTCTCTCTAATACACACAAACACACTGGGGGGATTTATTTAAATAATAAAAAAAAATCATTTTTCATCAACAACAAACAAATAAAAAAAAACTTCTGTCTAGCCATACCCGGCTGCTACTACCGCACAATTTCGTTGTGGATGAATTTTAATGAATGAATGATAATGATGATGAGTTTGTGTTGCCATATTTCGAATGAATAAAATTTTCATGTTTTCACAAAAAAAATAAAGATGGCAATCATATCAGTTGTTTATTAAATGTGTGATTGATTTTTTTTTTGTTAAAAATTTGAAATTCAATTTTTGATTATGATTATTTTCTATCTAGATAGATGGCTTATGCTGATGCTGATGATGATGATGTTTTTACCACGTCGTTTGGCCTATTATTATTATTATTATTGTTGAGGATTTTCCTGTTATTCACTTTCTTTTTCTTCTTGTTGTTAATCATTAATTTTTTGCTAATTTCTTCTTCGTCTCCTTGTTGCGGCTCGACGATTATCGTTGTCTTGTTTTTCATCTTTTTTTTCATTTTTTTAGCCACACTTTTTTCTGTTATTGGCTTTTTTTTGTTTGTTACTTTTTTCTGTTTCATCATCATCATTTTGTTTATTTTATTAACTGACCTTATTATTGCTGCTGTTGTAGATGTTGATGATGATGATGATGATGATGATGATAATGAATAACGGCTGTTTTTTTGATTATTATCACTATTTCGACCTTTTTTAATAATCGATGAGGTGATGGAAATAGTCGTTGGAAGTTGTTGTTTTTTGATACTTGCATTTGATAACGATTCCGACGATGATGATGATTCACTGTTTTCTTCAATCATTCGATTTCGTTTCGGAGCTTTTATTTTTCTTTTTTTCATTTTCATTTTTTTCGTTTGTTTTTTTCGTTTATTCATAATTTTCACTATTTCAACATCTTTAGCCTGACTAGATGATTCTTTTTTTGCTGGTGATGATGTTTCCAATGTAGTTTTAACTAATAAAGATAAAGATTTGATTTGACTAGCTAGTTTTGAATCGAATATTTTCGTATTAACAACACGTTTTCGAAGATTATATTTTTGAATCGTTTTTTCTTGCGGTTGTTTTTCTTCTCCAATATTATTCTTACGTTTTTTAATAATCTTTTTTTTAGCTGCTGAGACTTTTACTTTTTTATCACGATTATTACCACCAGTACCATTATCTTTGTGATAATCATCACCATCAGTATCTGCATTATCATCATCGCTAGTGCATTCGTAATCCGGATGTTGTTGCAGCAGTTGCTGTGGTGATTGTTGTTGTTCACATTCATTACTAATATCGAACATTTCAACTAATTGATCCACATAGGTGACATAATCAGCTACAGGTGTTTTTGGCTGAAACAATTGTCGTATTAATCCAGTGTAAATGGAAAAATGTTGCTTCTGTTTGGGACTACAATCATCATTATCATTCAACTGTAACAGTCGATTCGAATCGAACGATAATAATAATCGATTATTGTTTTTCTCCTCATCATAATGATCATGATCATTGCTATCATTGTCATCGTCATCATTATGTGACAATCGATCATAATTATTTATTGATGTTGATGATGGTGGCGTTGTTGTTGTTCGATTTAAATTTTTTGATTGTAGACACGTTAATAGATCATTATCATTATCAACATCATCATCATCATTAGTATCGGATGAGGAAGGCAATATTGATGAATGAAAAGAGGTGGTGGTGGTGGTGGTGATGGAAGAGGAATATAACGATGAAGAGGACAACGAGGAACATGATTTAGTACTCATCATAACATTTAATTTGTCATCATTTTGATGTTGATGAAATGAGACAAGTTCATTATACATGTTTGTTGTTGTTGTTGTTGTTATCAAATCAAGACTTTTCGAACGTTTTCTATAAAATTCTTCTACTACTTGTTGCTCTTCATCTTCTTCTTCAGTTTCAGAATCAAATGAATTTTGTGAATCTTGAACAATTTCAATTCTTGGTTCTAATTTTTGGTCATCCTCTTCATCATCAACTTCTTTTTCTTCTTCATTTTCATACAAATCAATCGATTCAGATGTTTGTTGTTGCTGCTCATCATCATCATCATTCGTCGATGGTTGTGTATCAATTTCTTCAATTGGTTCGATTTGTAATTGAAAACTATTACTACTGCGACGGCGATGACAATTTTCTGCTGTTATAATAGGCGACTGACATTCATTCTCGATCAACGATTCGATTGATTTCGTTTCTAATGTCTTGATTGTCTTTGGATCTTCTTCATCATCGTCGTTGTTAATAATAACATTGTTACTATTGTCCTGTTCGTGCTGTTGTTTATTATCAATCGTTGATGTTGATGGAAATGATGGCTTTGTTATTCGTTCATCAATAACATCATTGATCTGAATTTCAAAAATTCCATCATTAGTTTCATGTGCCTAGAAATAAAATTCAAAAGAAAATGCATTGATTTGGGTGTCCAAAAATTTTTAAAAGAAAAATTTCATACTTTTACAACAATTTCACGTTGTTTTTGTCCCAAACCTAAAACGCCTGTTTGATCCATTATTCGAATTCGTTGCTGTTGTTGTTGTTGTTGTTTGAATGTCGTTAAATTCGTTTTTCGTTCGTGATCAATTGTTGTTGGTGTTAAATTTAAATTCAATGTTAACAATGACATTGGTAATAATCTATTATTGTTGCATTGATCAGATTTCTTTGGTGTTTCATTATCATCACTGGGATCGATATCGAAATGTCCAGCAGTAGTAGTAGTAGTAGTAGACCATTTTCTTTTGTTATGCTGTGAAAATGGTGTTGATATTATCGATGATGGTGTTGCCATTACAAATATTGATGGCATTGATTCTGAATAGAATCGTTCATTGAATGATGACAACATTGTTTTCGATGATTGATCCATCATCAATGATGATTGTTGTTGCTGTTCTTGAACTTGTTGATCGTCATGATATTGCCATTTATCATCATTATTCATAGCATTATTTGTCACTTGTTGATTACTGCTATTTGTTGTTAAATTTTCATTTAATGATAACTGTTTTGGCCTATGTTGTTGTTGTTGTTGTTTCATATTGACGATTTCTGAGGCTTTCAACGATGTTGTAGCCACCAAATGATTTTTTCGTAATGTTTCAACACGTAATTCAAGCTTTTGTTGTTGTTGTTTTTGGATCATTTTGGATTTTGTTCCATTTCTTGTCAAACTTTTGTTCAACGATATCAACGACGTTGATGATGATGATGATGGTGATTTCATTGTTGCTGTTGTTCTTGGTGTTGATGTTGATGTTGTTGAATGTTGAATTTTATGTATTTCAAATATAAAATCGTGTCTTTTCATCTCTGTTGCTGTGGTGGTGGTGGTTCCAAATGTAATTCGATCCATATGTTTCAACAAAGTATCACCAAATATTTCCTGATCATTCACAAATGTCGGTTTCGTCATGCTAATTGGTTTCAATTCATTTGATTTTTCACCAGTATTTGGATCATGAAATTGATAAATTTCTGCTTGAATCATATCAACATTTGCTGGATCACGAATACGTAGATTTGCTGCAATGCCAGAACCAATTAATGTTCTACGATTAATAATCGGAAAAGCTTTTGTTGTTGTTGATGTTGATGATGAACATTTCCGTAATAGATACGAAAACCGATCCACAAGTGGTTTGCGCACCTGTTGATTTGTTGTTGAAGCTGATGACATTCTTGAATTTATTTTTTCGATTTCCAAATTAGCAAATACAATTCAAGAACGAACCGAAAAGAGAAAAAAAAATACAGTTCATCAGTAATGGAAATTGAGAAATTTTTATATCAAACCCAAAACACTTGTTGATTCGTTAATTTGATTAAATCAGCGAACAATTTTTTTGATTGTCGGAAGTGGTGGTGAATTTTCTTTGCTCAAATTATTCATTTTCTTCATCACCTTTATTATGGTAATAACAAGACGACGATGATGACAACGACCAAGTGTTTTTGGTGGGAAAATTTCATCTCATATCATTTCTCGGTGATGACCGTAGCCATCGAAATAATAATAATGATGATAATTATTATGGTGAAAATTCAAATTTAAATTTCTTGGAAAAATGAGGTAAAAAAAAAATTTCCATTCATCAAATCAAGATCATATCGGCACAATATGTTTTTCTTATATATACAGTTTTTCTTATATATATCGAGTTTGTTTTGTTTGTTCAATTCGATGTCGTCGTCGTCGTTCATATATGACATGACATGACTCAAAGTTTTCGTTTTTTCCATCTTTTAATCTGAATCTTGATGGAAAATCACGTCTACTCATCATCATCATCATCATCATCATCACTATCGTTTGACTTTGAAACTATTTCCGTATTTAATTAACGGGTAATTATTTTTCAAAAAAATCAAATTCAATCGAATTCGATAAAAAAAAATTACCATTCGAGTTAAAAACAACAACAACAACAAAAAACGACGAAAAGAGGAAGAAAGACATACATGATCAAGTTTTTTTTATTTCAAAATAAAAATTTTCAACAACAGGATCTTATATGATCGATTGATCCTGGATCGTGTTTGTGTTTGTGATTGCTTTTCGATTGGAAAAAAACATTTCGATTTTTATCAAGATCAAATGATGGAAATTATTTTCAAATTAATTGAATAAAAAATATTCGATTAGAGCCGATGAATGAAAATCAAAATCGATTGATTGAATCAACAACAACAACAACAACAACAGGAGGTCTCTATAGTTCGATCCACATAGATCAATCAAAAAAATTTTTTTATTTTTAAATTCTTTCATTTTGGATTTGATCCAGATAAGAGATTTTGTGTGTGTGATATAAATTTATATATAAAAATACCATTAACACGATGTACGATCATCATCATAAGTAGGTGGCATCATTTTAAATCTGATTTAAATTTTCAGGAAAAAAAAAGTTAAATAATCTTTTGATGCAATATATATTGATGTGTTGTTTATTTTTTTTTTTTTCGTTTTTGTACACACGTTGCACACAATTTCGTTTTCTTCCTTATTATCACCATTTTAATCGACAAATTTTCTGATACCATTTTTATATACCATGGTCCATAGGGCACATCATTATCATCATTTTTCTGTTACTATGTCCACTAACCATTTTGGCAGCGATTTTCTTCAAAAAAAAATTCGTGGTCGTGGTAGCCCGAAGGATGGATCTATCTATGTATATGATATATATATGTGTGTGTGTGTGTTGTGAAGATATGGATTTTGAAATAAACCATCCACAATACAGATACAGCAAACAGACAGACAAGCATCTAGACAAAATTATCAACATTCATAATGACGATGATGATGATGATATGTTCGTGAATGAACGAATGAACGATCCTTTCCTCGAATGATGAAATCCCATCTGTTATCGTTATGGTTGAACATCATATGATTTTTGGAGCAAAAAATCATCGTTATCTAAAAAAAAAAAATAGATTTTTGTTGCAATTAAAATAAAATGTAATGCAATTTCATTCGAAAATTGAATCTGATTTTCATCATCATCGATAAATTATTCGAAATGATCAATCAATCAATTGATGATCATCATGGTCAACAATAATATCATGGTTCATGGTTTTCGTTTTCAAATAAATCATCATCATTGATCACGACAATGAATAGTTGAAGTTTTGAATCATCAAAATCGGGAATTCAATTCGGAAAGCTGAAGATTCCAAATTCATAAATGTTTGTTTTGTGTGATTTGATATTTATTTGTTTTTCATTCATTGGCCAAATTGGTGTAAATAAAATCCTGTCTGTTTCCTGTCTTTGAAAATTTTTTTTTTCTTGTTCATGATGATGATGATTACCACATGAAATAATGTGATGAATGATAATCATACATACAAGACAACTGTTATCGACACAAAAACAAAAATCATGATCATCATGATCTTTGATCTTATCTTTATGAGATTAAAGATTGAGAGAGATGGAGATGGATATGAGAGAAAGTTAAAAAATCAAAAGCAGTGGCCAAGAGTTTATGGACAACAACAACAATTTCATTTTGTCAAAAACGTGATTTCGAATAGAAGAAGAAGAAGAAAAAAAAACGGATATTTTGTGGTTTGGTTGTTGTTGTTTGAAATGAAATTCGTAGATCAAATGTCTGAAATTTTTATTTGATAATAATAAATGTCGATGTCGATGATGATCCATATATTTCATAATGATCCAAAACTAAACATACACACACACACACGTACAAAAAACAAACAGGTGTCATCATCATCAGATATTGTTCACCAATTAAAATAATGATGATGATGGTGATGATTTAAAATTTTGAAATTTTTTTTTGCTGTCTTACTTTTAAAAATGATGTCGATAGAGAAAAATTAAACATTCCATTTAGGAGGTTTGTCAATCGATTTACAATCATTTATATACATTCATTTCGAACATCAACAACAACAACAATCTTGTGGTTTGAATTTAATTTTAATTGACTTGTGTGTGATTTGTATTTATCACAAACATTTTTTTTCTCCTTAATTTTTTCCAGTTATTTGAATGGAATGAATCAAAATCAAAATTGGAATGGAATGGATTCGAATGAATAGACAAATTATAACACACACACAAACACAAACACAAATGACACATATAATAAATACATACATATACAGGTGTTCCAAAAAAAGGACACACACACACACATTAAACACATATACATACAGATGTCAGGTGTCGACAATTATAATTGTCTTTCTGTGCCATGTCACTTTAATCACGGTAATTTTTTGTTGTTGTTGTTGTATTGTGAGATCTTTGTCGGTTTTTTTGTTGTTGTTGTTGTTGTTGCTGCCGATGCTGCTGTAGCAGAGTTTATCCATTCTTTGATTTTTGGTTTTGATTGTAGCAAATAAATAAAAAAATTTTCAAACGTTTATCTTTACATTTTTTTTTCTATGTTGATAATGACAATGATGATGATGATGATGACAATCGGTGAATATAATTGTGTTGATGATGATGATGATAATTACGTCATTATCATCATCATCATCATCATCCAATTAAACAAGAAAAGAAATTTTGAATTAATTTTTTCCAATTAAATAATGTGTTAAAGAAATAAAAAAAAAACAACAACAACAACAAACATTCGAATCATGATCAAATCATATTGACTATTGTAACCGATTCATGTCTGGTTGGATCAAAATATACATCTGTGTATTGTGTGTGAATGGAATATTCATATTCACATTCGAGATCAACAAACAACAAATGATGACATTATCTCACCATTGTTTTTGCTGTTTGTTTGTTTGTCAATCATGATTATCATCACGCAAAAACATCTTTTGTTCTAAAAGCAAAAAAAAAAAATAGTTTTGTTTGTTTTGTCATTTATAATGATGATGATGATTTCTTTCTTTTTTTGTTTTCTTTCATTCAGAAGCCCTGATGATGGTCATGGCCATGGTCGTCGTGAAACGTTTTGGCTTTGTTCGTTCCATTATTGTTCAATGGATGAAAAAAAACCAAATCCTCATTTGTCCACCATTTTTTCCTTGTATTGGGATTTCAAGAAAATAAAAAAAAACAAAAAATCGAATGAATCAATGATGAAAAATGGCCAGTTAAATTTTTTTTTTTGTTATCCTATTTATTTGGATTAAGGAAAAATAAAACCATTGAACGGTTCCAATTTTTCCAATGGATCAACATGATCATCTGAAGAAATTGTCTCCAATTGATGATGACTCTCTCTCTCTCTCTTTTGTGATGATGGCGGTTCTGTGACTCTTTTTTTTCCATCTTGTCTTGTTATATAATATGGTGCTGTGTGTGTGTGTGTGTGATTATAAATGAGAAAAATCTTGCTCGTGTTCCATCAATTATTGTTGTTGCTGTTGTTGTTGTATCGTTTATGTATTATACAACAAAAGAGAAACACGATGCCGATGATGATGATGATGATGATGACGATCAAGACACCAGAAAGAAATAACGAGAGAAGAGATCAACGAAGAAAAATCGTTTTTTTCCCCTTTTGAATTTTAAATCCATTCAGACATTCATTCATTCACCATCACCACCGCCACCACCACCATCATCATTATATCGTGTATGTTTCAGTGAACTGTTATTAATTTGTCCAATGTGATCCATCCATTAGGATCATCATTGTCATGTTTTCGACCAAAAAAAAAATTGATCCAATTTTAATTACAAGTTTCAGTATCACCATTGCCGACAAAGTTGCATCAAGTGTTTGTTTTGTGAATTTATTTTTGTTCAATTCAAGAATTTATCACTCACTAAAAAAAATTTTACAACATCTTGTGTGGTTCATTCATCAAATGATCATCTATCTATGAATTTCCAGTATGGTCAATCGATAGACGATTCTGATTCGATTGAAATTCCAAAAAAAAAAAAAAATAAATCATCACTTAATGGTAGGTAGGTGTTTTTTTCGCTTTTTCACACACTCACACACACCATATAATCAATGAGATTAGATCAGAAAATTTTCTTGTCGGATATGGCAAAAGTTTTTTAGAATCATGTGATATTTTCCATGTGTGTGTGTGTGTGTCACAATTTATTATCATTATCATCGATGTGTTATGTGAATGAAAAAGAAAAAAAAATCTTGAATCAATCAAGATGTTGATCCATGATCTCGTGATGATGATCATCAT